CTCTGAATGGCAATGTAAAGAAGCGAGAAGAAAAAAAATAATAACTCTCTGTCTCTTAGAAATTTTATTAGCCCATAAAAGTGATACAAACATCATATATGCTAATGATGGAATTTTAATCCGATGAAAAAGTTTCGTCAGCGATATATTTACAGTGCACTTCTCTTTTCAAAAACAGGAAAGCCTAGATTGTATATACCTACAACGTCAGCATATGAATCAGCCCTATTTTCATACAAGCAGTGGCACATGATAACGTACAAGTATATTGTTGTAGAAGGTTCAAATTTTTGGCTTCTTGTCAATTTCTTCCTGTGATTGTGATAATATGCGCAGTCGACACACAGGTGAGGTTTGCGACAGGTATAATTGTAGCTGGATGGATTAAACTAATTAATTACTGCATAATTTTGTGCAGTTGACTGATAAATAATTGTTTCACAATAATGAGGGATCCCCCTGATCTGGGAATGGGAGTTTGTAAGTAGGGTGTCTTCCGATCAGCATAATTTAAATTAGGATTCTAGTCTGTAAATAAATATTAGCTAGGTCTCCTACAATGAAGTACCCATGTTCACAAAATATTTGTTAAGAAAATGAAGTCAAACGGAAACATTCTTTCATTTGTTCACAGTGGAAAAAGTTATGTAGAATTGATTTAAAGGTAAGTTTATATTTAAATTCCTTGAACATGATTGTAAAAAACACGGTAGTAATGTAACATTATTTAGCTGTGGATTTTCAGGCGGTAAATTCTTGTTCATGCAAGTTTTTGAATCAAATTTATAATTTTTAAAGAGCTTATTTCAATTTGTTTTTGAATCAGCTAATAAAGTAAAGAATAAATCATTTCTTATTATTTAAAAATCTTCTGTATCCTAGAAATCATCTGTTTATCAATTTTCAGAAAAAGAAAAAAAATGCTGTTTTTTTTTTTTACTTTCACAAGTCTTTTAGATTAATTTATTAAGTATTTGATAGAGTTTTGTTCTACCCCTGGTAAAAGAACTTTATTCGGTAATAACCAATATTTGCCCCCAAAATCAAACTTTTAGATATATTTAATTAAATTATGTTCGTAATGATGTCACAAACAGTGAATTTTGAAAAATATACAGTCGATATTTTGAGTTGTGTGTTCAGGATCAATATTTTGATATAATGTGTGGAATGATAATATCAATGAAATATGTAAAATTTAACTTTAATTTTTATGTTATAACAAATTTTTATCTTATAATATTATCTGTTAAATTTATATTTCTCATACAGTATATTGAATTCAGCACATTTCAGGAAGTTTTCAAAATTTGACTTTTGTGGGGGCAAATATATGCAATATACCACATATAGTTCTTTAACTTTAATTTTTATGTTATAACAAATTTTTATCTTTAACAAGAATCTACACTGTAAGAAGAATCTAGATAACTGTGATAAAAGTTACAAAAGATTACAAAAATAACCAGACAAGATATCATAAATGAACTTTTAAAGAGACTCCAATGTAGGCTAGGACTTCCTCACAAAAGCTGACTGCTGTGTCATAAGACAGAACTCACAGGGGACATGGTTTTACCCTCTCTCACAGACCTTACACAATTGTAACTAGCTGGGATGATCTTTAAACAATTGTTCTGTGACTTAGATCAGAAAACTGATATACCTCATTGAACAAATTAAGTTTTTAAATAGGATAGGGTACATTTAACAGACAATAATGCTGCTTTTGTTTAAAATATTGGCCAATTTCTGGTAATATAATTATTTGCTTATAAAAATTTATTGAATTCAGAAGAGCATATAATTTTCTGCATTTTTAATTAAAGCAGAAACTCACATAAGAAAGATTGAGAGTTCCCCTGAAACATCCCCACAACCTCTGGACATGCTGAACATGTAAAATCTTCCAATAGAAATGACCTTGTATGTTGAATCTTTATTTAAAGAAAGCTCATGGAATTATTTTTATAAGAAAATAAGAGTACTTGCAAGAAATAGTCTTTTCTGTCATATGATGTTACATCACATGGTCTCCTGGTATACTGCCCAATAGCCTTGGTTTAGGTATCAGAAGACCATTTTACCGGTTGTTAACCATTCATGTAGGTAAGAGCAGGTAAATAATGAATTTATTTTAGAAAAAATTAATTTACAACAGACAATGAAAACTTTAAATTAATTTTATAAAAAATGTCTTAATATAATCTGCAAAAAGAGAGAAAATATAAATTGTTATTTAATAAAAGTATGTATTGTTTACTTGAATGAAATTTGCAGATTTATAAATAATGCAATGTACAAATCAGTAAAAATTTGATAAATAATTTATATTAGATTATGATGCAATCTTTCATCAGGATTAAAGTCTATTGATACTGTTTTGATAAATATATAGATAAGTTCATGGAAAAAGTAGTGAAGGTAGTTTTATCATTTAGTCATGTGAAATTGACGTATCTTAATTTAGGGGGAGTACATTATATGTTTTAATTACAGTCATGTACTGTGGTAGAACTTTTCCTGTAGTTAATAAAAACACAGGAAATTGTAGGGAAAAAAATGTGACACACAGAGGATTTAGCTCAGCTCAACAGCTTGTGAGTTAGTAGTAGTTCTAATTGATTCTGCATTATTTTTTATGTTTAAGAGAGAGAGATTGAGAGAGATAGAGAGAGATCTAAATGTTATGCATTGCATGATAATTGTATTATCTGTGTTGCATGTTTAATCCATTAATACATGTATTTACTTACTTTGCATGAAATGTATATTTTAAAACCCAGCTATGATGATTAAAAGTAAAATTCTTTGTATATTTCACATGAAAAATAAGATAAAAATAAAATTAACCAAATTAAGAAAAACAAACAACAACCAAAAAAAAAAAAACATCATGGCTGGGTGTTTCTCTCAGTGGCCTTTCTTTTCTGATTTCTGTTTTAATTTTATTAACACTTAATAAAATCCCTGCTTTTTATACTGATTTTACATTTTTCTTAATTAAACCATTAAAAAGTTGTAGACTTTGCTTGCTACTTTTTCTTGTACATATTTCTTTTTTGATTTGTATTAATTCTGCTAGTGGATGTATGAGTGATGAACTTGGACATCTTGTAAAGTACATCACTGCACTATCTTATAACAATGTAACAGCTTGAAGTACTTACTCCCCAGAACCCCTGACAGTTTGTCTGACTGTTTTGTGTTTAGTATCATGTACTTATTAGTAAATATTAGTCAGCTGATTATGATCTGTGCATATGTACACATAAAATAGCCAGACAAACTTCCCTATGAAAAGATAAGTCATTTACTTGGAAGGGAAGAGAAAGGGCAGGCCACTTGGATGAAATGAAAATTGTACATGACAAAATTTATATTGCACAAATTCCCAAATATGAAATGATGCACACATTTTTTTCATGTAAAATAAAGCATTAATGATGTTAATGATTTTTATGATAAGAAGAAACCAAAGGGAAAATATTGGGGGAAACAGTTAAGTGTTTCACTGGTCAGTACCAGATGTGTGCATTGTGCATCAGTAGTAGTATAGTGTAAATGCATAATCTGGTATGTGACTGGCCGATGCGCTCTCATCCTAACCTTCACCTCTGACCTTCACCTGTAACCTTTGCCAGAACAGTTTGCATGCAGACACTAACAAGTCTTCATCTGATAAACCTGATTGACTTTAAATTTACAACCTAGAGAATGTTAATTCTAGCTATACTTTGTAACTGATATTTGTATATTTTTAATTTTTAACCTGTACAATGTACTTGACTAACAGATATTAAAAGTATTCATTATTGCATGTTGCTTGCTATAAGAATTATATTTTATTTAGCTAGAATTTGTTAATTAGATTAGTATTGGGTATGAATCTGAGTTAAAAAAAAATTTTAAAAATGTGATAATTAACAGGAGCTGAGTTAAATCCATGTTCTTATTCCCCCCCAAAAATTAAAAAAAATAAAAAATGAAAAAAAGACTGATAAAAATTAGAGAAATAAACAACAAGTACACATAAAACTGAACTCACAATCATAGTCACTCATTCTGCTCCACACTGCGATACCATTGATCCATCCATCCATCCATGCTACTCGTCCCTAGCAAACTCTCTCAAAATCTGCATATTCATTGCTAAGGTCCGCAAATTTTGGACAAACTTCAATGGTGTGTTTTTGTGGCAGTGTGGTTAGCTGGTTGTTATGACAACGTAGTATCCACAACCACTATTCACACTTCCTTGAAACCACACTTCGTTTCGGCCCTATTTGGTTTAGGTGGTATTTGCTCTTTGGGATTTTTCATTTCTTGTATAGCAAAAGAGCTTTTCATAAATTATCATTTCATAAATGGCCGTCTAGCAGATGGATGTATGGATGATTTGATGGATGTGTTTAAAAGTAAAAATTTAACCTTTAAACTCTGACCTCTACTACACATCTCTCTACTTCATTCATACATTCATAATATCATCAAACATAATACACAGCACATTAAACTAAACCCAGCAAGTTACTGAACAGTTGCAAAAACAAGATCATTTGAGATGCAATGAAAACCTAGATGGGGTACATAGGACATTTGAGACATACTTGCATGTATGTTATTCATTCTGCAGTGGTTGCTATGTCAAGGGTGTCATCTATGTTGTATCCTATTTTGTCTGATGGTATGCTTTCTAGTCAGTTTGCTGCATGGCTTTACACCTGGATAAATAGATGTTCTGATGCATGCTGTTCATTTTAGCATCATTACCATGTAACATGTTTACCTCGCTTCTTTCCATTACTCACATAATTTGCATGACCATATTCCCCTTTACTTGTCATCTGTCTTAAATTTTGAATAAACTTTCTATTAAAGTAATATTGAATTTCAATTTGATATTCATTTATCAAATATTTTGCAATGAGATTTTTGATAACTTATCTTTACTTTGAAATGAATGCATTGATTGATCTCCCCTTTGTTTTGATTGACAGGGCAGCGTACGTGTCATATGGAGGCCTGCTGATGAGACTGCAAGGTGACGCCAATAACCTCCACGGCTTCGAAGTCGATTCTTACGTTTATCTCCTTATAAAGAAGCTCGCTTTCTGAAACTATTAAAAATTTCAATTTCAGAGATAGCAAAATTTGATCAGTAGGCATGCAATCTCTATTGATTGCAGTGGCCTGGATTAAAAAATGATTCTTGAGCTGCAATATCTTGCTGTTAAGGTTGTTCATCAGAATGTTGTTCATAGATACCGACCTTATGTGTTCAGTCATTTTTATCATGTATGTAAGGAAGAGTGGGTCTCAGTGCAGATGAACTCACCAAAACTTTATAAAAGTTGTTGAATATTATTTTGTTATGAATGACAAAAATCAATAAAACAAATTTCTTAAGTGGTCATTTTTTTTTACTCATATATTTAAACATCAATAATGCAAGAGGAGGTGAAATTTAGTAGTGTCTTTGTAATAAGTGTGGCAATCAGGCATGTTCCATTGCCAGATGCAAGACAGCTTAGAAAGTAGAGCACCTGACTTAAGATTCAGGGGACCCTGGTTCAAATCCTGGGGATTTGTGTGTTCTACCACATTTCTCTCTCTTTATCAAATTTGTTGCTGGGCCATGCACTTGAAGTGAAAGATTTGTCAGGAAAGAGCCTGGATTGGTGTCTCTAGGGGTGAAGACCCTTAATAAGACTGGGATCAAATTCTGTGCCCACAACCACAAACTGAGAACCAACTAGAGTCAAAATGTTCATTTTAACATCTTGGGTTTGATAAACATTACTTTCAAACTTGCATGTTAGTATGGCACACAAATACATGATGAAAATTTAATTTCAAATTACTCAAATTTAGAGTTAGTAATCAGTTAATGGTCTGGGATTGGTCCATCATATTTTTTCACCTTTGCTGTTATAAAGCCAACTTCAGTTTCAATTTTGCATTAAAGATATGCTGAATTTGGTTTAAACATTGTTACTAAAATGCATGATCAAAAAATGCAGTACAATGTATATGAGGGTCTGATTAAAAGCACTGCCTGCTCATGTATTTTTATGGTGACATATTTCTGCCCTACATGCAAGATAAATTATGTGTGCCCGGTACATACAAGAAATGTATGTCAACTTGCAAGATAATTATGTTGACATGCAAGTTACAAAATTTTATTGAGACTTTGATTTTTAATAAGGGAAATTCTACTATTAATCTTGCTAAAACAAGTATCTGACATCATAGATGCAAGTTGCAACATGATTATAATTTTGACATGTGACTTATGTCAACAGGACATTATCATGTTGCATCTTGCATCTATGATGTCATTATCATAGATATCGTGTTGACATGTCACATAAGTTGCATGGCAATATTATGCATCTATGATATTGGTATTGATTAGTAGATTTACCCATATGGAAATCATATATTCTCAAACAGAATTGTAACTTGAATTTTGACATAATTGTCTTGCATGTTGAGATTTTTTTTTTATATGTTGGCATACTTTATCTTTTATGTTTGGGACAGAAATAAGCCACACTAACCACAAAGTGTAGGGCCATGGTTATATACTAGAATCACTAGGTTACCATGCTGAAACTTTGTATAAATGAAGAAATGTATGCGACAGGTCAGGTCACACTTGAATAATTTCAAAATAAAAATACTTTATGAGAAAATAGATGAAACAGTTTTTTAACTCACCAGAGCTGAAAACTTGAGTTGTCCGTCCACCATTTCAACTTCTTGTCAAGACCCAATTTAAATTCAAGTTAGTGCAAAGCATCCTCTGATGAAGGGGAGTATAAATTTTTAAAATGAAGGGACAAACCACCATGAAAGGGGAGATAATCAAGAGAAGACAAAAACAGGGTGGGGTCATATGACCGAAAATGTCATCTCAAGAACCACTGGGTCAGAAAAATTAAAATGTATGAAAGCTCCTTAAGGTAGTGTATACATGTATTTTTAAAAATTGTTCAAATCATTCTGTTTTTTGACCAGCTGAGGGGGCTGAGTGAATCAAGTAATTTTACAATTAATTGCAAATGTGCATGGCAATTTAAATCATACATGTTGAAGAATAAATTAAAAATAATTGAGACATGTATACAAAGAGTGTATATTAGTGTTTTTATTTATCAGAAACCATAAAATTTGACATTTGTTTTCATACATGTACATGTGAATTGAAAAAAAGTTATCCTGAAGTGATATGTGGTGAACTAAAAAAAACACATGTACAAACATGCTTGTCTTTCAGCATAACTGGGGTTCAATATTGGAAAAAATATTATTAAAATGGTGTAAGAAGTGGCCTCCTTTTCAGGGTAACAGAATGACCTTAGCAAAGCCCCTTTTCAAAGACTGCTCAACTGTTAGACCACAGTTATATATCCTTCAAACCAGACTTGTCATAATGTTAAACTGAAAACTTAACTTTGATTACTTTCCTTTAGTATTATTTGTATGAGTTATATCAAGTACAAAACTGATTGTAAATGAACAAAGGAATGAAAATCATTTTTACAATCAATTATATTATAATTCTTGAATTTTTGAATTACGTAAAATTATATGAAAGCTTTATTGATCCAAAATATTTACTTTTTAGGGGAAGTTCCCTTCGCATTCCTACTTTTGGTTTAAATGTATATATACAATGCCCTAAATGAATGACACAGGAACTAATCTCTAGGCTAATTGATCTGTTGTGCAACTATTTTAATATTATTGTTATGCGATATAATTTTCTTAACACCACATTTAATATATGTATTCATAATCATTTGATATCATTAAGTTAGGTATGAAAGGTCAGCTTGATAAGTGTAGCATTCAAAGTGGCAAACTAGCTGGCCCTCTTGAGGATAACGACATATATATTGTCCTATTCTTATATTATTATGAAAAAACAGTGCAACTCACCATACTAGTATTAAATCTATATAAATTCTATCAATCTGTATTTGCAACTAAATTTTAAGTCCCAAATAATAATCATCATCAGCAAGCCTTCGAATGCTTATTTTGCTCTACCAGAATTTTTCTGCAAGACTGAAATTATGGGCCAGTTTGTAACAGTGGTCATAGCAAAATTTGCACTTCAACATAATTTTTTAGAAGTTTCACATTTTCAGAATAATGCATCTTGGTGTTTTTGAATTTATCCCAAAATTAAATGGAACCGACAAAGCATTCAAGGATGTTGCATCTAAGGATGTACCTTACCAGGACTGCTTTCAGTGCTATTAATAATGTCAGACCTATATTTTTTCTGATAAGTGACCATATATACAAATAAATAAATTCAAGATATGTGATTTAACTGCAATTTTATTTTGACTAAAATACACAGCATTGTATGATTTATGAAAATATTGCCTGCAACAATTATTTTGCATGGACATGCAACTTTTATTCAGGGTTTTTAGAAGGGATAAATTAGACTCTGCATTTGACTTTTGATATTTTTTTAACAGACTAGTGGGAAAAACAACATTTGCGTGCCTTGCAGGTTAGGTATGCTTATTGGCATTACAAGAATTGTATTACAGGATGTATAAAATAAATCTTTCCATAAATTTGAATGTCTTAAAATTGCATAATATCAGTAAAAGCAGCAATTTTTCTTATAACTGCACCTTATATCTTCTGGAGTGCATATTTTTTTTTTTGGTGAGAAAAATTTCACAGCTCCTCTTGTGTCACAATAACAAATAGAAAAAAGGAAGTAGAATTCTAAATGTTACAATACATACTGTAATTGTATCACCTGAGAGTATCAGGCAAAAAAAGATAAATGTACAAATATTTATATCTAAAGCAAAACAACATGCAATCCTAATATCAAGATATTTCAATGATAAAGTCACAAACACTTCTCTGCAGTGGCATCAGGTCAGAGAATCTAAAGTCTTAGTCCTTTGATCTTGCAGTCCATTCACGGAACTCATTAAATCTTTAGTTTTGTCAAGAACAAAACTAAGGGAATCTTTAATTCCTAAAACTGAATTAAAAACACAAATCATTAGATGTCTCCTTACAGTGCAAAGAAATTCATCTTTTATACATAACATGAAATTTCACGACAATCAAACACTAAATTGTTTACCTCCTGTATCTGATGCAGAACTCTCTAGCTTCTGAAGGTACAAAAGTGTACTATCTGCATGCTTCTGTAAGTTATCAATCTCTGTGATTTGTTGTCTTACAGATTCATTTCCATACCGAACCTAGGAAATCAATTAGAAAAAAAAATTTACTTAAGAAACCAGAGGGATATGATAGTCTCAACCTCGGCACTAAAATCACAACTTTCTACTCTGCAAAAAAAAAAACACAAATGCCAAAGATACACTGTATATAAATTTAATAATCTGTACAGTTCATTCAAACGAAGTGACTTCTATTAATATTACCGTATAAGTAGAATTTTTAGCGAGGATTTAATTTTGGCATTATTAGTGAGGGTGCTGACATCGCTAAAATTGAATATCGCTGAAAATTAATTGCGTATTATTTGTAATAGCTTCTTCAGTTAGCATTTTAAAATTGCTAAAATTACTTCTCGCTAAAAATAAAATACCAGATTTTAGGTAGAAATCGCAAAATTTGCGTCTCGCTAAAATTTCCACTTATACGGTATTTAGAAACAAGAGGCCCATGGCAGGCTATGGGCCACATCTCTCACCAGACTAACTTGGGTGATGCAGTTCTTCACCAGATTTCCCCTCTTGTTATACCTATTGTGGCCCCCTCCCCCCTCATGATTTTAATACTTTAGAATCTACACTACCCCAGGATGCTTCAACATTAAGTTTCAGCTTTTCTGGCCCAGTGGTTCTTGAGAAAAAGATTTTCAAAGATTTTTTCAAATATATTTCTATGTAAAACTTGGATTCCCTGTTGTGGCCCCGCCCTACCTCTGGGGGGTCATGTTTTAAAAATTTAGAATTTACACTACCCTAGGATGCTTCCATATAAGTTTCAGCTTTCCTGGCTCAGTGGTTCTTGAGAAGAAGACTTTTCAAGATTTTTTCTGTAAACAATATGTTTCTATGTATAACTTGGATTCCATATTGTGGCCCGCCCTACCCCCGGGGGTCATGATTTTAACAATTTAAAATTTACACTACTCAAAGATGCTTCCATATAAATTTCAGCTTTCCTGGCCCCATCGTCTCAAGCCAAGGTCCAGAGTCCACATATAGCTCTCTCCTACCCATGGCTGCTTGATCACAAAAAGTGTCGTAATCTTGAATATTTACGCCTCTCTACTGTGAGGTCATATTCAGTCAATGACAAGTTTTGTTTCCATCGCAACTGAACTCAACAAGTTACATCAGAAGTATTTCGTACACTGCGATTGGGTATTGAAAGGTTGCATGAAAGGTCAATTTCCAACTTTGCTTTACTCGCATTGGTCAATACTTTTAAGGACAGATGATACAAACAAAAAATGGATGCCTGGATAGGCATATATTTTTTGGCCTAATTTCATTGCAAATGATACATACAACAAATTTCTGGAATATAAAGAAATTGTAAACCTTCAGTGATGTTCATAAGACTCCCCTTCTGAACCCATCCTTATTAATCTATACAAAATATTTTTTGCTTCAAATCCTATTTTTGTGAAATTTTGAATAAAAAATTAAAAATTATGCGGTAAAACTTATCACTTTAATCATTTAAACGTGACAGAAGTTGTTATTTTCAAATTCTTTAACATATGTTTGTTTGTATCATCTGTCCTTAATGAGCTACCAGAAATTCTCGTCTCATGCAACCACGGCCAGAATGGGAGAGGATCGTACATTTTGGCCGTGGTTTGCGACGATGTCCTGGCCCAGAGGTTCTTGAGAAGAAGATTTTTTAATGACCCCACTCTATTTTTGTCTTTTCTTGATTATCTCCCCTTGTAAGGGGACTTGGCCCTTCATTTTTAACAATTTAAATTCCCCTTCACCTAAGAATGCTTTGTATTAAGTTTGGTTAAAATTGGCCCAGTGGTTCTTAAGAAGAAGTTGAAAATGTGAAAAGTTTACAGACGGACACACGACGGACAAAATGTGATCAGAAAAGCTCACTTTAGCTTTTGGCTCAGTTGAGCTAAAAAATATATTTACAGTTAAATTTTGATACTGTATACCAGAAAACTTGGAGATATCACAAGGTTACAGATATAGATAGAAAATTGTAGTTGTGAAATAATTTGGGGTTTGTTGATATCCCTGGTAACTGACAAAATCAAGGGATATCTAAATGTATTTATGCAAGTGTATATGTAAAATAGAGTAGTACATGTATATATACACAGAGTTTATATTCAAATCTCTTTCAAAACTCAATAATTCTCTATAGAAAATACATATAACTAAAGACAAAATCTTAATCAAAGAATCCTTTCTTATTTTAATAGTTTTTGATGTGTAAAACCAAAGCACGTTTGGGTGCCTCACATATTTATGAATACTTGTATAAATGTTCATTCAATAATTTACAGCATAAGAAAACTTACAATGGTCTAACTTTAACAATAATACAATTTTGTTAACAATGTTAGATCTAGTATTTTGAATTGTGGCCTGTGTGTACATACATATATTGCCTCCAAAAGAATGTTGAAACATTCATTTGAAATACCATTCCCCTACATGTATATTTAGTGATATTTTTCATTATGGTACTTTCTCGATGAAGCAGTGGTAAAGTACTAACAGCTGTGATGTGTGTGCGGAGCTGTTCCATGTCCGCCTCTATCTGGCTATCTTCCTCGGGACTTGTGGGGTGTGTCATCTGTACCCTGTCCTCAGGCAGCACTAGATCCTCAGGAATGTTGAACACATTTCTTAATAGGTAAGACTGTAAAACAGGACATGCTTAATTAAACGTTTTAAGGAAAATGAAAAGATACATGTAATTAAGATTCTTCTTTTGAATCAACCCAAATATCGAGATGTTTCATTGTTTTGAAACACCTATGCTCCCCTCCCCCTCTTGCATGCAAAGAAAATGAACGGAAACTGAATATACATGTAATTGGAAATTTCCTAAGTCCAAGGGGCATAACTCTGTCAAAAATTGCTCAATTAAACCAAAAACAGAACTTTACCTAGGTATTTTTAGGATAAATCTTGAGAAGTTGAAAATGTGAAAAGTTTTTTGACATATGGATTGACGAAGGTTGATCAGAAAAGCTTACCTGAGCTTTCAGCACAGATGAGCTAAATTCTAAAAAGAGAGTAATCTTTCATATCAAGATTAACTAATTTTCCTTGCCTCTAGTTGATCAAATCTCTTGTCCAGCTTTTCCACAAGCACTGACTGTACGGTCTCCAAAGCTTGTTTTGTTTTCTCTGGAGATATCGCAGATCCAAACTGTAATGGCAACCAAAGAAACAATCAACACTTGTATCTCTTCTCATCAGTGGTTTAGCTGGTCTTAAAAAACATTTCAAGAAGGCAATAGTGCATTTACTATCAAGTACACATTCTTAAGGTGAATGTAAAGGTATATTTGTAATATTTTAATTTTTATCAAGCCATGAAGAATACCAAGATTACAGATGACAGCAGGGAAGAAACATACAAACCTTACCAGTATACAGAAGATGCTATAGGAAGACCTTATGACAATTAAGTTAACTTGATATCTATAAAGTTGATAAATGTAACAATATGGGATGGATGAATAATGAATGGATAATGCATATTTAAGCACCCTATCCAAAAGACATGACATGCAATATTGAGTGCAATGTAGGATCCAGTGTACAGATATGCAAGCAGAAACAGTCTGAGTGCCTAAATGATTTGGACAATGAATACAAAGACTCAGTGTCTTGTTAAAAGACATTGCATAATCAATGAGTGCAAAGTGATTACCAGATTTAGGTGTTTTTTTTTTAAAAGATGAATACAGGTGACTCAGGTCTAGAAAATTTATTTTGAAGAAATAAATTACTCGCATAAGAAAATTATACAGATCAGGAAATCCACCAGATAGGTTAACAAACATATCATCATTACCTCTTCATTTATAAATGCTTCCATGGTGGACAGTCCTTCCTTTAAGCTGGTGATTACAGCATTATATTCTGTAAAATCAAAAAAGATCACAATCTCAACTGAATAAAGTAGGAAATATTGCATTACAATCATTTAAATGTGTTGTGATTCCCACCAACTTGTATGTCATATTTAACAAATATAAGGAACAGATGTTTAACTCAGTATCAAAGCATTTCAACAATCTTAAATTCCAGCCACATGGAGCAGAAATATAATTCTTATGGAGTTCTGTTTAAAATTTAAGGCCAAAACAAAAATTGAATGTATTCATTTTATTTTCTCAAAGAAACTATTATGCTATTTATCATGCTGTTTTTCACCAGATACTGTGGCACAACCCTAATATGCCCTGGGGTCATGATTTGAAAAGTTTTGAATCTACACTGACCAAGGATGCTTCCAAATAAGTTTCAGCTTACCTGGTCAAGTGGTTCTTGAGATGAAGATTTTTAAAGATTTTTCCTATATATTTCAATGTAAAACTTTGATTCCCTGTTGTGGCCCCACCCTACCCCCAGAGGTGATGATTTGATCAATTTAGAATCTACATCAATGACAACAGAAACTAGACTGTATAAGTGTATATATGTACATATATGTCTCACCATATTAAGACTGATCTCTACTGTCTGGGTTTCAATTTAAGAAGATGTGAAGAATTTAAGTCAACTCATACAATGTTTAGAGAAGTAGAATTATGTCATTGCAGTTTGTTGCTTAGCAGTTAAATATTGAAACTTTTTGTCCTAAATTGGGAAAATTAATATTTTCATGGGTGTGGAAATGGTTCTATTTATGATGCTACTAGTTATATTAGGGAAAAAATGTTGTTTATCCCCTTTACCAACCAAATTAAGCTAAAATTGGTGCTGAAATTGGGATTCATTGGTTTATGGACAATGATGGACAAAAGCATATAGGAAATTTAGGTCTTTCCAGTGTCAAATAAACAATTGACACTTACCTCCATTAATGAGTGACTTTGGAGTGAAACCTAAATACTGGCATTCATACTCAGACCCTTCCCCCTGTAACACACTCTGTGTATCTGTTGTATACGTTGACGCCGACTCAGAACGACTGCTGTGTTGTATGGACACCTCCTCCTCTGGGCTCGGCACTGTGTCCATTCTGCTCTCTGCCATGGCAATAACAGCCAATAAATAAAAAAGCTGTTCCTTAAAAATAAGAAGGAAAAAAACATAGACAATTAAAATTAATAAATTGAAAACATTTCTGAAATCTCAAATTCCATATGTTCCTTTGGAAATCCCCAGCCAAGGTATTTTACTGGTTTTGAAAAACATGACATTTATGTCAACAAACTAAAATAAATCAAAATACATGTATTGATATTTTTGCACAGCCCTAAAACAGGGGTGATCAAAAATTATATCTACAAAACCACAATTCTGAAATAAATACACACAAGCCATACACAAGGTCTATAAATAGCATATGTGAATAAATTTTTGCACAATGTGAAAAGCGTCACTATTAGGTCACTTGTCGAAAAATGGTTGTATACTCGTTCAACAAACGACTGCAATTTCTTGTAATATTTTACAGTATCATATAATAATTTGTACACAGTTTATTGAGATAAAATCCTACAAATTCAATTAATGATTGGATTAATCGTTTTAGTGAAGGAAGGCTGATGGTTAAAAATGTAGTCATCTTGCCTAGTGAAAGCAAGTTTGAAAAGATATGTATTTTTAATTAAGCAATTTGCTATCAAAGACCTCCAATTAGCACTTTGAAAAATAGTTAAATATTTGAACAATGATATAAGTATTAAATACCAAAGATATCGTTTACTTTAGATTTTAAACATATCAGATATCATAAAAAGGATAAATCCACTTTGAATAAAGGTCTCTCCTGAGACAGAAGATTTGGGTTTTAAATTTATTTTTGGATAATTGTTAACAATTCGAACCATTTCTCACAAATTAACTGTTCTTGTCATAAAAATTAACTCACATGGAGAGAAATATAAAACACGGAAAAAAATTTGTGCTTTTGCACAGAAAGGTGGTTGATGTGAATTAAAATTGGGGAGGATTAATTTAAAATATAATCAACATTAAAACCAAATATTGTTTCTTATATGGAAGTTATTCACAGTACTTAATAGAATATATTCCAAAAACTTTAAACTGTTCAATCAACTGGAAAATGTAGGTCAGAACCATCACAACCAACAAGGAAAGAAAGTCTGTTAATGCACATCCTTAATGCATCATGCTTGCAATAGTCACCATATCTTTTGAAAGTTACTAGGGAATAGATCTCTCTGAAAACTTAAACCTGACCATTCAACTTAAAAATGTAGATAAAATCCAGCATGACAGAAGCAAGTCAGGGATGGTGCATTTCTAAATGCTTTGAAAACCCACGCAAGTTTAGTCCAGGCATGGCATATAGTTACTTGGAAATAAGACCAGCTCCCAAAACTTTTTCAGAATTTGAATTTCTCCTTTTCATAAAATGTTGGTCAGATCCAAAATCAAAATCCAGCCTGGTACAAATGCCCTTGCATACATAATCTTTGAGAGTTAAATTAGCACCACATGGTATTAATTTACTTTTATACTAATGACTAGTCATGGTTTAGGGGGTTTTTTTGGGAAAAAAAATCCATTTCATTCTTATTTATCTTTCATTCTCTGTTATGGCCCTGTCCTGCCATCATGATTCAAACTTTGAATGTACACTATCTGAAAATGCTTCTTTACATAATGGCAGTGTTTGAAACTCACAGAAAAATTAGCTTGACATGCAGGGCTGACTGCTAGTGAAAGTTGTCAGCCCTGCCAAAAATCTGTTAGCCATAGAGAATAATTGTCTTTTATAACTTTGTTTAAGCGATAGCGTAAATGGGACCAGATCACCAAAACTTACCGGTATATCCCGATTCTAAAGAATGATGAATTCTACCCCCTTTGTTTCCAACACTTTGTTACTGATGCTATTGGTTGATTTGAGTAAGATTTTTCATATATATGAATTTTAATGAATTGGAAATTTTAACACGTCCAGCAGGGCATCCATACCCGCAGATCTGTTCGCCCAAGGCAAAATTTGTGTGTCACGGGCAGTCGGGTGCATGGTTATTTCAAACATTGATTATGCTTTTGCAAAATTTTTTATATTTCATTAATGCATAAAAATTTTGCTTTTTATTTGAACGAGATGTTTCACCTGCCAAAAAGCGGTAAACTAGTACTCTGTTATAAATGTTAAAACCAAAAATGGACACCGAGTAGAATCGCGATTAAAAACAACAAAATGAATAATAATTTTTTCAACAAATAAGCGGAAAACCTCATTTACATATCAGATAATTTGTACGCCTAAAAACACCCATATAATTTCTTTTTTTTCGTGTATAAATCGTTCATTGCCACATTATGTTCACAGGCTCCATGTACGACATTGACATATATACGTCGGAGCCCCACTTATTAATTAATTTATTTTTATTTGACTTTACTTTTTGTTGACTGATTTTAAGTAAACTCTAAATTCTACTTATCTTAAACAATGACAAAAAACGTTATCAGATTACCAGTAATATTTTAAGGACCATGGTTTGTCCCCGGTTACATGTTATGTTAACAAGTCATGGTTAATACTAATAGCTTTGATTTATAAAAAAAAGTTTACAATACATAATTACTTTTTTATTAATTTGACAGAATATCTCTCCACTTTCATTGTATCAGCCGTGATTAGGAAATTAATTATTTTACCCAAGCTAACACTGCTTTAATAAAGCTTTTATAATAAGTGATTATCTTCTTCATTAACAGGTTTAAAAGGAACCCGACTTTAAAAGTCATTTTGGAATCTATAAAATTAAATTGTTCATACATAACTCTTACAAAAAAATAAAATATGTGAGTTTCAGTGCGTACAAAAATAAAATATGTGAGTTTCAGTGCGTACAAATTATCTAGCATTTAAATGAGGTTTTCCAGTTATTTGTTAAAAAAATATTTTCTACATTTTGTTGTTTTAATCGCGATTTTACGAAAACATCAGTGTCCGTTTTTGGTTTTAACATTTATAACAGAGTACTAGATTTACCGCTTTTTGGCAGGTGATACTGCTGATTTAGTAATAAAAAGACAAGTTTCCTAAAGTTTATATGCACTAGTGAATTTATATAAACCCAGAAAATGTGCCTGAAAAGTTTTATAAAATTTTGCACCGGTAAAAAAGAAATGTAAAATCCCAAAGATTCGGGAGGAAGTAGATATACCGCTTGCCCAAAATTTGTGTGACACAGGCAGTCTGGGGTGCATGGTTATTTAAACATTGATTATGCTTTTGTGAAATTTTTTATATTTCCCTATGCAAAATTTTGCTCCATTTTTGTTGCCCTTTCCTACCCCTGGGTGTCACGAATGGCACAAAACTGAATTTAATGTATGGAAGCTTCCCATATTATCAACTTGTTTTTGAGATTGAAAAAAATAGTACCAAATTTTAACAAATCCTTAATCATCTTCCCGTAAAAGAGGGCATGGGGCTTCCTGTGAACAAACTTAAGTCCCCTTTACCTAAGGATGCTTGTTTGCAATTTGGTGAAAATGTGAAAAGTTTACATACAACATTTATAGGCAACAGACAGATAAACAAGAAGTGAAGAACAACAAAATCCCGTAATAGCATAATGAATACAGATAGCCTTGATTTCTTGCCCACTTACATAACGTTTTAAAATGTTAATTTAAATATAACCAAGTTGAATATATTAAAAATAGGTAATTAAATTTTTAAAACCTTTCTCCCTAACTTTTGGTTTTTCTCATATTTGGCGCCATTTACTCTCGAAATAGAAAATTCATTTTTTCCTTACTCAGAATTGATTCAATTTTAACACACCAAAAGCAAAAATATGTATAATATTTACAATTTTAGATTTAATCATCTTTTGTATGTACATAATCAGACTATTTTATTTTATGTTTGCTTTTTTTAAAGAGTAAATAAAAAAATAATATCTAAACCAAAACCGCATTTCGGAACACGCAAATGATATATTTACCAATTTATTTAATATGAATTAAATAAAACTAGCTAAATAATGTTTTCCGATGGTTTATGACAAACACTTCTGAACAATCCTGAAATATACAACAAATGAATTTATCTAATCAAGTTGTCATTTCGGAAAAGAGAGTTTGTAACTTTTGATATCCAACTTTCTTCCGGTGTTGAGCAAGATTGTTGTTTTGTTTTATTACTAGAACAAAAAAGAAACTTAACGATTTATCGTGAAAATACTCCAGTTTTTGTGCTTATTTCCTCTTCAAAAATAAGAAGTTAACCACTATTTTGTTTATTTGGTGATCAGAGGTAAACCATATAAGGAATAAGAGGTAAGATTCTGCGCTCAACTTCTCCATTTGCTATATTGTAAAACAAATGTGTGCAAATCTACTATACTCTTTAAAAATAATTTTGACATATGCGTTACAGTTTGCAATAATGGTGGAATGAGATATTATATTCAATCAAATATAAGTTAAAAGCTTATCTTTTTATCTTTGTGCCATGGAAAATAGAATGGTCTATATCAGATCAAAATGGAGGCCACATCAGTGTATATAAAAAAGGAAGTTGAGGATGCTGAGTATGAGAGAAGTTACCATTATTCAGCAAATGACACTTTACTAAATCCTGTCACCCACGAAGAGGATTATACTGTCACTGTTAATCCAGAGGCCATTTTAGATATAAAATATGAAAGAGGTATGTAAAAACTGAAGAAATGTACTGATAATACAATACAGATCATGAGCAATCCTTACAGTGCAAGCTCTCAAATAAATGCTTGGCCAGAGAGAAAATTTGGACTGTGTACTTGATCAAAATGATTTTTTTCTGCAGTAACCTTTTGACCCATAATCTATGTTTTGCAAAAAGCATATTTTTCTTGCAAAAATAGCATTATTTCTCATGTCATTTACAGCTAGTGAGTGCATATAAAAAAAATATATGAAATATTACAATATAATCTCTTCTACAAAATAAATAAATAAACATGTTACAGCATATATATACTCCTTTGGACTGCGTACTTGATCAAAATGATTTTTTTCTGCATTAACCTTTTGACCCATAATCTATTGCAAAAAGCATCTTGTCATACTCATGGTGAAAAAAAAATGTTTACAAATAAAATAAAATATGTTACAGCAATGAAATTGTAATTTTTTTTTTTCATTCAAAAATAAAAAAAATTATGGAAACTCTTTTTATAGAAGATGAGCCTGCTACTTCAATAACTGATCCAGTTTCCTCGACTGAATTTCCAAACAATGCTGCTGACATTTTAGAGGAAAGTTGTATCAAAGGTTTTCCACAGTTAAAAGAAGCACTGACAGCAGATTTACCAGATCTTAATGTTAACAGGTATGTTCATCTATTATTGGTATAAGAAACCATGCTTAATACCAAATTTTCCAATTTCAGAAAAAAATTGAATTGATTGATTCAAACTCCTCTTGAACATGTTGTTATAATGCTTCGAATTCAGTATACAATTTCGTTAAGACAATTTTAAAATGAGGTTTTTGCTACCTTCAAAGAACAACAGTTACATTTACCTTGGACTTAAGTTGGTGCTTATTCAGTTATTTTCTTCTGGGTAGTAGAAAATCAGAGTTTTGTATATACATGTAAATATTTAAGAAATAAATTATCACTTTAAAGCATTTAGGCCCTCTCCGAGGAGGGCGGGTGGCTTTTATTTTATATTTTTTATTTTTAATTTTCCCTCGGTGTAATTTTAACATAAAATGAAATCTTGGTCCTGACCATTGTTTAAAATATATGGTGGGACAGCAACAATAGAAAATCAGAGTTTTGTATACTATAAATATTTAAGAAATAAAGTATCATTTCTAAACATTTATTGGGACATATATAAATCCAATTCCATAAAGCCCTTTGAGCTTTATGGAAAATTTGATCAGGTACCAACCCATATTTATATCCTGATAGATATTTTAAAATGATACCTCATTAAATAAAAATACTCTACCAAATTGGAAAATTATGACCCCTAGGTATAACATTTAGGCTCCAGACCAAGACAAGGGTTCCAAAAAGGTGGTCATATATTGAAAACACATTTTTAAAAAAATGAAAATGTGTGTTTACTCATAGACAATCACATCTAGTAGACAAACTGATAACATGGTTACAATGAATGCTTATATCTTCACTAAAATTGTAGAATTCATATCCCCTGGGCCTTGATTCAGTTTGTGTTTTATTGAAAATTCTTTGAAAATAGTCTTCTTAATCTCTGAAGGATCTTTAGTTAGTCTCTTAATTCTATGATTACAGTGAGTGCAACACTCTTTACCAAAATTGGAAAATTTAAGTTTGCTGACTGGAATATTCAGTCCCCTCTGAATCCTTGGAAATCTTAATTAATATTTACTCATTGATATCTGACAGATTGAAATTTATTTTACAATGTCCTTTAATTTATTTATTTCTGAATTTATGGGGGCAAGGTGCATAAATATGATGATGCTTATTAGAGTCTTCTTCAACTGTAAAATGGATATGATACAAGTCAAGGCCAGTTCTGGAATGGGCCCAAAATGGTCATAGCCTGAAAAGCTATGATAATCAGGTCAATTTTAAGACCCATGGGCCTCTGGTTTTTTAAAATAATCAATTTTGTTGAAAAACGTTTTGATTTTTTAGACGCAAAAGAAATTTAAATGTTAGGAGAAGGGATACAAAGTACAGAGAAGACCCAGCAGAGCAGAGGGAAGCAGAAACTCTGTGTGATGGAGGTATAACTAGAATGCTCGGGTTTACACCTCTTGTTTCATTCTTCAATTTCTTCAAAATTCTGATTCTGTGTTTTTAAATTACCACATTCTTTCCAAATATGTATTTTGGTTTAACTTTATTTTTTCCACTTACTAAGAGGAACATCAACAAAGAAAAAATAAAATTAATCCTAATAAAAATGAACACTGTGAATAAAACAGCTTTGAAAATTATGAATATAATATATATCTAATGCAGACATTATAGTGTCTTCTACTTTTGGAGGTATTATACATGCATGTCATTAGGAAGAAAACATGGTATTGCTCTCATTATTTTCAGTCAAAATGGAAACAGATCAAGAGATTCCATCAGTGTGGAACTCAGCTGAAACCAGTGATTTTGACACTGCAGCAATCAAGATGGAAAACTTTGAAGATGATTTCAGCCCAGACACAAATTATAACATGGAACACTGCAGCAGTGAGTACATGTATCTTAAAATGTTGTTGTAAAAAGTTTGCTTTGGAATGCACAAGAGAGAAAAAATCATATTTACATCACTGCAAATGCAGTTATTCAGTGAAAACCATTCTAAACTGATGAAAAACAGAACATGGCAACATTCTACTGAAGCTTTGATTAGAGCTATCTTTGGTGAGCTAAATCTAAAACTGTTATTTGGAAATTTAATGGTGTAGTTCCTTGATATTGGCCAGGATAGCTGACTAGAGATACAGGGGACCTGATTCAATTCCTGGTCCCGTCATATATTTTCTTACCTATTACAGATATGATGCTCAATTTCATTCATATTTTTACTTCATTGCAGCAGATGGAACAACTGAGATACCACCAGAAGGTTTCGTCATAAAAACAGAAATCTTTGTAGAGGAATCTTCTCCCAGTACCAACTGGCCTAGTTCCAATAAAAGAAAAAGGTTTGAATTGCTGTCCTCATTACATGACCCAGTTAAACATTGCATGTTAAAAAGGATGCACAAACAAATAACTCTATTTATTGATTTTAATTTAAGTTGTGTCTTTGAGCTTCCTGAGGAATTTGTATATAAGTTATGCCAATTTTCTCGCTTGTCAAACTGACACTGAATGTATAGCTTATTGCATCTTATCATGCTTTAAAGTGATACTGATAAACTTATTTCAGATCAAACCATGAACAAAACACAGATGCCTCTGCTTCTGTACCAGTGGGAAATTTGATGAGTTTGCAAGAATCAGAAGGTAACAATTTTGATTAAAAATTTTAATGTTTAAGGGTATCTTGATTTTGATATGATCATTTACAACTTGCTTGATTGATATAATTTTTTAAAATATTTGTAAGTGATATTGTTTTTTAATTAAAGAGAATTCAAAGTTTTAGTAGAACTTCTACGCTTCTATCCCAGCCACCAATACAAGTATTAAACCCACTCACAAAATAAAATAGTAACTTATATTAATACTACTGTGTATACCAATATATAGGCTAAATAAACAGTAGTTTTTATTTTCTTGTCTAGAGTACAGTGTACATATGTTAGCCTGCTTTAAATAAATTAAATGTTTATTTATTTGGATATTTGTTTTAGACCAGTGAGATATGTTGATCATCAGGCATGTACTTCTCATTTGCTTTATCTAAATTTCATTTTTTTGTTTTTGTTTATTTTGTTATACAGATACTTTTCACCTCACCTGAGCAAAAAGCTAAAGTGAGATCATTTTAATCAAAGTTTTCAATCATCGGTTGTCTCTTATACTTTCATTTTTGTTCACTAAATGACTATGCATTCCATCAAATTCAATGGGACATAATTAATGTAAAAAAAAAAGGTGATAAACTCTGACAGTGAGACAAAACTGATTTTAGATAGAAGTGCCTCTATATATTTGTTAATGGGCCCTTGGACATATTGTTTACTAGATAGAACATCCTATCATTAAAATGATATTGTCCTATGGACCTGGTGAGGGCTCGTTCAGAGACACAGTTATAGATTATTCTAAGTAATTGTATCAGTAAAAAAAAAAAAAAATTTTGTTTCTTGTTTTATTTTGTTTTTTTTTATCTGTAAGTGTTCTTCCTTTATGTTTACCTTTGAAGCAGCAAGTTTTTTATGTTTTATAAGAAAATGACCTGCAGCTATATTGCTAGTCATCAAGATATTCAAATATTTCAGAGATTGTTTTTTTTTCTAAGTTGCACAAGGTTCCAACATAGACAGTTTTAGAAGAACTTTTATGATCACTAAATTTATACAGAAATCATGCAGTTTGAGTTTCTGCCATAAAATTATGGTGTATTCATTAAGTTTCAAAACTTATTTAGACTGCAATTATACATAAGTGGTAAGGAATCCTGATTTTTGAAGAGAAAACATTTCTTATCCCCAATAATTCAGTGATGGAGCTTGTGTGTTCTTGTGTGCACAGCATCTTACTGTTTTATGTTTGTCATCACAGAATACACGAACCAGCAACAGTTCGGCAAGGGAAGCAGGAACAGTAAAGGTCAATCAAAAGAAAAAGCCAGAAAAACTTGGTTTTTAGGTTGGTATAGTATCTGACTTTAAAATTGAATGATTGAATAACTGTTTTTTAAAGAATCATTTTATTTTATTAATTTGTTACATTTTTTGTCTCCATTTTAAACAAGTTGTTTTAAACATAACAGATAAGGATAAAGGAATGTGGAAGCGAAGGTCATGGTATGAAGAGGAGGCAAAGAACATGATGCAGAAAACACAGGAAGATCTGAAGCAGATAGAAGAGCTCTACTCGAGTAAAGCCTCGGGTGAGAACCTAGGTCTGAGGGATGGCTACCTTAGGGACCATAACTTAGAATTTTGATCTCCCTTATATTTTTTATACAGTGTCTAAACTGTTATTTCTTAGTTTAATGATTATCATGTTATTACATTTTTACCCGTAAAATACTGTAATTCATTCATTGAATAAAAATGATATCCTGTCACAGTGTGAAAGGATATCAAAATGATATCCTGTCACAGTGTGACGAATATCAGAAATGCGGGAAAACTCTCGATTTCCCTTCCCATAACGAAGATTGCTGTAAAAAATCTCTTCCTTGACCTAATATAAGATAGATGGAAATAAATAAACCATTCTGACAGCGAATAAAACTGTCAAAATTACCAAAAATATGTCGCTAAATCCATGTTTACAGTATTTTTACCTCACATAGCTATGGCGTCTCAACCGCTCAACTATGATGTAAGAAGCCTATGACTGTTTTACAAAAAGACAGAGGCAAAGGAAAAATCAAAGAATCTTTTTTTTTTAATGTAATAAACAGAAAATTCAATGTTTTGTAGTTGAATATGGAATTTTTTCACTCGTGAGACAGGATTTTTTTTTATTTTCACTCGTGCTTCGCACTCATGAAAATATAAAAAAATCCTATCCCACCCGTGAAATAAATTCCATATTCAACTACAAAACATTGAATATCCTCTATATATTTTATGTGTTGTAAAATATTTTAACAGGGCAAAAGACGGGATCCTATGAAACATTTCTACAATCCATTGAGGAGGAGACAGGAGAAAAGAAAGGTGAGATGTCTTATATAGGTTTATGGAAACAAAAGAATTGAATGAGTCTTTCTGATCAATGTGCGTCCAGCATCAGTCTACCTGTATTTGTTCCTGAACTAGCATTTATTTTCATATATATATATATATGTAATGAATTGATGCTTACAGCAAAGTGATTTTCATTCCTCTTGGCTTTATCATATGTTGTAAACTTAACAGATGTAAGGAATTATGTTTACATGTATAACAAGGCCAAATCACCCATCCCTGACACTTTCTTATAAGTGTGTGCATGTTTTACTGTATTTCTTTTATATTTTTAAAAAGATTAGATTTTATATTAACAGTAGAGAAGAGAGAGATAAAGAGAGTGGTGGGGAGGAAGAGGTCTCGCTATGAGGAGAAAACAGAATTACTGAAGAGGAAGACGGAGGAGGATGAGGAGTTCATAGACAGCCTCAAAAACATGTTTAAACGTCCAGGTAAGTGAAAACAGAAGTAGGAAAGCATCATAAAAATATCCAGGTAAGTAGAAAAAGAAGACCTGCCTCATAAAAACACCCTGGTAAAGAAGAAAGAGAAGAAGACAGTCTCTTGTAAGATGCGTTTTTAAAATACTATTTATATCTTATGTTGTGTCTTTTATAATTGAAGGAGATTCATCAGAACATTCCAATCAAAGTACTGAGAGTACTTCATCTGCAGCAGAAACTGGGACACCCAAGGAAAATGAAAAATCAGCTGTCATTTCTACGTCACTGCTTACATTAACAGGTATCTCATCTATTGAAATCAAAATCAGACTTAATTTTATAAAAAAGTTATAAGTACTAGACTAAGTGTAGATGTATTCTGACAGGTAGTGTACCTGGAGAACAATTTTTCTTTAAATCAGTTGAAAAATGAGGTAATTTATGTAAACTCATACTTGTCATCCTTTAACAATTTATTGTTCAATTACAGAGTTAAATGAGCTGAACGAGAAAAAGAAGGTCTTGAGTAAAGATGAGATAGAGGGTGACAAATGGAAAGAGCTGAACAAGAAAACCAGGGAGGAACTGGAACAAGGTAAGACAATAAAACAACACATATTGTAAAACAAAAAGCCAGCTGCACAACTGAAGATAGGTAACAATATCTAATTCAAATAATTTTTGTTCTTGAGATTAAAGTTAATGATAAAAAGATTTTTTTTAAAATTTGACTACAGTAAAACACGGTTATAGCGAAGTCCTGGGGACCTGTGAATTTAATTAGCTATATCCGTAATTCGTTATATCTGTATAACGAATTCGTATAACCATATATAGAGAATTCGCAATATGCATGTTTTCCTACAAGTGTTACTATCAAATATGTTAGGGAAGCAAATATTACAAAACTTACCTTCGATAACTAAGGTTTTATTATGAATTGAATTTTATATACAAATGCTGAGAGAAAATAAAGTCATTTCAATTATTCAAATTTTGAAATCTTTGAAAGTTCGTTATAAAAGATGTAAAAATCATTATATTTAACCTCAACGGGACTCAAAATCAGTTCGCTATATCCGTAAATTCGTTATATCAGAGTTCGTTATAACCGTAAAATTTTACAAAGATTTGTTAAGAATTTTGCCGGGGACCCAGAAAAACTTCGTTATATCCGTGAATTCGCTATATCCGTGTTCGTACTAAATGTGTTTTACTGTATTTACATTATGTACAGTCTGACTTTATTATGATTGTCTGCAATTTTTCAAGCATGCACTTTTACAGGGTGTCCAACTAAATCCAGGATAGAAAGAAGTGATTAAATCTTGTCCAGAGCAAAGGGGCTTTTGTGTTGCATACATTTTTAAGCAATATACAGTGTATGTATCTATGCATTTGTAGTTTTATTCTTAATATTTTCAACAAGAAATTTATGATGTGAATGGAAAAAGAAAGCTAACAGTCCCAAGAAAATCTATGTATGAGGAAAAGACAAAGCACTTGAATCGCAAAACCCAGGAAGATGTGGAACTTATAAAGGGTTTACAGTCTCTAAGTTAGTATTAATAAGACTCTAGTTAACAAGAATTTTTTAAAAATCAAATTTTGAATTTATTATGTTGCATGCAGTCATTCAAACATGAAGAGCTGATTTAAAGTATTTTCAGCTCTGGTGATGGAATTGAAATGCAAATTGTTAAATATTAAATTATATTTTTTTTAAAGGAAAACTAGTGAGTAAAGACTCCAAAGAGTACAAGAAGTTACTGGATGAAACCTCGGCTCTCTCTGACAACATCAAAGAGAAAGGTAAGACTAGAATTTTAAAATCATACAGATACACAGAGGCTTTTTGTTCTTTATTATACCCTGTGCAACAAGTTGTGTGAGGTATAATGTTTTTTACCCGTCCGTCAGTCAGTCATTTGGTCAGTCCTGGTTTTTTGTCAGCGCAACTCCTCATAAACCATTGTACAGAATTTCCTCAAACTTTGCAGATATTTAGGACACAATGTGTAGATATGCATATTATCAGGAAATTCCGTCCCCTTCATTTTTTCAGGGAATTTCCGCACTTTTACTCTTAGAGTTTTGGGCATATCTTGAATATAAAGATGAATAGTTTGTCAGCGTGAGTCCTCTTTTGCAGATATTTAGGACACAATGTGTAGATGTGCATATTACTATGAAATTCCTATTCCTTTATTTTTTCCAGGAATTTCTGCACTTTTCAACTTAGATTTTTGGCCATATCTTGAATATAGAGATGAATAGTTTGTCAGTGCAACTTCTCATCAATCGCTGCACAGAATTTTGTAAAACATTGCAGATATTTAGGACACAATGTGTAGATGTACATACATGTATTACTAGGAAATTCTGATTCCTTTATTTTTCCCAGCAATTTCAGCACTCGAGTTTTGGGGGAGCGTGGGGTATGTGAGCTTGCTCACGTTTTCTTTCATTATCATATAAGATCATTTCCATTGATAATGTCATTATGTGATTCTGGTCCATTTCTGATATTGCTATGGAAATGCCTCTGTCGAGTACAATATTTCATGAATCCAATTTCTATACTGTAAAAAGCAAAATGTTACCTACCTGCATGTTTTCTTAAAATTGTATTGAAATGACAAGTTATGAAATCCATAGAGGATCACATTATTTGTATGAAGTGATTAATATGATTGTTAATCAAATGCAATATACTTTGTATCTTATAATACAATGATAAAAAATTGGCCACCTTTTGTTTTCCCCTGATCCTCTTCCCATTTTATTCATGTCAGTATGAAAAACTGGCTTTTTTGTTTCTGAATATTTTGTATTTAATAAAGAACAAAGATTTTCTGCATAGAAAGTGATAAAGGAGAGACTAAGTTCCATTTTTCTTTTTAAACATATACTGATCATGGTATACATGTTCATTTACCGGTTGTTTTTTTCTTTACAGTAGAAAGTGCAAGCATAGTAGAATACAGCCCAAATCTTGGGGATGCTATCAAAAAGATTGTAGTGCCAACAGGTGAGTATTGGTTTTTGTACATTTATTTTTAATTTTCTTTGTTGGTCTTTGACTCCCAGGACATTCTTATGGAATTTCTTTTGATAGCATTTCTCATTCTATAAAAATTAAAGCATCAAAAACCAATGTAAGTTGAAAATACTACTGTAATTTACATTGAAATGCTGAAAAAAAATTAGATAGATAGATTTTGTATATATGAAATTTTATGCATTGTCAATAAAAAGTGTCAATTTATTCCAACCATGAAAATTGAAAAGGGATTTTGATCTTGAATTTATACAAGTATGTAATGGTGTTGCAGAAAATTCCATGTCCCATTTGATACCACCAAGATGGGAGGCTGATGAAGGCCAAGGGGAGAATGCCCAGTATGCACCAGTATTGTACAGCAATAAAAATCACCCTGACCTCAAGGAAAAAGTCCCTCGTAAGTCTCAATTTTCTGTAGTGTATTAATATTCACTGCTCACCTGTCTTGTGAAGCAATAAAAATCACAATAATAAAAAAAAACTTCATGAATCTGAATTTTCACCATCATATGTAGTGTAATTGATGTTCATTTTAGCTTGTCTTGTATAGCAAAAAAGTCACTATAACTCAAAAGTTTCCATGTATTGAATTTTCTGTACCCCATGTAGTATAATTTATTAAGAGAATATGATTATCATTTGTTTTTCATTTGCATATTTGATAGCATTCTTTAAGGAAATTTATGGAATCAATTAGACTTATACTAGCTTATTAAGATGATACAAAGGAACCAAAATTCCTAGAAATATAAGGTAAACTTGTGATATACATGTATATTTTGTACTTTGATGTCGCACTAACGTTATACATGAAATTATATGTTTGCATTTACGAACACATATTCATTTTTTTTGGCTCTTAGTTTCATTGCGTCTGCGCCGTTTTTATATTATAAGCATGGTTTTGTAATGATAGCAAAAATATGGAGAGAGTTACCCGAGAACACCAGAGAGGCCTACAAGGTACCATATCCTGTTGAACTTTGGAGACCTTTTGTTGAATCTTCATTATGACAATATTTACATCAATGTTAGCCAGATTATGGTGTTTAAATTCTTTTTTTTATTTTCAGGCTCTAAGCAAGCAGAACAAATTAAAGAAAGAGGTACTTAATGGCACATGTATTTCTGATAAATATAAGCTTAGGAGAAGTATATCAAAATGTAATAATGCTATGTGAGAGGCAAATTGTTTGGAAGGTTATGAGCACCTTGTCCTCTAAAAAATTATAAAAGTCATGCCCTTAGGTTCAAGAAACATGTAAGTTGGTCATATCTTCTGTCTTCATTCAACTGAATATCCTGATGGGGCTGCTATGGTCATAAACATAGAAACTGGTGATACTCAGTTGACCTACAAGGGTCATGAACTCCTGTGATTTTAACAATAATTAGAAAGGAAAAATTTAACTTAGGTTTCAGCAAGTCTGTTTTATACTTGAGGATATGAAGAGGGTTTTAGAGAGGTACTCAAATAAGCTTGAATATGTTCCCTAGACCTAGGGACATGACTTTTATAATTTTAAATACTTGAATTTCAAGTAAGAAAGATAAACTGAGACACTGAAAAATCACACATTTTTATGGGGTCAATTTTTCATGGTTTGAGAAAAAAAAATCTTTATTTGTGGGGATTTGAATTCATGGATGAAGAATTGTTGAGTAGTTATGTATTCATATTTTACATTTCGTGGTGGTCATGTATTCATGGGTCTCTTCATACCTTGAAAACAACGAATATTAACCCCCCACAAAAATTTGTGATTTCACAGTACATGTGGTTAAATCCAACATAATCTTGTCAACAATGGTCAAATCAAACCCTCTCTCTTCAACGCCTTCATTTAAAGGAGGATCAAAAAAGGATGTTGGAGGAAGAATTGAGGAAACATTCCAATAAGAAATCTCGCCAGAGTCGCAGTGGTGACACTGCATACAGGGCTAATGTTCCATCACAGAACAGAACGGCGGTACGGCAGTCACAGCGGCTTATGTCCCGGTCTGGTAGCTCCACGGCTGTAACAGGTATGGACTCTCATTGTAACAGGTATTGAATTAAAAGTGAATTAGTAACAGTCTTAGTGTGTGGTAAATAGCTCAATATCACACAGCTCTGATTTTGTGGGTAATGTGTTACATGCTAGCATACATGTGTTATAAGTAAAACATTCCCACGTCTTTGACATGGATAACTGAAGGAAGAAATAATTATCATATAAAAAAAACATTAATGGAGTGAAAAATAAGCTCACTTGTTACTTTATATTATCAAATGATATAAATGTACATAAATATACCAGATATAATAGTTTAAGAGATACTCATGGGCTTTTAAAAAGAGGCTAGATAGGCATTAAATCTTTATTAGTGTGACAAAATTTTCACATAAGGAATACTAATATACCTGAGAATTAAATTTTCATAAGCACACTGTCTTGCATTATTACACGAAAATAATAGTTCTCGTGAATAAAAAGTGATCTACAGTATACTGTATCTTTTACTGAGAATTAAAAAAAAATAAGTTCTTGTGAATAAAAAGTGATTTACAGTATACTGTATCTGTTACTGAGAATTAAAAAAAAATTAAACAAATGTAAGAAGCTGACAAACATTATTCAGGTATCTTTTTACTTTTTCTTCAAAGATGATTCCCCAGAAAGAAGTTCCAGTCCTAACAGTGGAAACACTTGTGGTATTTATTATTTATTTTCTCTCAAGCACCATTTGTTGTGCTAGATTAAATCAATACTGATTCACCAGATCATGATTATTTCTGTAAAAATTCATCAATCTATTAAGAACTAAATGTTATCTCTGATTCAATATTTTTGTGGTAATATTTTCAATGATTGTTTCTTATGTTTACTTTTATTATCTTATTTGAGATTGGATGAACCTTTAACTTCATTTATGACTTTATGTTAATGAATAAGTCTCAAATATTTATTCTGTAATTTTGAGTTATTATTGAATATTCTGATGAAAGTTTGTTTTATTATAGAATAAATCATTGTTTTGATTAATTAATTTACAGGTAGGAAATCCAAATATGAAGCCAAATCTAAGATGCTGAACATGAACTCAGAACGAGATAAAGCGTTTATGGCAGAGGCCAATCTTCCAGTGCCAAGAGGTATACACCCCCTCAATCCCATGTTTCTATGGTTTTGTTAGTTACTAGGACATTGATCATTAACCTTTTGTTTTTCAGACGAGATAAGTCCCCTTGACAGACTGCCTGGCTCACACTACTCTATCTCAATGCAGATGATGGCTTTTAAAACCAAACAGGAAATGGCTACCTTAGCCAAACTAATACCTCGAGAAAAAGGTTGTCATTTTTTTTTTGTCATAATATGAAACTAGAAGTGTTTAAATTAAAGTTTAAATTATAAATATTAAATTTATCTACTTATAGATGTTTTTCCTATTGAACTCTTTTGCATAATTGCATTGAAAATGCATTGAATCTTTAATGCAGTAAAACATGGTCATAGCAAACATGCTTATAATGAATTTATGCTTATTTGAGGGAAATCACGTAATATTTTGAATTCACTATGTATATACTGCAATTATGACTTCATTATGAATATATAATGTACATTGAGGAAAATAATTTAAATTTCAGTGGCAACTATTCAAGGTGGTCGGTCAGGTCAATCCATTAAAGTATTAGAAGAAACGTAAGCTCATCTATCTCATTTTTAAAGATATTGGTCTTAAGTTGTTAATACAATTATTTTTTTATACCCCCTGCAAACGAAGTTTGGGGGGGTATATAGGAATCACCTTGTCCGTCTGTCTGTGCAATCGTGTCCGGTCCATATCTTTCTTACAGAGGGACATTAGAATCTACTACTCCACACAAAGATTGCCCATGACCTAAGGGTGTGTCATGACCTTTACCCAAGGTCATTTGGGGAACTTCAAGGTCACTGGAAGAAAAATTTCATAATTCGTGTCTGGTCCATATCTTTCTTATGGATTAACTTGGTAGGTTCTCATTTCACACAAAGATTGCCCATGACCTAAGGGTTTGTCATGACCTTGACCCAAGGGCATTTGGGGAGGTTCAAGGTCACTGGAAGAAAAATTTCATAATTCATGTTTGGTCCATATCTTTCTTATGGATAAACTTGGTAGGTTCTCATTTCACACAAAGATAGCCCATGACCCAAGGGTGTGTCATGACCTTGACCCAAGGTCATTTGGGGAACTTCAAGGTCATTGGAAGAAAAATTTCATAATTCGTGTTTGGTCCATATCTTTCTTATGGATAAACTTGGTAGGTTCTCATTTCACACAAAGATTGCCCATGACCTAAGGGTGTGTCATGACCTTGACCCAAGGTCATTTGGGGAACTTCAAGGTCATTGGAATTTGGAAGTAAATTTCATAATTTGTGTCCGGTCCATATCTTTCTTATGGATAAACTTGGTAGGTTCTCATTTCACACAAAGATTGCCCATGACCCAAGGGTGTGTCATGACCTTGACCCAAGGTCATTTGGGGAAGTTCAAGGTCACTGGAAGAAAAAATTCATAATTCTTGTCCTGTCGATATCTTTCTTATGGATAAACTTGGTAGGTTGTCATTTCACACAAAGATTGCCCATGACACAAGGGTGTGTCGTGACCCTGACCCAACGTCATTTGGGGAAGTTCAAGGTCACTGGAAGAAAAATTTCATAATTCATGTTTGATACATATCTTTATTATGGAAAAACTTACTTCTGAAAAATCCAGCGGGGGGTATTTTGTCCCGTTTGGACAGTTCTAGTTTTAATTTACCATGCAATATCAAATATTAAGATTATTTCTATTAAATTCTGATCACTAGTTTTGATTTTTACATTACGTCTTTAAATACAGAAACTCTAAGTTAGTAAAAGAAGAAAATTGCCAATCAATAGCCGTTTATGTCATGGACAATGGAAAAGCAGTTCCAAAATTAAATGGCAGTCAGAGAAGTACGGAGAGTCCCCCTGTTCACAAGGATGTGAATTTAAACCAGAATTCTGTGTTCAATTTACGAAAATCACAACACAACGACGAATCGGAGAAAAACTCTGTAACAGAGGAAAATGTGCTCATGTGTTCTGAGTGTGGTGAGGAATTCACGTCTGCGTCAGAACTGGACACACACAAAACATTGTCACACAACCATAAACCTCCAGGAATATTGCCTAAAGAAGATACAGCTTTACCTTTTATCAAGTGTGAACCTGTGGATGAAGACTATGACAAAGCTGAAAGTGTCAACAACCGAGCAGATGGAGAACAGGGTAGAAGGAAGAGGAAAGGAAAGGGGAGGTTGAAGGTGAAAGTAGGCAAAAACAGAAAAACATCAAGTGAAGATAAGGCATCCAAAAACAATGATATCTGTGATAAGGAGGTTAAGGTTAAAAAGGAGGTCTTATGACGAAATTTAGCAGGCATCTGCTTTTGAAGCTTCTTTGAAATACAGGATTTAGTAGTACAACTAAATTGAAATGTATTGAACAGTTAAACTATTTCCATTCATTATTTTACATATTAAATCATTTTTTACAATCTTTTCAAAGGTGTTTAGTTTTGATTTTGTATATAAATTGGTTGGTGAAAATTGGCCAGAATTACTGCTAGCATTCTACTCATTTCTTATTTCTATAAAAAGAAGCAGGGTCATTAGTTTTGTTTTGGCTAGTTATTGGGGTGCCAAGTCTTGTAAATTCAGCCCCATTTAATTGGTCAGCTGGTCATTTTTTAGACCCCATCTGTGACCAAAGATGAAAATCACAGTAAAGGATCTTGACTAAATTGAGTCAAATTAGTTTTGTCAAAAAATATTTATTCTCACATTTAGAGTACATTGATTAGTATCCACTGAACAGTTGGGTTAATTTTCTGATCAGTGAATAATGAATTGAGGAAAAGTTTCTAATTTCTGCTGCTTCAAAGATTTTGAGAATTGGTTGCATTGTCCCAACAACTGCAAGACAGGTGAAGAGAAAAGTTGCATTGTTGTTGCATTGTCAGAATGACTGTAGAAAGATTTACAAAAAGTAAGATTTTGCCAATCTACACCACCATTTTCAATAAAGAATTAAATTTGGAGATCCCTGTAAAATTGTTTAATCAATTGTCTCGCATACTGTGGCCTTTACAACCAATTCAACATCGTGCTCACTGGCCAGTGTGCCATATTCTACCTATTAATCCATTATTGGAATTTGATATGAAATTAATGAATTCGTCTACCTGACAAAAACATAGGGCCACGCGGTAGTGTCTTGTCAACAGAGAATGCTTATTCCTCCCGCACTTGATCCCACCTCTGAGGATTCCAGGGGTCCGTGTTTTGTTTTTATTTGAACAAATTTGTGGGAGAGAAATATCACAGTGGGAGAAAATATCCCATCTGACATTTTTAATCCAAAGGGAGAATGCTGGGAAAGTTGTTAGGATTATAGATCCCACGATTCTCCCATGGGATTTTGAGTATTAGGACTTCTGAATCATATCTTAAAAATTGGCATGTTTTTGAGTTCACCATTTTACCATTTGATATATTGCTAAGAAATCCCACCTAATGTAATAATGTATTTTTGGACATCATATTTAGAAACGGTCATATAAAGCCCGGAAAATGTCCTGTCCGCACACTTAATTAATTATCCAAGTATTCCCCACGATAAATTAATCTTCAGGCTTCTTGATACAACAGACAGCCACCTTTCAATAAAAAAACTCATTAATTCACATACCTTGTCATTGGTCAATTGCAGAATTATTTTTTAAAAACATTCTGACTGTGCACACAAATACTCTGAAGTTTATATTCAAGAGGTGATTGAGTTTTTAATTGACAATATCTATGTAGTTTATGGAGATCAGGTCTCTCAACAATCCATTGAAATTCCCCTGGGTACCAACTTTAATTGCAGAACGATTTCAGTATTCCTATAAAGCAGAATTTATTCAAAACATATGCCTATTTTTGTATTCATATGAAGCAAAATTTGTCCAAAAGCTTATTCGTGAAAAGAAGAAAACACTCGCTGTGGCCTTCAGTTCGACAATTATAGATATTTCGACGATGTATTGTCAATTTACAATGCTTATTTCCAGTCTTATTTCGATACGATATATCCCAGTGAGCTTGAAATAAAAGATATGTACCGCAGAGTCCATAGACCTAAATCGTTTTAGGTCTATGCAGAGTCTGACACATCTTTTTATATTTAGATATTTTACTTGAGAAAGACGTTAATAGTAATCTAACAACCAAGCTTTATGACAAATGAGAAGACTAAGAATTCAAAATGAGAATTAAAATTAATAATGACTATCATGAAAAGCAAGAATTATATCAAAGTTTTATGATAAACGTGATGGTTTTAACTTTTCAATTGTAAACTTTCCTTATGCAGTAATATACGTACCTTCATCACTTGCATACGGGGTTTATATCTCTTGGTTGATTCGATACGCAAGACCGTGCTCTACGAAATGAACATTTTTTTTTAAAAATGAGATAAGTAATTGACAAACAAGTTGCTGAAACAAGAATATCAGAAGTCTCGTTTAAAGTCATCATCTCACAATTTCTATGGTCAATACAATGATTTTGTCAGCAATGAAGATCGATATGGAGATAACGAACAGTATTCAATATCAAAGTCCATAGAACAAAACAAAATAGGAGCAGAGAAAACGCGGACCTCTAAAACATCAAAGGTGGGATCAGGTGCCATGAAGGAGTGAGCATTCCTTGCTGACCGGCCACACCTGCCGTGTGCTCCTTGTCATGATCGGGAAATAACGGAAAAATCCGTCGTCAATTCAGTGTATAAATAATGCACTAACAATTAGTATGAAACACGTCAGTCAGCATTTGACTCAATAATACATATTTGCTGACAATGTCATTGTATCGACCAAAGAATTTACGTAATGATGACTTTAAACGAGACTACTGATATTCTTGTTTCATCAACTTGTTTGTCAATAATTTGCCTCGTTTTAGAAATTGTTCGTACGTAGAGCATGTTCTTTTGTATCGAATCAACTGAGATATACGCCGTATGCAGGTAATTAAGGCTTATTGCTGCATAAGTAAGGGAAGCTGACGATAGAAAAGTTAAAATCATCATGTTTATCATATAGCTTGGTTGTTAGATTACCATTAACGTCTTTTTCAAGTAAAATATATAAGTATGAAACTGATGTGTGAGACTCTGTGGTATGGAAATTATCATTGTTAATTGACAATACTCGATATATGTAAATGTTGAGTTGAAGGCCACAGCAAGTGTTTTCTTCTTTTCATGCATAAGATTTTGCACAATTTTTGCTTCATATGAATACAAAAATAGGTCTGTTAATAACATAGCGCAATTGGTACCCATGAGAATTCCAGTAGAGTTCAACTAGAATAGAATTCAAATACAGTTAATCATTAAGTCAATCTTAAATGCTGACTGACGTTTTTCATAATTATTATTAGGCCATTATATACACACTGAACTGTCAACAGATTTTCCCGTTACTTTCCGATCACGACAAGGAACACGACGACGGGTGAGACCGGTCGGGAGGGGATGCTCACTTCTCCATTGCAGCTGATCCCACCTCTAGTGTTTTGGTCTGCTGCTTTTTTCTTTTGTTTAGTGTACTTTTCAGCTTTGAGCTTGTATACTGTTCGTTATCTCCATATATTTTATACGTGAACAGGAGAGGAAAAACACTTGCTATGGCCTTCAACTTGACATTTTGATATATCATACCTTTTAATGTTGCTGATTTCTTGTAAAATTATGCTAAAGAGTAAAAAAAAAATCTTTCAATTTAATGAAATTTCAGATTCTTTGATCCTTGAATTCCTTATCACAAAAGTCTTGAATAAAAGTCAAAGACATGTCCAATCTAATTGTAAACAGACAAATTCGAAGTTTGTCCGATTAAAAATATACCAGATATGTTCTCAGAAATGTTTTTGTTTCTTGTTAAGGCCGGTATACACGATGAGATTTGTAGTATAATACAAGTATTATAATACTTTTGTATTATAATACTTTCTTGTACACACGCTAATACATATCTTATAAGATTGTAAAAAAACTATTATTTCCACGTGCTTTCTCCTGCCATATTTCTCTCTCTGTCAAAATAATAAAAACGATAATGATAAGCTCTGCTTCTAGCATCTTTTTTGTGGTAGGTACAGCTTGATATTTTCCACAAGTCCTCTTCCCCTTCCCATAAAACCACGAGTTTTTCGATATCTTTACTCGAAAAGTCGGCCATTATTATTTACAATGTGCTTTATTTAGTAATGATATAAATAGGATGACCCCCAATGTGAGTACATTTGATTGGTTGAAAGTGAAAGGTGAGTTAAGACTTGTATTAGGAAATAGAACATTACTCTATTCTTAATACAGTTTTATAAGATTCGAAAAATCTTATGATACACTGTATTAAGAGTGTATACACAGTAAGATTTTGCATTATAATACAAATCTTATAATACAAATCTTACCGTGTATACCGGCCTTTAGACATCCATCCGTCTCGATAATTTTTCACTCATATGAAGACGCTACCACTTGCCGGTGGTGCAAATTTAATTCCTATGATCGGCACTCAAGGCCATTGAGCAGTGAGATATCTTTTTCAATCATTTACTGCGACATAGGACCTGAGTTTAAACGGTCTCATCCGATGGACCGGTGTTGTAGAGTAGGATTTCCCCCATAGCCAGCTTTCCCCCGGATATTGTACTCTAGAGTAGGATTTCCCCGAGGGCAAATCTCACATCAGAGCCAATTTCCCCCTCTTTCTTTCTCAGAGTAGAATTTCCCCCCTTGTTATTGGGGTTAATATAAACCACAGCCGCACTTTTTTTTTTGAAAAGAAAGTAAACGACAAACTGATTTCTTAATAGTAAATGAGTGTTTTTCGACTAATAAATATCGATTATAATAGGAATTTTATAAGCATAGTATTTGGCTTAACCAAACATTAAATTGTTTCAATGAAAAAAAAACACTTCTAAATTGATAGAGGCACCTAATTTAGCAGATATCTGATTTTTGAAAGAAAAAAAGGTTTGTTTGTGTATTTATCTTTTAGTATTTTCATATCTGACATGTTATATTTAAATTGTGTAATGTAAAGAATGTTCCATGAGTATTGCATTATCAATACTTGTTTCCTACCGGCAAGTGTAATCTAGCTAGAAATTGAAAATTCATTGAAGTGGAACGAAATGCAAACTTAAAATTCACAAACCAAAAACTAGCTCAAATTCTCAATTCCTTTAGAAAAACATGGCGATAAAGCCCTAAAAATCGAAAAGGCAAAAGGTCGTTATTCCGTAAAAAAATTGAAGCGGAATAAAATGCAAACTTGAATTTTAACCCATCAAGATGCACTCCAATACCAAAATTCTGCTCAATATCTTCAAACAGAAAACAAGAGGCCCATGGGCCACATCGCTCACCTGAGAAGCTTTGACCATGCTAAGCTTAACCAGATTTTCCCCCCTTGTAATACATATTGCGACTCCAGCGTAACCCGAGGTCATAATTTGGACAATTTAAAATCTACACTATCCCAGGATGCTTCCACATAAGTTTCAGCTTTTCTGCCTCAGTGGTTCTTAAGGAAGATTTTTCAAGATTTTTCTCTATATATTTCTATATAAAACTTTGATTCCCTATTGTGGCCCCGCCCAGGCCCCAGGGGTCATGATGTGAACAAGTTAGAATCTACACTACCCCAGGATGCTTCCACATAAATTTCAGCTTTTCTGGCCCAGTGGTCTATGAGAAGATTTTTTTTTAATGGTCCCACCCTATTTTTATCTTTCTTGATTATCTTCCCATGTGAGAGGACCTGGTCCATCATTTTCACAATTTAAATTTTCCTTAACCCAAAGATGCTTTGTACCAAGTTTGGTTAAAATCGGCCCAGTGGTTCCAGAAGGAGTCGAAAATGTGAAAAGTTTACAGTCGGACGGACGGACGACGGACAAAATGTGATAAGAAAAGCTCACTTGAGCCTTTGGCTCAGGTGAGCTAAAAAGTGCGGAAACCATTTGGGACAGACAGAGGGATAGCTAGACAGACGGACGGACAGACAGATGCAGAGTAAACCTATAGTTCATCTGCATGGCTTCACCGATTTATTTGATCTAAAAATTAATGACTTGGCATGGTTACAGTTGCTGTGAAAAATAAGATTTAAAATTTTCATTTTCGTTCTTCGTATACTTTTAATGTTCAATATATCTGGTCATCATTTTAAAGAAGGGACACTTGTCACAATGTACCACCCCTCTCCCCTTCAATACATAAGTACAACAATTATATTTTATATGGGAGAAAATTGGCTTTGGGGGAAATCATACTCTATAACTACTACACATAGTAGGATTTCCCACCAGAAAACTGACTCTGGTGTGGGATTTCTGTAGGGGAAATCCTGCTCTAGAGCCAGATTTCAGTAGGGAAATCCTACACTAGAGCCAGTTTTCAGTAGGGGAAATCCTACACTAGAGCCAGTTTTCCGGGGGGATACTACTTTAGAGCCAGTTTTCCGGGGGAAAAGACTTTAGGGGGCCACACTCTACAAGACCGGTCTCCAACAGTGGGATTCGAACCTGCGACGTAAGAATCAACTCCTTACTTCGATCTCAGGAATGTAATAAATTTCATACACATTTATATTTCAATTAAACCTAGTTGTAATTCCTAGCTAGCCTTGGAATTGAGTGGAGAATATCATTTTTTTAGTATATTACGAATATACTTAAATTGCACAAAGAACATTTATAGTCTAACGTAAACAAATATTTAGTAGATAATTAGTATTAATGAATATAAAAACCCAGTGGAATTAGTCGGGATTGAGCACCTTCATCATTTATGGAATTTGATAAATGCATGTTTTAGCATAAAAACAACAAACACGAATAAATTTAATCTTAAAAATTCAAAAAACACAACATTAAAAAAACAACTTTTAAAACAAGGTATGGCAAACTATCACAGTCTTGATTGAAGCTTCAAGGAACATTAAAAGTATTGCAGGGAATTTCTTGTTCCACAAAATCAGCACCAGGGTTCATAATGTAGTTATCAACCTCAGTCAACTGCAAAAGAAAATACAACAATAAAGTTAGGCTGTAAACTGTAAAATGGATAAAAATTATCAAAAATTCACATCTTAATAAATTTGAAAAATTTAAATTTACCTTTTTGGTTCCATCAAAACATTGTACAAAATTAGTTTATGTTATATACCGGTATGTTCTTTTCCTTTCATTTCAGTTAATTTATATTTCAGGTTCTCAGTCAAAGTAGTCTTCAGTAATAATTGAAAGAGAAGCAAGTGAATCTTTTGTGATGTAACATTCCCTGTTATTCAGATTATGTTTGAATTTGCTTTCTTTTATAATGTGAAAAATAAAACGTTTGGTGTCAAAATAACAAAATAATAAAAGATGTGATTTCTTTCTTTCCAAGCATTTAGGTAGAGTTAGGTAAATATGATAGAATTTCATTGGATATATTTATTGAACAGATTGTTGAGAAAAATATATTAATTTGAAGCAGAACCTAAATTATATTAATATTTATTCTTAACTTTAGCTGGACAGGTCACAAAGCAGGACATTTCTTGCAATTAAACCGCCTATTTTCTCTTTTTTCCCCTTCTATCTTTTGTGTATGTGGTAGCTTGAGTAGAGTCCTTCTTTACAGATTTGATTTTATCATAAATTCCGCTAAATGACTACTTTAAAGTAGTCATATTGCTGAGTTTATCTGATATTAGCATTTGTATAATTACATTTTAATTTTAGAAAAAAGCTTATTATTATGAATGCGGGATATATTAGTTGCAACTTTGCTGGAAAATTACAATGATTAAAACCGATATACCCTTTTTGCAGAACAAAGAAGGTTTTATAGATTGCATTTACATCGCTCTTTTGATCTTTTTGTAGATCTAACAAGATTAGTAATATAAAAACAATTACTGATACTTATAAACATTACATTGTACATTATTTTTAATAACACCGACTTCAATGATATCCATTTAATATGTTAAAAACCAACTACACAGTCATTGTAGTAAATCACATGATAATTCACAGTGCTTGGAAAAGATAAATCATAAAAGAGTGGGTTTGAAATCATCTTTTCTTTAAACATGTATAAAGTTGAAAACACGCATAAGCTTCTGGTACTAATACAGCCTCATGATATTTTAGGTTAGAAAGGAAAAACGTAAATATGAACTTTAATTTGAAATTTTCACAGAAATAAAAGTGGATATTGTATATACATGTATAGATAATGAATGTCCAGTTTGTGCTACTATTGATATGAATTTCTAATTCAAAGGTATTGAATATTAATAAAGGATTGTATTTAGAATAGATAATTGATAGGAATGACATCAAAATCATGCTGGAAGAGATAGAAACTGCAAGCGAAACGACCATATAGGCCAAGAAGCAACTGAGTAACATAGTCTTTAATAAGCAAATTTGTAATACCGTCTACGACAGTAAATATTTAACTTCGATTTAGAGGCAGTTTCTGAGAGACATAATCAATAAATGGTGTTATTAGAGAGTAAATAAGCACACAAATATTCAGATATGTATAGGAATAAAAGAAGTTTAAAAAGATGCAGGAAAACCCAGAAAATATTTTAATTTTTTAAGCATCCAGAAATAAAAAACACAACTTTAAGGAAAATCTTTATTCCGAGATGATAAGAGAAATTGAATTGAATATTTTTGACAAATATAAAATCCATGAAGGCATCAAAAGCATATTGATGGATAAATGACAATGACTATTTTCAAACAGAAGCAAAAATATATAGATATAGAGAACTGTAGATTGTACAGCAAAGAAAATGTAAAAGTCCAAAGCTAAAAGCTCAGGGAAAAGACTATTAGAAAAATATTCTGGATCAGGAAAACAACTAAAAAAGAATCAATATCATATCAAATATGGTTTGTTGGTAAATAGTTTTGTTCATGCATGCGTAAAAAATAATTCAGAAGCGGGCGTGCACACTACTTACTGTCTACTGTAGCTAATATGTCTCTTATTGCTTCGTCTGACAAGAAAAATGCACAATGATCATCAAGAAAATAACTTCAACTCTTTATTCATCATCAACATCCATTCCTATGTAATAAATACTTTTTAAAAATCACAGAAGTTATACATCTACGAATTACGTCTTTGGAAGACTGACTAGGTTTTATTTGCACCGAAAACAAAAACAAAAATAATACAGTGTAATACTAATATTGGCGTTTATAAAATCTTGCTTGCGGTGGTGTTGGTACAGGCATATCACCATTGTCTAATGCTAATGCTCGATCAATAATAAAAGAGGTACTTGCTGGAGCATAGCTCAAAGAAGGCAATTCACGTGGCGTATACAAACTACCCTCACCATATTCTTCCTCAAGTTCAATAGCGGAAGTCCCGCTTATCACATCCGGTTTTGGTGCATCCCGCTTCGCATGATCCGTATGAGGACCTCCATTTTCTTTGCTCTTTTTATCCTTTTTATGTTTCTTTTTCTTCTTCTGCTTTGTTGGTGTGCTTGTATTGACTGGTACTGGGGGCAAATGTGATGGTGGGGGATGATCAGGGGGTTTAACTACTGGGGGAATGTTACCAGCTGGAGTTGCATTATGTTGCAATGGTGGCAAGGCAAAGTTCTTTTTCATATCATCCACATTTAAATTGAGTGCTCTTGGTGTTTCTGAAAATTAGAAAAATGAAAAAAATAGAAAATGCAAATATATATTCGTTTAATTTTTTTAAAGGCAAAAAAAAAAAAAATAATAATGATTAAAAGTTAATCAGTTATTTCTCTAGCTAATCAGATGAAATTTAAAATTACCACTATCACTCTCTGGAAGTGGCTTTTTCTTTTGATGGTCGTTATGAACTTTTGCTTTTTTGTGCTTGATGTATTTAAAGACGACACAAGCGATAATAAGGGCGATGAGAAGAATGAGGAGAATGCCGATGACAGCTCCGATGACTGCTCCTGTTGCCACACCTCCCCCAGGTTTGCTCTCATCAGTCTGAGTGGTGAAATCTTAAAAAGAATATATTTTCTTTTTACTTCAATATTTCGTGAATCAGTAATTCTGCAGGTTTTAATATTTAGAGATCACAAATGAAAATGTTTATTTGTACTTACCACACGTCTCTACAAAAGAAAACAAACAGTTTTAAATTAAACGTGATATAATGTTATATTAAAAAAAACAATTCTTCCAAGTTTAACAAAGAAAAAGAGATATTGCTCCAAAGTAGCCGAACGCACCTGTTGGTGTCATTTCTAGTGTACCACTGCCTCCTTCAGTCACAGCAACTGAGGACTGATTCATTGCACAAATGGACTGTCTATCACTTGTATAGACAACATCTCCTGTTTTTGTTGTTGCCTGCATCAATGTTGAAGTTATTAAGCTTTTAAAATAGTTGAAATATAAATATACTTTTTCATCTTCAGATTTAGGGTATCAATATATACATACCAAACAGGTGAACCTGTGATAGAAGATATTATCAACGGAACCAGGATTCAGGACCAATGTATAGTATACGCCATTAACCACCAATGTTTTTACACAATACAGGATTCCTTCACCTAGTTTTTGAATTTCAAAAATGATCAAGTCAATAAAATAAAGAACAAGAGGCCCATGGGCCACATCGCTCACCTGAGTAACTTGGGTGATGCAGATCTTTACCAGATTCCCCCTCTTGCTATACCTATCATGCCCAACAACCCCCTTCCCTTTTTTATTTTAAAACTTTAGAATCTACACTACCCAAGGATGCTTCCACATAAGTTTCAGCTTTCCTGGCCCAGTGTTTCTTGTGAAGAAGATTTTTAAAGATTTGTTCTATATTTTTCTATGTAAAACTTGGAATTCCCTATTGTGGCCCCGCCCTACCCCCAGGGGTCATGATTTTAACAATTTAATATCTACACTACCCAAGGATGCTTCCATATAAGTTTCAGCTTTCCTGGCCCAGTGGTTCTTGCGAAGAAGATTTTTAAAGATTTGTTCTATATATATTTCTATGTAAAACTTGGATTCCCTATTGTGGCCCGCCCTACCCCCAGGGGTCATGGTTTTAACAATTTAATATTTGCACTACCCAAGGATGCTTCCACACAAGTTTCAGCTTTCCTGGCCAAGTGGTTCTTGAGAAGAAGATTTTTAAAGATTTGTTCTATATTTTTCTATGTAAAACTTGGATTCCCTATTGTGGCCCCGCCCTACCCCCGGGGGTCACTATTTTTATAATTTAATATCTACACTACCCAAGGATGCTCCCACATAAGTTTCAGCTTTCCTGGCCAAGTGGTTCTTGAGTAGAAGATTTTTAAAGATTTGTTCTATATATTTCTATGTAAAACTTGGATTCCCTATTGTGGCCCCGCCCTACCCCTGGGGGTCATGATTTTAACAATTTAATATCTACATTACCAAAGGATGCTTCCACATAAGTTTCAGCTTTCCTGGCCCAGTGGTTCTTGTGAAGAAGATTTTTAAGGATTTGTTCTATATATTTCTATGTAAAACTTGGATTCCCTATTGTGGCCCCGCCCTACCCCCGGGGGTCATGATTTTAACAATTTAATATCTGTACTTCCCAAGGATGCTCCCACATAAGTTTCAGCTTTCCTGGCCCAGTGGTTCTTGAGAAGAAGATTTTTTAGTGACCCCACCCTATTTTTGACTTTTCTTGATTATCTCCCCTTGTAAGTGGACTTGGCCCTTCAATTTAACAATTTAAACTCCCCTTCACCCAAGGATGCTTTGTACCAAGTTGGTTAAAATTGGCCCATTGGTTCTTGAGAAGAAGTCGAAAATGTGAAAAGTTTACAGACGGACAGACGGACGGACAGACGGACAGACGGACGGACGACGGACAAAATGTGATCAGAAAAGCTCACTTGAGCCTTCGGCTCAGGTGAGCTAAAAATACAATACAGTATTTAAAGAAATATTAACACTATTTTCGATAGTTTAGAATAATTACTTGAGAAGGCCTGAGTCGTGGAACATTTGGAGTAATCAAAAGTCATTGTTGTTCTGTTTGTACACACGTCCAGAGATGAGACACCGGTACAGGTCTCCGTGCCGTTATCTGTCACGTGCTTATACGTGAATTTAGCAAGCAACGGTGAAGGGCACCACTGTTTTGCTTCATTCTCATTTCCTGAAAGAAATTTAGATGAGAAATATTATCCCATTGTCCATTGTCAGTTTGAAGTAAAACAAGTACTCTGATAAAACGAACCTTTCTTCACAATGACGTTAAGTTGTTCCGTGTTTGGAGGATTGGAAGGATTGCAATAGTCGGAAGTATTCCATGTCAGTTTGGTAGGATCATGCACTTCAAGCTTTATCCTTGCATTTGCTGCCAGTGATTCTTCATCTACAAATTAACAAATTTTAACCACTTCTTATGTTTATATCAGAATATATATATTTTTTTACGACATCGATAGCTGAGAATCTGTCTTAGTTTTATATCCTACCTGTCATAGGATAATACATGTAGGAGCTGCCTGTAATTTGTGTCCACTCTATACATCGAAATGCAGAGTAAAAGGTTCCATTATAGTCTACCAGCTGATCCGCTCTTTAAAATGATAGATTATGTAAATAAAAGTTTCAATTTTTATATGTTCCAATAATTGCTGAAAAAATGAAAACTTATCGATCTGAAAAGGTCCCTCTTGAGGATCTCATACAAAAGTGACAATTGTACAGCATACTTTAATTCTTAGAACACGATTTACAATATATGGAAGATGACATAAAAACCTAATACATGTCAATAATTTTATGTTAGTTATCATATAAATACAAGTCTGTTGACAGACAACGGGTTAGATACCCCACAAAACTAATAAGCCTCCTTTTCTTATGATTAACGTGTGTATTATTTAACAGTTGTAATAAAACCATTTCGCAGTCATTACCGATATACATTCATATAAATTGCAGTCAAATGGACAAAGTGAAAAGACATTCAAATGTATAAATACTTTTATAGTTAGGTAAATTTCTTATGTAACATTTGAACACGCTAGAAAATACCGTAAACAAACTCGTATTCGCGTCATCTTTTTTCGCGATTCAGTTTGAAATCCATCCGCAACGATTAATTTTCGCGACTGAGGAAACATTATCTATAAATATAACGCTAAAAAATGGTTTGAAGCGATTAATATTCGGAAGTTAAAGTAAGTCGCAGTTATTTCTTGCTCGCCAATAAAAATTGGTTTTTCAGTATCCAGTACCCAGTACCTAGTACTACGCATCCCACATTTCACATGGAACATAATTTTTTATGCTCTTTCTAAATCAACAATTGTAATCACTTTAACCTAAAGTAATTCATTACTTGAAAAGTAAAAACGATCCCGTATCATTGCTTGTAACACAGGACCAGGACGTAAGAGAAGTTGTTGAAACAGAGATGTCCCAACCGGAAGTCACTGTTTTGGTGCGTGCGCTGATCCATATGTCACGCATACCACTGTCATACCAGTCGCCATCCCAACCCGCGGGTAAAGTGCAGCGATCGTCTGTAAAATAGATTATGACCATTAGGGTTTGTTTTTAGTACCTTTTATAGTTATTTCTTCAATTTATTTCATTTTAAAAAAAATATCCTCTGCTTTTTAATACTTGACAACAACAAGTTAGGGTTGCTATTCAATTCACCAAACAACATAAAAACCTAAAAACATGGCACCAATAAACTAAAAAAAAATAAAGATCAAGAAGAAAATATATACATGTATTTTCTAAAACAATCGTTTATCAAACCTTAATGGATATTCCGCTAACAAGCAAAACCATCCAGGAAATCCACAAAGAGTTAAATCATAGAAATGTATTTACAATTATTGTAATAATTTCAAATTATCCAAAAACACATATATTTTTTTTAATATTATATGTAATGGAAGTAGTGTTCTAAAAATCATTCATTATATTATTTCAAACAAATTTCAAACATTTCAAACAAAAGATCTGAAGATATAATCTGGAATTACACTAGACATAAGAATTTCATATTGAAATACCGGGTATATATTTTTAATGACATGTTTGAACACAATTATATTCAGTGATCAAAATGCTTAAAGTTGTGGTAAAAAATGATCTTAACTTATTTTCAACTGAGTGTAAACTTTTCTATTTAATATAAATAGCTTCTTCAGGGATAAAAATGCAATTATTTAAGCATAACTGTCAGAAATATGACCTTCAGAAGAATATGCAAGAAATTATTTCTGTTCTTTCAATACGATACAGTATAAAGGCAAAATCATAGTTACCAGCACTGCCTGGTGGTTTGTCGATGCAAGAGTCTAAAAGGAAAAGAAAGAACATAATGAAAATGATCAACTGTTTATTTATTTTGAAATCATATTTTATGGACATTACAGATTTGAGTACCTTGATAACTCATGCTAAGAGTTCCAGACCCGTCTGTCTGCTTTACTGTAGGAGTCTGCCCTGGAAAGCAACTCCCTTTATTGTCGCTCATATACACAGTATCATTAGCTCTTGTTGAAGCCTGTGTAATACAGCGGAAGAAAAATATTAAATCTAATAAATTTAGTTGTGACACGGTGATACATGAAATTTGAAATTGAAGAAATATAAAAAAAAATTAACCCAGAACGTATTTCAACTTACGTAGCAAGTAAATAGACTATGGCGACTATCTGTGATGTCACCTGGATTCAGGACGGAGGTAAATACAGTAGACCCAGAGCTTAAATACACCAAACAGTTAACAATTCCTTCCTCTGAAAGAAAAAAGAATGTTTATTTTAAGATGTATCTGCAATTTACAATTGAAGGTCAATCAGCATCTAAGATTACAATTGAATTTCTTGATATGGAATATTTGATACTAAATTTTAATAACGGGTTTGTAATTACTTGAGAAAGCTTGTTCTGTTGGACATTTAGTGTAGTCAAATGTCATGGTATTCCACGAGGGACAAACAGCCAGTGATGAGCTGCTGCTGCACGTCTGGGTCGTACCGCTGTCGTGTGTGTAGGTAAAACGACCAATTAATATAGGAGGACAGGGCTGGGCTGCTTGAGACTCAAAACCTATTTTTAAATACAAAGAGAGTCTCTAGTTAACAACAACAAAAACAGAAACCACAAAATATCCAAGCATTCTGATTTGAATTTTACCTTTCTTAACCATTACGTGATATTCTTCTAGTTTTGGCAATGAGGTTGGGTTGCAGTATGTTGACGTATTCCATGAGGTCACAGTTGGGTCGTACAATTCTATATATACTCTTTCATTCAGGGCATTCGAATTCACATCTGGTAGAAAAAATATTCTATTTCAGATTCAAGATCAATTCTCTCAGTCTCTCTACTTGAGTCATATTTATGTTATTTTGCCCATGAAATTCATTCCCTAATCCCTATTTCATGCATTCCCTATATCATCATGAGCCACTGCATTGATCAGGTAAAGACATGAAAATCGTATTCAAAATTGGCATAAAATGATAACAATAAAAACCAAACTTACATTTGACATGAAACAATTCAGTAAAAATATGATCAAACGATATTGTAGATCACTAAATTTTCGAGACACCTTTATTTTCACAAGACAGTCATTAACTCTTTTATCGAGACAAAATTTTCAGGAATTGTGTCTATATAATATTAAGGAATACATACTAAGTACTTAAACGAGAATACTGTCTCGTGTAATTGTAAAAATAAATGAAAGGTTATTTACAGTAGATTATCATTAAATCAACGTTTGAATCTGCAATATGCCTTTAAACTAGATTGTTTAAAAACCTGTAACAATATATTTGTCAGAATCCTGCATAAACATATAAAACTCGTTAATTTTTTTTTCTTTTCAATTAATGATCAATTCAAGGGTCCTTGGAAATAGGTTCATTAGAAGAAAAATAAGTTTTGTAATCTTTGATATATATACTGAAAGGAAAAAGAAACGCAGGGTAAACTTTTGAGGTGAATTAAATTTGTTTTTATTTTAATTTTTTTTCAGTATTCCTAACTTTTAAAATCATCTTTTAAGAAAATGATACCAAAATCTCATTTGATTTTGTCTGATAATTCAGGAGTTGAAACTCATATGACGATACCCCTCCAAAAGTGAAAATCGAAAACTTTCATTATCATCAATGTTCTCCCCCGCGCATCTGTCACAACCTTGATTCTCCTTTGCATTGAATTCATCAAAATGTTTGTCTTTCAAACCCTGGGCATATTGGGCATGGATAACCACGCCGAAAAATTAGTCAAACGAAGCGTGCATGCGTCAGTGAGAGGAACACAAACGTAAAGTTTACTGCTCAAAAACCTAAATTGCGCAATTGGTTTCCTTCAGTTTTGGGGTGAATGTAATGATTATATTAGTCTACTTAATTAACAGCATTAACACAAGATTAACAGTTCTTGTGGTAGTAAGGTGGCGATTAAACAGGTGGCAGGACGAATAACCCGATCGTAACGTGACTCTGTTTCGCGTTAACGTCATCGTCACAGTTGGTTGGAAACCATTCCAGGCCTTTTTTGTCAACGGGTAACCTGTTCTATGGGGGAAAATTTACAAAACACTTCTCAGTAACCCGTTGGTGCCTTTGTCCTTACTTAGGCAGTTCTGAAACCAAACCCCATGGAACTTCCGTAAACTATACCAAGATTGCAAGAAATTAATATCGTCTGTAAATATTGAAAAAAAAAACCCAATGTGTATACGTAAGTTGCATCAAATGGTACAACAAAATTTGTTGACAAACCCGTCCTCATCAATTTGCACGTGTTTTGGGCCATTTAGCGTTTTCCCTACTTGACGTCATACATTTTACGGTTGATTAGTTCTGAACTGACCATTGATTTTGGTGCATAGTAACTAACATTCTCATCTGACCAATTTTCGTAATTTTTGGTCATGCGGTCAAAAAAAATAGTATGTTACCCTGCGTTTTCCCCGAAATTTCATAAATATTATGGATTCTGTTAAAAATTACGCCAGACGATTGGCCAGATATGAAAAAGAAGACGTTGACACCTTGTCAGAATGGATTAAATATATCAGATCTATGTTAAAGTCGCGTATTAAAAGATTGAGGGGCAAAATGTAAACAATTTATCCTTCTGTGTTCAATAATCCAGAAAGGAAAAAGAATTAGATATATTACATGATCAGTACGTACTGGTCCCTGCCGACAAAGCAGGTAACAACATTGTCTTTGTTTGCAAGGCTCATTATATAAATTGTATTTTAGAAGAACTTGGATTTAATTCTACAAGTGGTAATCCTACTTTTACTCATACTTCCCTTTCTATGGAAGAAATTCTTCAAAATAATATGTCAATTTTAAATATTTTTAATATTCCATAGAGCTAAAATGAATTTGAACTACCCTATATATATTGGATTCCGAAACTTCATAAAAATCCTTACAAACAAAGATACATTGCGGGTTCCAGAAAATGTTCAACCAAGCCTCTTTCATTACTCCTCACTAAGATATTAACAGTAGTGAAGGAAAAACTTCAAGAGTACTGTGCAACAATATATTCAAGAAGTGGTGTGAGTCAGATGTGGATACTCCAAAATTACAAAGAACTTTTAGACGATTTTGAAATCACAAGAAAATTAACAGCTTAAAAACTTACGACTTTTCAACTTTATACACAACCATTCCCAACGATAAATTAAAGTCCAGGCTTGTCGATATCATTGACAGCTGCATTTTCAATAAAATGGAACTCGTAAATTTACTTACCTGGTCATGGGTTATTTGGAAAATTATTTTGTTAAAACACATTCTGATTGCATACACAAGTACTCTGAAGATGACATCAAAAAGAATCTTGAATTTCTGATTGACAGTATCTATGTGGTTTTTGGAGACCAGGTATTCCAACAATCTATTGGAATTCCCATGGGTACCAACTGCGCTCCGTTATTAGCAGACCTATTTTTATATTCATATATGAAGCAGAATTTATGCAAAATCTTATGCGTGATTAGAAGAAAACACTTGCTGTGGCCTTCAACTCGACATTTAGATATATCGACGACGTATTGTCAATTAACGATGGTAATTTCCATTCCTACGTCGATACGATATATCCTGGTGAGCTTGATATAAAAAATTGGAAGTTTGACACATCAGTTTCATACTTGGATATTTTACTTGAAAAAGACGTTAATGGTAATCTGACAACCAAGCTATATGATAAACGTGATGACTTTAACTTTTCTATCGTCAACTTCCCTTACTTATGCAGCAATATACCGTCATCACCTGCACACGGAGTGTATAAATCTCAGTTGATTCGATACGCAAGAACATGCTCTACGCATGAACAATTTCTAAAACAAGGTAAATTATTGACAAGAAAGTTGATGAAACAAGAATATCAGCAGTCTCGTTTAGGTCATCATTTCGTAAGTTATATGGTGGATACAAGGACCTTGTCAGCAAATACAATTTACCATTGAGTCAAATGCTGACTGACGTTTTTCATACTAATTGTTAATCAATTATTTATACACTGAATTCACGACGGATTTTTCAGTTATTTCCCGATCATGACAAGGAGCACACGACGGGTGTGACCGGTCAGCAGGGGATGCTCAATCCTCCATGGTACCTGATCCCACCTCTGATGTTTCGGAGGCCCGTGTTTGCTCTGCTCCTATTTTGTATTGTTTTATGGACTTTGATTTTCAATACTGTTTGTTATCTCCATATCCTCTTTTCAGTATATTTTCCAATACTCAAACGGATACTCTGGATATGACGTTTTATAAAAATCCAGACAGGCTACTGACAGATAGGTTTAAGCTACAGAGACTTCAACAGCCTCATTTAAAATTAGCATTTCGTAAATTCCTTGGTTGTTATAGAGACATTGTTAGCGACTTATCATAAGGTCATATTTTGGTTGACGTGTTACACACCAACAGCTAGGCCTTGCTTTTATACTTAATTTGACGACGGAATGTTCCATCTACCTGATCAATAAATATGACTCACGACTCCTACACACCTGATGCCACCTCTGAAATTTCCGGTGATCTGTGTTTCTGCTCTAATCAAATATTTGTATTGTTGGTGATTTTCTTGGATATTGAAATAAAGACAATTTTTATTTCAACAATTTATTTTACAAGCTAAAAAAAATATCTTACCTGCTTGCACATAGTAAAAGTGAGAATATGGTGTTATTTCCCGCCATTTAATACACCGGAAAAGATTGTACTGAGTACCTCCATTTTCAACAGTTTGGTCCGACCTATAAAATACATGTATGGAATTGGTGACATTTGCAGGAGATAAAATTATCTAAAGATTGCTTTGATACAAGGATTAAGAGGCAACTCCTATTTGATAACTTACTTGAACAACAAATAATTTTGGGAGGTGTCTTCTGCTTGACAAGTCCATGACGTCACAGTCTTTGAGTAAGCTGTGACTGACCAGCCAGGTGAGATAGACTTGGAAGGAGCGTTGATTGTAATGGAACCCTTGCCAGAATCGTACCAGTCATTTTCCCATTGTATTGGAAATGTACAGGAACCGTCTTTAAATCAAAAGTAAAGAACATCCTTTGAAAACTCTCATTTAATTTTTAAACTATCAAAGGAATCAATAAAGATATAAACGCCAAAAAGAAATTCTTTTAAATGAACTTTTAATGTATACTCACGACATGTGGCTGAAAAAAGAAAAGAAATCAATATTAAAAAAAAATATTAAAAATGTATATTCATAAAAATGCAAATATTCATACTTTGCAGCATTGGTTACGTACAATAAGGTGTAAACGTGTAGTTGGCTTTCCCATCTGTCTGTTTTACAGTAGATTGCTGACCAAGTTCACAACTCCCTGCACTCTCGCTTATGTAAACATTGTCCGAACTGGCATCAGATGTAACAGCCTTCAAAAACAGATAGTTAAGCATACTGACGTATATTATTTATTTGTTTTTTTTAAATTTTTAAATGTTTCTTTAAATCTGATATCGTATACCATATGAGAACTAATATTTTATTCGGCTACTCACTAAACAAGTGAATCTATGGTAGTTGCTGTTATCCACAAAACCAGGATTTAGGAGTGAAGTGTAGTATGTAGTGCCACTGATAACTGTGAAGAGACAGTATACCTCTCCCTCCTCTGTTTATAAAGTATACTCATAGTAAGTAAACAATTGATATTATAGGATAATTAAATTTGGATAAAGTCAATAACCTGTACTGTACTCACTTGAAAATACTTCTGTAGAGCATTTAGTGTAATTAAACGTCATCGTAGTCCACGTGGCACACACGTCCACATGTGACCCATTTCCACACATCTGATTGGTTCCATTGTCCATTGTGTAAAAGAATGTTCCCAGTAAAGGATTAGGGCACCATTGTTTCACTGTTGTTTCCTGACCTGCAAACAAATTTTAACATTAATTAAATCAAGATCCATTAAATATCATTGATTGGATGAAATATGAAGAATGTACTGTTTTCCTTGATACAAAATCTTGTCATTAAATCTAATGAAAAGGGGCATATGGTATTGGAAACCTTGTTTGACTATCATGTGGAATTGTTCAATCTTGGGCCCATTGCTTGGGTTGCAATATGTGTTGACATTCCACTGTATTATAGAGGGATCATGCGCTTCTACTGTGACTCGTTCATTGCTGACGTCAGCATTCTCATCTGTAATTATAATGATACGAATTACTTCAAAAATTCAAAAAAGCAGTTAATACCTGACAGAGTTTGGTTTAATTGATTAGTTTTACCTGTTCTGATGTAGTATCTGTACGAGTTGCTAGTGATTTTCTTCCAGTCTATGCACATAAAAGCATTCATTTTGGTTCCATTGATTTCCAATACGCTGTCAGATCTTTTTTGCGAGAAATAAAGAATTTCAATGAGTTACAGTTATCAATGTACTTCACACACAATTATTATTAAACTAAAATTGGGACACATAAGTTATCTTTAATCGCATCATATCCAATTATAAATCAACATTTAAACAATGAAAAAAAAATTGACAAAATTCAAGCCTACTTTAAAAGTAGAAGATGATTATTGGCGTCATCTGACATACACGTCCATGAAGAGACATTGTTGGTGTCGATCATCAATGACCACCCTGAAGAAACAGTTCCTTTATCGTTGACAAATTCAACCGATTCTGTTCTACTGTCGTACCATGTAGACGCCCAATCCAACGGAAACGTACAGTTTCCATCTTAAGTCAGGGAAAAATGGATAAAATAAAGGTCACTAACTAAGAATGATGGAAAACTTAAAAAGAAAAACTAAAATAGGACACACTGACACACGGACAAACAAACGAGAGTGAGTTAAATAAAACACAACACAACAACACAAAAGCAGCAATGCAGCGTTACCCCCCACTTCAAACAAATAAAAATGAAAGCAGAGGTTGGTGCCAAAACGAATATAAACATACAAAAAATTTTGCATGTCCTTTACATATGTGCCTGTACTTACAACAAGACGCTGTTTCAAAAAGAAAAAAAATAATACAAAGACCATCAATCTGTATTTATCTTTTTTTACTCATAGCAATGGATGAAAAATGTCCAGATTGGTGAACACTAACCTAATAACGTTAATGTCAACACACCACTTCCCGTCGAGGTTTTTAATGTTGCTGTTTGACCTGCTTCACAACTTCCAGGGTTATCGCTAATGGCAACCTGCGTTCCGGACACGGTTATTGCCTATCAAGTGGAATGAAAGAAAACAACACGAACATGAAGAAAGATTGAACATATAGTGTTTATGTTTGTAGGAGTTCTCGTAAATTGTTTGGATCTTAATGAAACTCAACAATAATAACCATTATATCTGTGCATATGCAACGATAAAAATGGGTTCCGTTGCCAAAAAATAGAGGAAGGTAGGTTAGGAATGAAATTTGCTATATTTTTCAAAAGAAACATTGTTAGTGTTTTTGCTTTTACATGATATAAGTCACTTACAAGACACGTAAATCGATAATAACTGGCCCCCGTGACGTTTCCAGGATTGAGAATGCTTGTAAAGAAAGTGTTTCCTTTCGACAACGTCTGAACACAGTAACCCTTTCCCTCTCCTGAAAATATGATTATAATCCATATTCACAATAACTTTACTATATTATTCAACTTACATACGGAATAATTTTATTTAAAGAATGATGTATGCCATTGATTGCATTGAAGTGCATACTCGAGAAAATTTGTTCAGTTGAGCATTTGGTGTAGTCAAACGTCAGGGTATCCCAGGTAGGGCACACAGTGAGTTCCGAGGAGGACCCACATGAAGTCGTAGATCCATCATTATGGGTGTAGGTAAAGTTGCCTAGAAGTGGTATAGGACACCACTGTTTGACGGAGCTTTCTTGTCCTGGAGGGTAAAAAATAACGTTAAAGAATAAACAAACATAACATCATTCTCAGGAATAAGCATTAACATGTGAAGTTATTGTATTACCTTCCTTAACAATCACATGGTATTCCTCTGTCACTGGCAGAGAGGTTGGATTGCAGTAATTAGAAATATTCCAGGATTGGATGGATGGATCGTGATCCTCTACCATCACTCTCTGATTACCCGTGTTACTTTCAACATCTAAAGCAATTTTTAAGGAAATTAGTAATAGAACATTTGTAATATTCAGTAATGATATGTTCAGTGTATCTCTTATTTCTTTTTATTCTGTGATGTATATTACTTAATTTTTCTATATTTTAAATGTCATATAATAACTTTCTTAAATAGTACATGTATGTGTAAAAGTCCTTACCATTGTAGACATAATAATGGAAAGAATTGTCTGTAATGTTTGTCCACTTGATGCACCGAAACACATTCTTCTTTACTCCGTTAACTTCAATGATCTGGTCAGCTCTATCATGAAACAACATAAGATTTAAATTTCAACTGGTAAGAGACAAATTTAAACTAATTATCATCATACAAACGCATTCTATTTTTGCATTATTTAAAAAACTTTTCAAAATTTTACTTTTTTAATAAGAAAAGCAACTCACTTAAAGAGCAGCAGTTGATCTGAGTTGCCCTGTGTCTGACAGGTCCAGGAAGTGACCTTCTGACCGTGGACTGTCACTGACCATCCTTGAAGGTTGTGGGAGGAATGGTTGAAGGTGAAATCTCCCAAACCACTGTCGTACCATTTATCATTCCAAGTGGACGGGAAATTACAGCTACCGTCTATCAAATTTTTGTAAGATTGAATTTCATGATTACAGAAAATATATTGTTCTTTCCTGGTTTCTATGATTGATTTATTATAAAGTTATAAGAAATTTGAATTGTTTTCAGAAATATAACGGTATTTCAAAGAATTAATGCAAATTTAGCATCATAATAAAACATTTTTCTGATAAACGTCTGTTTATTAATATAAAAAGTTTGAAAATAATACTTACAGCAGTTTTCTGAAAAACAGAGGAAAGCAATAATTGAGAATCTGATATCATGATTTGCACATAATTCATAAAATTCATTATTTTTCCGTAAAACTTGCTATTTTTGAAGAAAAAATTTGTACATCTATTGATCATTACAAAAAAGTTATTTTGGCCCTAGAATGTATAAATTTACAAATAATTTTTTGTCTGGTTATTAACTTAACATAGATTACTTTATCTTTATTTCAAAATTAGACCAACTACATACATGTATACACCGTATTTTGTGAAAGAAATCCTATTTTTTCTTTTTCCCTAATTTTGGTTTTCATAATTTAATAGTCACAATATGATTTCTATAAGCGTCATGGGAAATTTGGAACTAAAATCAATGCTTAATGTAGCCCCTTACTTCCTTAATTTGTTAACACTTACGATTTTGAGTTAGAATAAGAGTTCCAGATCCATCATTGGCTTTAGTTGTAGGCGACTGGTTCCTCTCACAGCTTCCGCTGCTGTCAGAGACGCGAATCTCAGTAACAGAAACACTGAAGGCCTTCAGAACGACGAAAACAGATATCAATACATGTATATATGTCTTTTTTTTAACACATGGTCACTTAAGAGTGCTTACAGTCAGAACTTACATAGCATGTGAATCTGTGGTACACCGTTCCATCCACTATTCCCGGATTGAATAATGAAGTGTAATAGATAGAACCTGATTTGATGGTATTTACACAGTGTACAAGTCCTTCCGCTGAAAGGAAATGTATCAAATATTATCAATTGTTTTTAAGTTATTATTAGTTATTTATGAATATGTATTTTAATTTTTCATAACAAGCAGAAAATGAAAAGAGAAATTACAAGAGAACGCCTGAACAGTGGCACATTTTGAGTAATCAAACTTCATTGTTCTCCAGTCTGAGCATGTGCTAAGCTCAGAGGAAGAGGAACATGTCTGTGAACTTCCAGTATCATGAGTATAGGAAAACTTTCCCAAGAATGCATTTGGACACCACTGTTGTATCTGGGATCCAGCCCCTAATGAAAATATAAACGTATGCTTGGATATGTTAGTATGCTTGAAAAGTGGGAGGGTATATGACTTACGTCCGTCCGTCCGTCCGTCTGATGTGTCCACTGAATGAAAAGACACATTTAATTAATTCAATTACTTATCAGTTCTAATTTTCGTGGTCCAAAAATGAATTGCAACAAGTCACCTTGTTTCAAAAGCATATGGTACTCTTCTACTCCAGGTGCTGAGGCAGGTAAACAGAAAGTGGTGACGTCAAATGACGTCACAAAAGGATCATAACTTCCAACGTCTATCCGTTTATTTTGTGCATCAGCGTTGAAATCTAAAGAAAAATGGAAATTCTTTTATTGATTCTTTTTTTTCTGTCAACATCTTATTGTTCTTATACTGGGAATATTTTATCCTAGTGTCATGGAACAAGCCAGCTATATAAAACAGGTAAATTCTTCACTAAACATATAATTAGTCTCAATTCACCATACAAAACATTGTAGACTTAAGATTATAGTTAAGTCATAGCGACAACTTTTTGCATTTTAAGATAAGTATAACATATATGATACGTATCATTTCTCCTGAAAAAGTCAATTGCTTACCATTTTTAATGTAATAGAAATATGATTCGTTTGTTATTTCATTCACTTGGATACATCTGAATATATTCTTCTTAACTCCAGGTGAAACCTCTACCACTTGATCTCCCCTGATAAAGATATTGGAAAAAAGACATTTAAGATATTATTAAAAGTATATATTGTGAAAATTATATCAAGGCATGACTCTCACTTGAAAAGCATGATGCTGTTGGCGGTGTTCTCGGATACACAAGTCCATGTCGTCACAGGAACAGAAAGATAATTGACAGACCACCCTGACGTTATGGCTAGGGAGGTGTTACTCATGGTGACGTCACCCATACTGCTATCATACCATCCGCCATCCCAGGTATATGGAAACGTACAGTTACCGTCTGAAGTTAATGTTAGGTGAAACTTGTATATTATACGTATTATATTATATGTACTGATTTTTTTTAATATATTAAAACAGAAAGGAATGTAAATAAGAAAGTAATCTGATAGAAAGTTACTTTACAAAAAGAATGACTTAAAATTGGACTTACAGCAACTCTCTGAAAAAGAAAAAATGAAAACCAAATTAGTAGAAAATAATTTTGACAAGATAAAAGAAGACAATTGTTTATATATATATATATATATATATATATATATATATATATATATATTTATGTCTTTACCTTGTTTTGTTAGCACAAGTGTACCGCTACCGTCTGTCTGTTTGTTTGTGGAAGTTTGATTTTTCTGACAGCTACCTTTACTGTCACTTACATAAACTGAACCTCCAGAGATGGTTATAGCCTAATTAAAAAATTGTAACATCAATTATACTAATAATTTAATTCTCTTAATTTCCAAATATGAAGAGCCTCAATTCATAATAGAATAATTAAAAGAAATATTTTAAATAAAATTTGATTGACATTAAGCATTGCTTAGGGAAAAAAACATACCAGGCAACTGAATCTGTAATAATTATTGTAATCAACAGTCCCATTGTTTATAACGGTGGTGAAGTAAGTTGCATCTTTCTTTATTGTTTGAACACAGTCTACCACACCTTCATCTAAAGAAATACAGAACTTTAGGTACTAGTATATCAAACTTTTTATATACAATATAAAGAGTAGCAATAAAAAGATCAAAATACTTAAGTCTCCAAGTTAAACATTTGCAATACAATCTATTATTGGATCGTATATTATAATAATTGATGTCTTTCAAATTGTTACGTCATTGTTTTCACTTTTATTTGGCTATCAATCATAACAAGGAAACCACAGCGAATGTGACCGATTCACTTGGGATGTGTATTCCTCCATAGAATCTGATCCTCATTCTGTTTTCAGAGGTCCATATTTGGCTCCTAATAATTCTTATTGTTGACGAAAACTTTTGAAAATTATAACTGTTCTCATCTTCTCATTGCATAATCAATAAAATGGGAAGAAAAAAAAACTCCAAGATGAGATGTATCAGGGGCCCAAAAGGAGTTGGTATCCCTATTGTCACTGAGGCCGCGAGCTCATTATATTCATCAGTTAAAATTCTTCATCCGTGATCAAAGTTTGTATAAAAGAACCCTTGTAAATGAAAACGGCTGCAGCCCATGTAAGACAAATATATATACCATTAGCTTGCTTTTATGGGTTAATGTACTTTTTCTGCAATGTTGCAATCGTTTTCGCGGACAAAAGTGAAAGATTTTATTATTTTTGTATTCAAGATGTTAAAGTTAAACTTTAATGTTAAGGACCAGGAGGTCAATTTTCATGATACCTTCAGAAACGCCTAATCACAGAAATTAGCACTAAAATATACGAAAACCCGACTATGTGCCCGCGATTTAACAAAATGGGAGATGAGGAGCAAAATAAATAAAACTTAGAAATAAATGGACAGAAGAAAATTGTACCAGAAAATGCCTGTTTGTTGGGGCACTTTGTGTAGTCAAACTTCATCCTTGTCCAGGTGGGACAAACTTGTAGCTCTGAAGACGAGGAACATGAGCTGGTGGTGCTATCATCGTGAACGTAAGTAAATCTCCCCAGCAGAGGAGTCGGACACCACTGGACTACAAGGGCCTCATACCCTGTATATAATCAAAGAATCTTAATAGCAAGTCTTAAATTGTATATGAAATCAAATTTTAGAATTTTGTTCTCAAAATTTAACTCAAGTTTATTATTACGCTTTGTATAAAAAGAGCAAAAGCAATATCTTTTTGAAACAAAAGCACTGCTGTTTTTTTTTTAAAATTGAGTTTGATAATTGTTTATTTTAAAAAAAAATCCACGAATTTTATGAAAACCTTTCTTGACCAAGACATGGTACTCTTCAAAATCGGGACCGGAAGTTGCCTGACAGTATGTTGACGTAGAGAATGATGTAACAGAGGGGTCATCTATTTCCACTTTGGCACGCCTATTGCCGGATATATTTGGTTCTTCATCTGAAAAAAAGTGAAAATATGTCTTTTTTGCAAAAACAGGTATTTGATTAATATACGAGTATGTCAAAATTTTAAAGAGAATTAAAGGTTAACCTCCGATTACGTAGTAATAGTAGGAGTAATCTGTTATTTTCTTCCACTGAATGCAGACAAACACGTTAAAAGTTCGAGTAAATACAGTGATCCTGTTGTCACCCCTGAAATGAATTAGAAAATGTTCCAAAAATTAGAAATGTGTGAAAGGTATTTTATTTTAATCTTTAACAATGATGCGCACAGGATTAATAGAACAAAGTCAATTCCAATAGATTCAATAATAGATGATTACTCTGTTTAACATTTCTTTTGACTATTTAAAAATTCCAGTCGTTCTGTGAATCTACTACATTGAAACAAAAAATAGTAGGTAAAACTGATCTAATAGAAGAGAAAAATTTTGTTCTTTCCTCCTCTTCATAGATTTGCTATACCAAGAGAATCAAGCGGACCTCATCATCAACAACTACTCACAGGAAGAGGAGCTGATTGCTGGTGGTGTTTTCTGACTGACAAGTGAAAGGTGTCACCATTTGGTTGTAGGCGTTATATTCCCATCCTGCAACCTTACTGAGAGAACTGTCGAACGTGATGTCGCCATGGAGACTGTCATACCATTCTCCATCCCAAAAAGGCGGGAAAGTACATGACCCGTCTAAAATTAGTAATAGACACTAAACCGAGATGAAAAATAACGAGTCATCCATCAGGAAGTCATTCAAGGCCGTAAAAATATAAAGTGAACACTAGCTACTTAACACCTTAACATGGTTGGTTTAAAATATATTTATTCAAATTAATGATCTGGATTGAACATTTCATCATGTTAACCCACACTGACATAAAACGGAGGTTGATAAAAGTCTTATTAAAGATTAACTTACCTTATACATTTTGACTTTAAATTTCTTATTTCATAAATGATTGGCAAAAAAAATGAAAGTATCGGAGCACAAGAAAGTCAGTACCACTTTATAACTTTACAAATTTTAAACATTTTTCCTGAGGGTACTTGTGGTAGCTGTACATTTAATTGTTGAAATCCGATAATTAAAAGGCCACCGATTTTCTGATCATTTTAAGTATATAGGTATCTCGTGACAATCAATTTTCAATCTCATTTTACTTGTTGTGAAATGAGATTTCTATAAAGTTTCTATTTTTTTTTAGAACATGTACAAAAGAAGAAACATAAACGTTGTTTCTAAGGCGTAAATAAGAACTTGAAATATCTGTCTAAGTTGTTTCTGCCGGGTACCCATTGATCCCTTAGCCTATTGCTAAAGATTGCAGATCATGCAATCACTCTGTATGGAATGACAAGTTATCAGCCTTTTTTTTTAAATCAATGCACAAATTCAATGTTAAAAGATGGGTGAGTGCAGAAATGTTTGGACAAAAAATCGTTAAAAACAGAATACATTTTTAAGGTTTCTATGGCCAAAGATCAATCAATGTTTTGATTGTTGTAGAGGAATTTGAAAACTTATTGCAGGGTGCAATTGTAGATTGTAAATGATTTATTCAAAGGGATATTGAATCATGAAATCAACATATGCAAAGAACTGCAATTATCTATATATCACACATTCCTGAATATTATTCATTCAGGAAAAACAAACTTACCAATGAATGATATTTCAAAATGTATAAAAGTAAAAATCCACACAATCAAATCATATTTGTTTGTTTGTTTCATCGTACAGTAAGGTCTACAGTACAGCACATAGAAGAGTTCCACCTTAATCCATGGTTTGATCGCTTTCTTTTTAAACAGACTTATTACAATTACGAAGAAGTTTACCGATTAAGGATAATCCAACACTACGGTTGTTGTAATTAAAAATCATTAACAGTTAATCATAGGTCGGACTAAAACAAGAACAAATTAATCGTGGAATCGTCGGATTTAAAAAGACGATGTCGCTGAAGGATACTTCACATACCCGACCAAGTTATTCAATGAAGTTGTAAAAATCAATTTTATTCTATTTTCATAGTTATAGTCATCACAATCTTTTAAAACAAAGTGGGAGATTTTACTTTCAATATGCTTCAGGAAATTTTTAAAGTAATTTTATGATGAAAAATGAAATGGCAGAAATCTTTTCATTATAAAAACAATCTCCATACCCGTAGTCGTGCATTACAAGCAGGTAAAAATATAAGGTTTTAATAATTAATGAATTAAAAAGGAACGCACACAAAATTTTAACATCTTGTGTCAGAGAAAAACTTATTTAAACAGTGATTTCAAGTGGGGCCATTCCAAGAGTTTTCTTTGATAAGCATCCGCGTGCGCCTTGGTTTCCGACACTCCGTATAAGAAAAACACACAAAATCAGGAGTCGATAAAAAGGCTCTTTTGGCCAAATTGTTTGATATTTGCTACATTTAAAAAACGTTTCGTCTAATTATGTCATATTAGGTGTGTTTCAGGCATTACATACCTTGATTTTGCCAAAGAATAGATCTTTCTACCAGAGAAAACTAATTTATACAGTTAATTTGAATGACGTCGTTTTTTAAATCATAAAGTCCGTAATTTTGGCATGTGTTTTTACTTAATCAGAAGCTAGTCTTAAAAAGATGGGTAGACTCTATAGAGAGAAAAAAAACTTGGAATGGCCGAATGTTGAAATAAAACATGTAACGACGGAAATCTTTTCATAATTTAAGGAATTGTTAAAAACGTTTTCATGCATTGAAGGCACGTGAAAATTAATATTTGATAAGTTTTGAACAATTTTATTTTACACAACTTTAAGTTGAAGAGAAATATTAACATCAAAAATTACAAGTATGAAATCATTACATGGTGTATCGCAATATTACTAATTCATTCCAGTGCTGATATCATATGAAAAACTGAATTTCTTTTGTTTTATTATTACAACCAAAAAGATAACATGTAATGTTTATCCTAAAACAACTCCCTCAGCATGAAAAAGCTCGAGTTTCAGAAAATGTGCAAAATAAATTTTGCCTGAAATTCACCTAGGGTCGTCATCTGGTTTCTGGTGGTTCAAGAGAAGGCTTGAAATGGTATTCCAAATTTTTTATTTTTCAAATGAATACATACCATTGTTGGATTCAAGTATATTGGATTTTACAAAAATATTATATTCGAGATTTGTTAAAGGTAGGCGATCGCACCCAATGGTCTTCTTCCGACAGCTTTGTAATACTGGGTTGTCTTATTACCGAATCACTAGAACAACCTCCATTGATTGCATCAATGATAATTTTAACTCTTATCATGATACGCAATACTTTCTTTGCAATTGATTCAGTGAAAAATTTCATTAATTTATTATATTTATGCAAAATGGTGTTCAAATAAGGAGAGTTTTCTAAAGATATGAAGAAAGTGCTAAGGCGTTAATATTTGTTTTCTGAAAATTGATTCTACATATGAATGGCTGAGGAAATATTAAATTAAATTATGAAGAAAACTCTTCTCTACTTCTTACGTAATATTAAAACGATTTGAATTGAGAAAATAATCGCAGTGAAAAAAATGTATGTTATATTTCAGTTATCAATGTATTTGTTGAATAAAACTTTCAGGCAAAAATACTAGGTATTACTAGAATAATTTGTCTAATATGAAAAACCATACACACACCAAAATAATCATTAATTTTGTTCAGACATTTTTTTTAAAAACTTGGTTTTTGTTTTTTTTTATTTATTTTTTTAAAATCCATCTTTATGCTAAAAATATACAATATTTGCTTCAGACAATCATAAAGAAAGGACGCGCTATACCATAAATTTACATCATACGAGGGGTTATCAAAAAGTTCGTGGACTAGCATCATAAAATTAAAACCGCCTTAGGCACATCAATGAATTTTAAAATATCTAGTTAGTATCATCTTTTCTATCTACAGAATAAACCACAAATCATAAATTTTATTTTTTGATAAATTAGTAATGTTTTTGTAAGCAATGGTATGTCCAGGCGGCGCAACCTCAAACACGACGTTTTTGCGACCTATGTGTAACTGAGACAAACTCTTTTGATATGATCATTTGAAATCCAAAAATCCTGTTAATTCAGTTATGTGCCGGGACACAATTGTTCCACAAAATATGAAATTTTCACTTCATTCTGAGAGTTCTAATAAATTTTATCGTAAATATCACACAGAATGTCAAAACAAATAAGGCCTTGAAAATGACGTCAAAAAGGGGGAGGGGTTTCCATTTCAAAGTTCTTATATGTTTTGCCCCTGGAAAAACTGGTATAGATCTAAAATATGTTGAAACTGGCTACAGAGAAATAATATGCATTCAAAATACTTGTCTTTAAATGTCAGAATGGATTCAAAGAGAAAAGGGAATCACATTTTATGTCGATTTGCAATCTAGGTGTTATAAATCAATCACGTAAAAAAATGACGTTGATCATGTGTAGTAGATATTGAACTCCCAAAAGCAAAATATGCCAGTACAATCAAGCGAAGATCTCTCCTAATGTATTAATCCATTTGGAATATTATATTCATTGAAAGCCATTGTTCATGACATTGTAAAGTCATATAAACAAGGCGGGTTAAAGTCCTTACTCAGCTTCAGGAAATCTCATCAAAAAAGTGTACGAAGTAGAAGAAGCGGACATTGAAAAAAGAATGACGGTATCGGACGTCATGAAAATAAAAGTCGACAGCGCCGGGTGATCATATAATGTCGTTTTCATTTTATAATAATTTTGCAAATAATGAACGTATCAAGCTAAAATTTTCAACATTTCTTTATTTATTGTTGTTTTACATTACATATAAATTTTGAAAGCATAGACTACATCGTACTAATTTTATAGCCTCAGTCCACGAACTTTTTGATAACCCCTCGTATATAAAAACAATATTAAACTGCCATTACTTAATATGAACTAAATGACGAAGTGGAAAGCTTGTCAGTTTCTATCAAAAACACCCTGTCTTTCAGGATAGTAATGGTTTGAAATAAATTCCCCAAAATCTTTATTTTTTAAATCAGAGAATCATAATTTCCCACAGAATGTTGGCGTGGCAAAAATTATATAACATCTTTCAATCAACACGATTTTGCTATACATTATTTTACATTTTACAAATTTAGTTGAAATTGATATTTTTCGTAATTTGAAGGTTTAGGCATTTTGAACATTTTGTCCCTCCACCTTCATTTGTATAACATTTTCCAATTGAAATACTTGTCTATATTAACTTCAATAAATAGATTTTCTGTCCTAAACATACTGAAACTAATAAAACTGCCACAAATAGTTTCGTTTTTTAAACAACTTTTTTATCTGCAAAAATTGTTCGTATTCAGATTACAAATGCTCAAGCTACAAGTTATTCTACTAATGATGAAAGGTAAAAAGTCCTTTATTACCCGAATCGTTTACCATAAACTTGGTGGTTTTTTTTTTACATATAAACCCTACATTTTCTCAATATATAATTGAAAAGTCAGAACAGAAATACATAGAAATAAGCTATCTATAGTATAATATATTATATTATTGTTTTTAAATTTATATATATTTTTTATCAAATGAATCTTTATTCAATTATTAAAGTGAAAATATTTTTGATGAATGCTCTACAATACTTACAACAGGAACCTGCAGAAAATATAAGAAAAGAATTATTTAATTGCCGTTGATTTGATAATTTCTTTTATTTAGCAAATCGATTCAAAACCTCTTCTTAAGACGTACCATTTACCAAAAGAGTAGAAACTCCTGATCCATCGGCCTGTTTAACTTTAGCATCCTGGCCCTTGTTGCAGCTGTTCATACTATCACTCATGTATATAGTAGACCCTTCCTGTTTTATTGCCTGAAATAAAATCAGTTTTAAAACATTACAATATTTTTCTTTAAACTAAATATAACTACCATCCTTTTGAAGTGAATAAAAAAGATTAATTTTATATAAAGTATAAAAAAAACAAAAGAAATCAATAATAATAAAAAAAAAACCCAAATGCAAACATGGTTGAACATGTATCACAGTTAATTAAACAAGTGGAGAAATATTGAATAAAGGTTATTATCTAAAAAGAAATGATCCATAAAACTCACAAGGCAAGAGAATCGATGATGGTTTGGCTGTGTAACGTTTCCTGGATTAAGAACAGTTGTGTAAAACGACGTTCCATCAAATACAGAATGGACGCAGTGAACGACTCCCTCCTCTGTAAACAAGAATATTTAGAACTGATTCAGATTCTATGATTTTACTTGAAGATTTATTTCTGTTACTGGTTCTGAAGTCAAAGCAATTAAAATTTTTAAATCCATTTAAAAATCAACTTGGTTGTTTAAATAATAACTAATACTATTATTTTGTTTAAATTACTTGATATTCAAGCTTTTATATTTAATAGTTATAATGCGGTATACTTGAGAAGGCCTGTTCAGTGGGACAGCGGTTGTAATCAAAGGTCATTGTTGTCCAGTCTGGGCACAGACTGAGATTAGAACCACCACCACACGTGACGGTGGTGCCATCATCGTGGGTGTAGTTAAATGTGGCTCTAAGTGGAACGGGGCACCACTGCTTCACGTCAGACTCGTATCCTAAAAATAGAAACTCTGACGTAAAACATACACATAAACTAATGAACAGTAAATTTAATATCTTAAAGTTTTGCTTTTTTAAAATGCTCAAAGACGTGATATCAAGTTACAACTTAGTCAAGGTAAGTTGTCCTCTTGTTAATCTCTTGTATGTTATTTATTTACCCTACCTTCTTGAATTAATACGTGGTATTCCTCTATTGGCGTGGAACTAGTCTGTCTGCAGTATGTTTCCAGATCCCATGACGTCACGTAAGGACTGTGCTCTTCCACAAGAAAACGTTGATTACTTGCTAGACTGCTCTCATCTGAATCACGAATCATGAAGAAAAAAGCATTATTGTCTAAGGACAGATGATACAAACAAACTTTTGTCAAAGATTTTGAAAATAACACATTGGGTAATGTTTAAATTAGTAGAATGAATAACTTTCACCGCGTATTTTTTGATTTTTTATTCAAATTGCACACAATTGGAATTTGAAGTGGAAAACATTTCTATAGATTAATAAGGACGGTTTCAGAAAGGGAGACTTTTGAACACTACAGAAGGTTTACAATTTCTTTTTTGTTCTAGAAATTTATTATTTGCATCATTTGCAATATAATAAGGCAAAAAAATATATACCAATCCAGGCATCCATTTTTTGTTTGTATCATCTGTTTAATTAGTTTAAAATGTATTTTGAAGAAAAATAATCATAAGTAAGCTTTCAAGAGATTACCTTGTCGAACATAATAAGAAAATGAATGGTTTGTGATTTGTGTCCATTCAATACAACGGAAAACATTGTATCGTTTGTCATTGTAAGAAATCGTTGTATCTGCTCTGGAAAAAATAAAATGAAAACCATTAAAAATAAAATTGATAGCAAGATTCAAAACAGTCAGTTATACCCTGTAAACAGGATAAGCTATCTTCAGATTAAAAGGAATTACATTGCTTTGTATCTAGAATTAAATAATATACAGTTCAATGTTATTAAATAAAGCAAATGATCATTATAAAATTCATAAAGACAATGCGCACGGTGTTGGTGTCAGTTTCGGTAACGTCAAAATTACGTTATTTTACGTGAAGTTCTAGAAAATTTACTTGACGTCACTTTTTTGCTAACATTTTTTATGGAGAAAAAATAAAAATCCAGCAATGCCGCCAATTAAATAATTCAAGTAATTGAAAACACGTGTAGTTAAATTTTCTGCACTCTTTTGCATGCATATTACTGGAGGTAAATATAAGCATGGTTTGCCTCATAAAAAAAATTGGTAGAAATAACGAAACTTGTTCAATATCGCATTTTAAATGTACATGCTTTTTATTTTATTGAGATAAATTCAAAACAATTCTCTATGATATCATATCAGTAGGCCCTAGAACCTGTCCTTTGTTTTCAGTAAATTGTACGTTGTACATGTAGATATGTTGCTGATTTAGCATTGAATTATTATTTGTTAATTCCCATCCCATCTTGTAATAATTTAATTCTGGCTGTAACGCTGTATTTGATTGGATAAAAAATTTACTTCATATCGTATAAAATGGGTTGCCTACGTCACAATGACTTACGTCAAAAACGTATCAATCCGCCAGACGTAACATTCAAATTTTGTACAAATTGAAGTCATTTTGTGAGAACAATCATCTTTTTTTCTTACATCAAATGAATGAAAATTAAATTATAAGCAATGAATTTAATAGCTACCAATTTTATACGGTATAAACTGGGTTGGAACAGTTTATGCTTTTTTATAAACCGCTTCGCGGTTTATAAAGCGTAAACTGCCCCAACCCAGTTTATACCGTATAAAATGGGTAGCTATTATATTCATTCCTTAAATGAAAATCTGATACATTTGTACTCACCTCCGACAACCCCTTACCCTTATTCAATGTAAACTCCTCATGTATAGAACATTTTATACCAGCATAAAATAGAGTTGACACACTTTACTGTGACTTAATTCAAATTTGAAATCATATCCTTGCATCAATTTTGGTTTGTGTGATTTTCTTTTCGTGTCTTAATTCGAACTCTGATGGAAACTTTTGTACAGATTCTGACAAGGATATACACTGATTCAGTGTACAAGTAAACACTGCACAAGTTTTACTTTATATATAAATACAACTTTTAAAACTTGATTTATTCTCCTAATTAATCATTATTGGTATGTTTTTCTTTTATCCATATCAGGCTCATCAGCAAAAATATTAAGAGTAAGTTTTGGATAGAGAAAAATACATGTATATTGACGCTTTACATAACATTTTATGCATTGAGCCTAATAACGTCAAAATGCCAAATTTTTACGTCTGTGACATTTATGTTGACATTTAATTTTTGTCAGGATTTTTTCACCATTCTATTGAAATTATTTTGGAATACACCAATAACTTTTTGAAAAGATGCACATTTCATAAAATCCTTTAATTTTCAATATGTCTTTTTTCAATGACTACACATATGATCAATGTTACCACATTTATACAATTATAGTAAGATTAATTAGTTTTGGACAATGTGTGACATTTATGTTGACATTGTAAAAAGCCTCTAAAACAAACACTTCTTTATAGAATCAATTCATTTTCATATCTAAATAAAGTTTTGATTTTGCACATTTTGTATTAAACGTTGTTTGGTGCCAAATTAGAAAAATGAATCCTTAAAATGTAGGTCATTGCTGGAGTGTAGCATTTAAATGTGACGTTTTTGCCGTCAATTTCAATTGTGAGGTATAGCTACATGTAATACGAGGGGTGATCAAAAAGTTCGCAAACTATCTCTATATCTACAAAACCACAATTCAGATTAGAATGAAATTCGGTACACACATAGCCATACACAAGGTCTATAAATAGCATATGCTGAATAAAGTTTCTCTCCTTGTTTGTGACGTCACAATGTGAAAATGACGTCACTATTTAGGTCACTTGTGACGAAAAATGGTTGTCTCAGTCGAACTCTTTCAACAAACGATTGTACAATTTATTGTAATATCTTAGAAATCCCTCTACAGTATCATATAATAATTTGTACACAGTTTATTGAGATAAATGAGTTCCTATAAATTCAATTAATAATTGGATTAATTGTTTTAGTGAAGGAAGGCTGATGGTTAAAAATGATACTTGTCATCTTGCCCAGTGAAAGCAAGTTTGAAAAGATATGTATTTTAAATTAATCAATTTGCTATCAAAGACCTCCAATTAGTACTTTGAAAAATAGTTGAATATTTGAACAATGATATAAGTATTACATACCTAAGGTATCGTTTATTTTAGATTTTAAACATATTAGATATGATAAAAAGGATGCACCCATTCTCTATCCACCTTGAATAAAGGTCTCTCCTGAGACAGAAGATTTGTGTTTTAATGGTCGCTATGCTTATTTTTGGAAAGAATGTTATTATCCACCCATTCTTTTGCCGAGATATGACCATTTCTGACAAATTAACTGTTCTTGTCATAAAAATTAACTCACATGGAAAGAAATATAAAACTCGGAAAAATCTTTTAACTTCTGTGACAGAACGCTACGGAGGGGGTCACGTGACCGCCAATATCACGTGATTCGCGCATGCGCAGAACTGTGGTTATGTGCATTAAAATCGGTGAGGATTAATTTACAATATAATCAACATTAAAACCAAATATTGTTTCTTGTATGGAAGTTATTCAATTAGTTTGCGAACTTTTTGATCACCCCTCGTACATACATGTAACTCGACAATTATTATCAAAATTTAAGGCACCGCAAGTTAAAATTCTGTCTAGAGATATTTTCCTTAACAACATGGCAACATTTTGTAGAATTTATAATAATTTTCAACATCAATTTTTCATCCAGCATGAAAAAATTTGCCATTTTACGAATCTTAAAAACTTTGCGACATTGAACCTCCAAACTTTGTGACACACCATCTTAGTCAATGTCCCCACAATAAATCGGCTTAATATCAGAAACCCAACATACATATCGACACAAAATATCAGTCCAATATAAAATATAGTTTCTTGCACACAAAAAGGATCATTGACATGCCATTTCAAAATTGATTTTGCTCATGAAATTATTCCTTCCATATTTCTTCGGATAACGCTTATCTACATCGCTGTCTTGCATTTTGAACAACGTGTTCACAGCATTCGGATTAAACAACATCACAATTGTAAAACTTTGCGTCATTTACATCAGATTTTGAACTTTTCTGCTAAATCTTATGTTTGTGTTGTTTGTTTTATGGAAATTATCAACATTTTGCTATTGCGTGTGCGACGCTCCTGTTACCGATCTACATGCGTTTTTGACGTAATTGATTGAATAGTCGAATTAATATATTTGATAATTGGGAACTTTTTAATCAATATTTTTGTTAAAATGTATTTAGTATACAATTATCGACCGAATGATATATAGTTTTCATATAGTGAATTGTTTTAAAATTATGGAAATAGTGCAAATGCCGCCGTAATAGTAATCATTGAGTATTTGACACCAACACCCTGCGCGACGTCTAAAATAAAAATCGCATCTATATTATTTTTTTTGCATCATAATTTCATATTTATCGATGGCACCAAAAAGTCGACTAATTATGGAGTATAAGACTTTATGATAGTAATAAATTTGAAAGAAATATGTTTTTATAATTATTGAGACTAACTTAAAGAGGGACATTCCGGAGTTGGAGGATGAAGTTGAATTAGAAGCGTGACAGGTCCAGGAAGATACGGTGGTACCATATACTGTAACTGACCATCCCGATACAATCCGAGCTTCCGATTGGTTGAACAGAATTTGACCATGACCACTATATATCCAGTTAGAATCCCAAGCGGATGGTAGTGTACAATTTCCATCTATAATTCAAAAGCTCTTGTATTGCATTGTCAATTTATACCGACAAAATTCAAATTTATTTTATGTATTTATCTTGGTTAATATTCTGTTTATTCTTTTATTTCATTGTATAAATACTCACAACAGGATTCTGCAAAAAAGAGAAAAGAAACCAAAAATTAACTAAATAGATTAATGTAAGTCTTATCTTAAATTGAACTGAAGTTATACATATCAGAGCTGTTTATTGAAAACAATTTTGCTAAAAATATGTACGTTTTGGAGACATTTCCAAGGTTCCCGATCCATCAGTTTGTTTAACAGTTGGAGATTGTCCAACATTACAACTTCCTGCACTGTCACTGACCCGCAAGATACTTCCAGTATCCTCCAAGGCCTATAGAAAAAAATCATTCATATTTCAATTTATCCAAGTAAGTAGATATTTCCCCATTTCAATTATGATTTTCTAAGTCATCATCTTAAATTTTTCCGATTGTTCTTCAGGAAAAATTTGATATTGTTTGTTAACCTCACCATGAAATATATTTAGTAAAAAGAACTTACCAAACAAGTAAAACGTTGATAGGTGCTGTAGTCTACAGTTCCGTTGTTGAAGACAGATACATAATAAGTAGATCCAACAATTTGCGTGTAGAGACATTCTACCATTCCTTCAGCTTATAACATAAAAGATACAATCATGTACATCGGTTAAGGAATTCTTGCATTTCATAACTAGACTAAAAATGATCTGATGGAAACTTGTTTAAAATTTTAGTATATACCTGAAAATGCTTGTACTGTTGGGCATTTCGTATAGTCATACAAAAGAGTTGTCCAGTTTGTGCAAACGTCCAGGTTAGATGCAGGGTTACATGTGACAACACTTCCAGTGTCGTGTTTATAATTAAAAGCTCCGATAAGAGGGATTGGGCACCATTGACCCACCACATTTTCATATCCTTAAAAATGAATGGAATTACTAATTAAAAATTATATTATGCCATAAACAATTTATCTTTTATTCATTATTTTATCAAATGTTAACAATTTGACCTACCCTTTTTGACGATGATGTGAAACTCTTCCGGGGGAGGCGGTGAACTCGGACTACATAGTGCAGACATATTGAATGAATTCACTGATGGGTCGTATTTTTCTAGTGTGAGTCTGGAGTTTCCCGCGCTGGTTTCTCGATCTATGTAAGAATTAGGAAGATTTTATACACTGGATGTATGCCTAATTTTTTCTCAAAGACAAATAACATCAACCAAAGCATGAAGGATGCTAACCATTGTAAATGTAGTATTTATATGAAAAATCTGTTATCCTTTCATATTGTATACATTTGAAGACGTTGTATTTAGTTCCAGAAATGTCAATTTGTTGATCAGCCCTGAAAAAGTTCAAATAATTCCTTTAAAACATATAAGTATGTTATAGTAAGATGACAATCTCATTTCAAAATAAAATGAGATTATTTTAGCAATATGCAATGGGAATTACGATTGCCTTTATCCTCGTCAGATATCTATAGCAATCATTTGGGAAATCAAATACTCATACTCTTTAAAGACATCAAAGATTGAAAATCGAACTTAATATTCTCAGATGATAGATATTTTCAAATGCAATGGTTTCATGTAAGATATAAAAGAAAAATAATTCAAAAGTAAAAATCAATATATTTTTTTTTATAAAGTAGCACTGTAAAACATTTTAAATCGTATAAATAAATCCCATGCGATGCCGGGAATACTGACAAGAAGAGAAGGAGGTTGCTGTCCGTGGTGTTTGTCTGACAGGTCCAGGAAGACACCGAGGATCCACGGACAGTCACCGTCCATCCAGACTCTATCTTACGCTTCGTCAAGTTGAAAGTGATCTCCTGATTATCACTGTCATACCATTCTGAATCCCAAGTCCCCGGAAAATGACAACTACCAACTACACCGCAAAGTATATAAAATATTCATAGTTTATAGGACATGTATTGTAAGCATGTATTATATTTTAGTAAAACAGAAAGACTTCAATTTTACCAAAAATAAATTATAATTCATGTGCTTTGGAATAATAAAAAGAATCGATATACTTACAGCAAGAATCTACAAAAGATAAAATACAAGTTTCACATATATAGTAAGTCAATATTGTAACAATTGAATTGATATAGACATTGTAGAACTAATTTCCCTAAATGATTTCTACCTTTCAGGGTCATTGTCAGTACCCCACTACCAGCACTCTGTTTTACAGAAGGACTCTGTCCAGAGGAGCAGCTCCCAGCATTGTCACTCATCAACACCTGACTTCCGCTCTCACCTACAGCCTGAATTGACAATGAAATTCTCGATACGTGCTCTTATTTCACAATAGTTTGATAAAAATATTGAATGATATACGTTTTTGGTTATTAATATGACTTACATAACAGGTAAATCTACTGTAAGTTGGGCTGTTGACAATTCCAGGATTCAGAACGGAGACAAAGTAAGTGGCACCCACTAATTTAGAATACACGCAGTGACCAATGCCTTCTTCTGTAATTACATTAAAAGTTTCTCTGTTACTCTAGTTTTCGAAAAGGAATAGGTCCATAGGGGGCCACCAGAGAAACATCAAAAACTTTTAATCCGAAACGTAATATTTAACAACTGAAATATGGCTGGTATATTGCCGACTCGGCATTAAACAAAAGCAATCAATTAATCAAGCAATAAATCTCTGTTATTATAAAACCACGTGGTACATTTATGTGCTACAAGCAGAAGATAAATCATTTCTACTTACGACTGAAGGCCTGTATTGTTGAGCATTGTGCATAGTTAAATGTCATCGTTGTCCATTCTGGACACACAGAAAGGTCCGAGTTGGAGGAGCATGTAACGGATGATCCGTCATTGTGGGAGTAACTAAACGTCCCTCTGAGTGGCTCAGGACACCACTGTTTCACTTCTGATTCTTTACCTAAGTTATATATCAATGTACAACAATCATACTATTCATTCCTTTGTTTTAGCTATTTTTAAAGAAATCATTATTGTCAATTGATTAAAAATATGTGATTTTTAAAACCTATTTTCAAGAAAGAAATCAAATTTGAAAAAATGAACTAGAAATTTTACCTTCTTTCGCAAGGGTATGAAATTCCTCTGCAGGCGGGGGTGACGATGGATTACAATACGCATCAGCTGACCAGGAAGTTATAGAGGAATCGTAAGGTTCTATATATAATCTATCACCGCTCCCTAGCTTATCTACAATAATATTGATAGGAATAAAAAATGAAAATTGTAACATCTTTTTATAAGTTAATTTTATATCGAAAAAAAGTAGGTTCTTAAATTCTATCTTACCTGCCATTATATGATATATATAGGAATTATCCGATATTCTCTCCCATCTTATACATTTAAATACGTTCTGAGGAACTCCGGATGATTCAACAAATCTGTCAGCTCTGAAAAGTAAAGTGAACATGTTATGATGCTATCAATAGCATATTTTTGCTATACGAGGGCTGTTCAATAAATAATGTCCCGAGTCCTGTGAGATACAATATTGAAATCATATGACATTAAGCTTGACTTTTTCTCATGATTGAATCTTTAATGAATTGATTACAATTTATGTGACCACTTTTCATCACATAGTTTCATTGTGAGAAGCTGGAAAACCAGGACTATTCGAGACACTGCATTAAAAATGAATGGTAAAGAATCGGTAAACAAGAGCGAAATTAAACGCTTCATGAAAGTTGCTGTAAAACTCTTTAAGAATCCCAGAAATATTAACTGAAATATGTGAAATTTACAGCAACTAATGTCTGTTTTAAAGACACATGAGCAGGAAGATTTCAATTAACAAAAATGATATAATGGGCATCAAAAATAGGTACCGTACTCGGCGACAAATACTTACAACAACCAATGTAATGTTTGCGAAAATTCAACAAGTAATCACTGATGATGTTTGATTGAATTTAAGACACATATCAAAATTTATACGAATCATTTTGGGGGTAGTTTACAATGTTTTAAAGAAACATTTGACAGTAAAAAAGCTTAGTACTCAATGGTCACCCTATTTTTTGAAAAATGAGTGAAAACAACAGCGTGTAAGAATATCTAAACAATTATTTTTAAAAATCAAAAATTGAAGTTATCCACGTTTGTCTGAACTTCAAAATGTAACGCAATTTGAATCCATTGCTTTAAACCCTAAAAACAAATTTACAATAAGATGCACTTGACAAAAACAGCCAAGGTCTGAAAAAAGCAAAGAATTTCAAAAGCACAAAAACAGTTTTTATATGTCATTTTCTTAAATATTAGTAGTCTTGTTCTTCAAATTCTTATTCGAGGAGGCATTTCAATTTCTGGAGAAGTCTAGAATACGAAGTTTTGCAAAAAAAAAAAAAAAAAATCGAAAGGTTTATGAGGATGGAACCAAAATCAGGAAACCACTACATTAAATTTCGTCATGTCAACGTCCAATCCCACAGGCCATGAGGAGTAAAGTAGTTTTGGGGATAAACAAAAAGTTAATGTTTTGTCAAATATATATATATATATATATATAAAAAATCCCCTTTAAAAGAAGAAATATATATATATATATATATTATATATATATATATATGTGTTTTAAAAACAACCAGAAATTGAATAAAATATTACAGACGTGTGTTTTAATTAAAAAAGAATATTTAAGCAAGATCATTAAGGCTAAATACTTGAAAAGCGTTTTTGTTGCCTTCTGAGCACCGAGGACATTATTTATTGAACAGCCCTCGTATAGAACTATTAACATATTACTTTCAATCGATTGTGCACTATGGAATGATATCCATTAATTTAATATTTCATTATATTCATGGTTTCTTTTAATTAAAAAAAATGTGTAATATCATTTATTTTTATGTAATTTTTTAAGCTTCTCGAAATCCATTATTTCTTTATCAAATTCGTCAATATAAAAAACAATCTGTTATGCTCTATGTCAAAGTGGTCAAAATTTAGTTATATAGTATAATGGATATTATTCCATAGTTTACAATCGATTGAAAGCAACATGTTATGGTACTATATATCTACAAGTTTCTAGGGTTCGCGTTTGCTTTGTTCCTGATTTGTTGTTTGGATGGATTTTTTTTTTAGCTTGAACATTGATCGTCATCTCCGTTTATTTCATATGACCACAAACGTTTTATTGTGTATACCTACCTAAATAACAGAAATCTTGCCGTTGCGTTACTAGCAAGACACGTCCAGGAATTCAGTGTTTCACCATGAGTTGTTACTGACCAACCCGTACTGATCATTGATGTAGAGTTGTCAAATGTAATGTTTCCGTTTCCGCTGTCGTACCATTTGCCGTCCCAATCCAAAGGAAAAATGCAGGATCCATCTAATTTTGATATTCAATATTATTGTTTTATGAAATACTTTACGTATTATTTATTACAATACATCATGCTTTATTATTCAAACTATGTAATAATAATTGTTTCACAAATAGAATAATGCATTAGAAAAATCCTGACTGAAATTTAATATGATTAATAATTATGACTCATTGTGATGATTTGAGTCAAAACAATGTTTACGCAAACTTCTTCTAAAAGTGTTTACTCACAGCAGTTTTCTGCAAAAGAAAAGAAAAACCAGCATTAATATAAAATTAATCAAAAATTTGAATTCGTAAATATTTGTCGCGTATATATAATAAACTTCTGCTGGTATACCCACCGGAAGAGGTCAGTTCTAGAGTGCCGCTACCATCACTTTGTTTGACAGTTGACGTTTGTCCTGCTTCACACATTCCACGACTATCACTCATATACACAGAACCCCCTGTAGATGATATCGCCTAGAAAAAACAAACAGAAAATCATATCATTTTCATTTATTAAAATTCTATTGGATAACTAGTAAAAGTGGTTGCATTTATTTTTAATTGGATACTACTTACATAACATGTAAATTTGTAATAGTTTACGTCATCCACGATTCCTGGATTGAGTACTGTTGCATAGAATGTTGATCCTTCATATGTACTGTGTATACAGTGTACCTGCCCTTCGCCTATAATATTGAAATGAGATAAACTTTGAAAATTATTAGATTTGCTAAACCCAAATTATTTAATTCAATTCAAGTGTTAAGTTATATGACCGTACTTGAGAATGCTTGTTTTGTGGGACATTTTGCATAGTCAAATTCCATTGTCGTCCAACTCGTACAGACTGTCAGTCCTGAATTTCCGCTACACGTGGTTGTCGTGCCGTCATTGTGCGTGTATGTGAAATTCCCCAAAAGAGGAATCGGGCACCACTGTTTCACCGAATTTTTATAGCCTACATTTTGAAAAATTTGATATCAAACCAACAATAAGAATAGGAAATCCGAATTTATAAAAAAAAAAATCTTTAGCAGGGGATAATTAGTTTTCTTTCATTATAGTTTTTTAATTAATGAAATAAGCATATTTAAAAACCAATTAACTGATGTATCAGTTAACTCCAAATTGTGAAACTCTATGAGGATGGTTTGGAACAATTCAAATGGCATACTGTACAAAAAACTTCATACATTCTTATTAAAACCTTATCAAATTTCCACGTCAGACTATATATTGTTCCAAATAAACTTTCTTAAGCATAAAGACACTTGTATTTTACCTTTTCTGACAATTACATGATACTCCTCTACTTGTGGGCCAGATGTTGGGGTACAGTAATCTGAGGTATTCCATGACATCACTGAAGAGTTGTGTGTCTCTATGTATACCCTCAAATTACTTGCACTGGAATCGGTGTCTACAACGAAATGAAAGTGTAAAATTATTATGCATTCAACTTTTAAAAAAATGTCTGAGAAAGAAAATGTTATTGCAGTCTACCTGATCTGATATAATATTGGTAGGAATAAGGCGTGAGTTTCTTCATGTCAACACAAAGTAGAGCGTTCTTGTATCCACTGCTTGTATCGAGAATGTTGTCACCTCTAGAAAAGAGAAAGTTTAATTTTTTTTAATTAAAACTGAAGTTGTTCATCGATGTGTAATAAATAAAATTCATTCTAAAATAGAGAAAAATCAATCCAAAACTTATAGAGATTCATTACTTGAATAAATATAGTCCGTTTGTATTGTCTTGACAGGTCCACGATGACACGTGATCTCCGTATGCTGATAATTCCCATCCAGATACGGAGGAGTTTGCGAAAGAAAAATTGCCCTTGCCGCTGTCGAACCAATCAGAAACAAGGTCACTTGGCAGAGAACACCAGGTGCCATCTGGAACATTAAATTCATTTAAACTAATCCGAGAAAATACTTTGTTAAAAAAAAATAGCAAAACGAAAATGTGTTGAATACATAAAAGTATTGAATTATAAAACATTTTATCATAGTAATACGTTACACATATTTCGTTATTTTTAAAAATATTAAGAAGCTATACTTACAACAGGAAGCTAAAAATATAAAATAAAATAAAAACACAGTAATTAAAATTATAATTATATTTGTATATGTACTAAATTATTCAAAAATTAATAGAATTTCTATGAAATTGAACAACTCTTATAATTCTCATTTATAATTTTGTTATTAGAATTCAGAAAAATAACAAAAATTAAAAGACGATAATTATAGATATTCCAAATATTCTTCATCAAAAAATTTTAATTACATTGTCTGGTCAATGTTAATGTGCCACTGCCTTCTGATTGTGTTACTGTTGGTGTCTGATCTTTGGAACAGCCTCCTGCGTTGTCACTCATATACAGAATATCCCCGGACTCACTGAAAGACTGACAAAAACAACACCTTTACTGAAATCTGTTCCTAGTTATTATCATCATAAAATATATAAACTAATAAAATGTAGTTCTTACTAAGCAGGTAAATCTCTTGGTGGTAACATTATTTACAGATCCTGGATTGATCACAGAGGTGTAATAAACGGGACCTTTCTGGACCGTATCAATACAGTGAACAATGCCTTCACCTAGAAATTATATATATGAAACAAAAATCTCAATTCAAAATACAGTATAAATAAAAATAAATGAACAAGAAATTAAGAATTCTTTGATGCAAAAGTTGCTAATTTCGCCAAACATACTTGAGAAGGCTTGGATTTTCGAACACTTTGTATAATCAAATGTCATCGTTGTCCATGCCTCACAAACACTAAGTAGAGAATTCGTTGCACAAGTATCAGTGGTACCATCGTTGTGTGAATATGAAAACGAGCCAAGTAGAGGTATGGGGCACCATTGTTTTACATCAGATTCTTTCCCTGATGAAAATACAGACAATAGCATTTTATTGTTTTTAACAATAAAATACATTTACAAAATCCTAAACATAATGAGGAAAACAAACTTAATCATTGTTTACAACAGAAACAAATTAGAACAAAATAAAACATCAAAATGAAGTTTTAGTGGTAGAATAACCTTGTCTGACTATGACGTTGTACTCCTCTAGATCCGGGCCGGATGTAGGGGAGCAGTAAGTGTCAATACTCCACGTGGTTACCGTGGGGTCATATGTCTCCACACGAACCCGATCGTTAATGGCAGCAACGTTTACGTCTATTATAAAAAGAAGACAGAAAACAGAAAAGTAATTGTAATCAAAACGAAATAAGATACAATGTATAATTGATTTTGTTGTAATTACACCACGAAATTGTCATTTGTTGGTTTTGTTGCTTATCGGAATAATTATAATTTTATATTTATAAATGAATTTTCTATTTAAATAATTGATCTAGTTTGATTTTACCATCTAGGATATAATAACGGTACGAGTTGGTAGTAAGCTTTTTCCATTTTATGCAGCGGAACACATTGTACTTGGTACCAGCGACATCCATTAAATCATCAGCTCTGAAAACATATATAATCAAACACTCGAAAAAATCATTTTATATAATTCTTAGTTTATTGCAGCACTCAATCAATGAAATGAATAAATCAGTGTTTAAAAACGACGATGAATTTAGACGATCGATGGACTAACTTGAACAAAAGGTAGTTATTGGTGGTGTTGTCATTATGGCATGTCCATGCAGATACTGTATTATTATAAGCTGTAATGGACCAGCCGCTGGTTACTCTGTTACTCGAATGATCAAAAGATATGCTGTCTTTTTCAGTATCTAACCACGCACCATCCCAGTCTGCAGGCAGTGTGCAGGACCCATCTAAAAACACTCACACACATTAAAAAGCGTAAATTTTGTGAAAAAAAAAATCAAAAATTTTAATTCTTAATGGTGTTTAAATGACTAATATTAAACTCAATTTAAAATTTAATTTAAATAATATAAATATAAGTATATGCGATAACTCCGTTATTGTCAACATATTTTTTCTTGTCAAGTAGTTTGAAAATAGTATTTATAAATGTGCACAGATGATAGATTCCCCAAAGCAAGAAAGCAAAAGCAAACATTGAAGACATAAAGGGTCAACAAAATAACATTATCAACATAAACAAACGTCATATGAATATCAATGTACATAAACATATTTTCACTGAATTTCACATGAATTTATTTCATCAATCAAAATATGTGTTAATTTTCATGATGATTCATTATGAGAGTAATAATATATATATAAACTTGTCTACTTACGGCATGACTCTGAAAGAAACATACAACTTGGTAAGAATAATATGCATTTACATTTTTTAGATTGAGTGGTACTTACCGTTAACTTTTTTTTACCTGGCCAAAAAATCTAACATAAAAACGTTATAATGAATCAAAAACGACAAAAAATAATAAATGTTTAATATTTAAACTAGTAATTTATGGTCTAGTATACAGTGTATAATATTAATTGGTAGATGATGTTCTCCTACCATATGATGTGAGAGTCAGGGTTCCACTGCCGTCAGATTGTTTAACGGTCGGTGATTGTCCCCTCTCACAACTTCCAGCGCTGTCACTCATCTGTACTGTAGTACCACTCGATACCAAAGCCTAAATATTGCTTTTCAATCTTTTTATTTAGGAATTTAAAATAGATTGTTATATTTCAAGAGAAAATTCCTTCGATTATTCAAAGGTGTTGTTTGATGCACAACGTTTTTTTTAATTAAAAGAAAAAATAAAATTTTATCTGAATTAATAGTATTAAGATGAACACATATTTTCAAATTGATTTTATACTCTAATATATCTTACATACGAGTATATATGCATCAAAATATTTGATTTAAAGATCTGAATTTCAGGAAATATTTTGATTTTAAAAAATCAGTCACGTATTTATAGGAAAACATACGTAGCAGGAAAATCTGTGATACTGTGTCCCATCCACAAATCCAGGATTAAAAACAGTGACATAATACGTAGAACCGGATGTTATTGTGTGTATGCAATGGACAACTCCTTCTTCTGAAGAAAAGTATAAATAAAATAATGGAGGAATATGTGCGATGAAAATCTTGAATATCGTATGCAAATCGACAATTATCAGTTTACGGCATACGGGAAAATGATTGGACAGAGCTACATAAGCTGTAGTTGAAGGTCATAGTTGTCCAATCAGGACACACTTTGACGTCAGAAGAAGAGGAACACGTGACACTGGATCCGTCGTTGTGTTGGTAGGTAAACTTTCCCAACAGTGGGATGGGACACCATTGTTTTACTTCATTTGTAAATCCTGAATCAAGAAAAATCGAAAATTGAATTGATAGTAAAACATTGTATTTGACAAAGAGATATTATGTTATCTTGATTGCAGCCTCACCAGCTTTGACAAGCACGTGGTACTCCTCCTTCCCGGGGGCACTTGTTGGATTACAGTACGTAGCAGGGTCCCAGCTGTTGACAGAAGGGTCGTATTTTTCAACAAGCACCCGATGATTGCCTGCATTAGTCTCCATATCTAGAAATTATTTTACATTCATAACAATTTCAAAGCAACAATGAACTAAAATTAATTATAATCAGTTTATGGTTTTCATTAATAATGACAATCATTCGTAACACTTTAAAACAACAATGGACTAAAATTAAATTAAATGTAATCAGTAGATGGTTCTCACTAATCATCTCAATTAATTAGTGGTTTACAAAATTTTATCTTACCGTTCAGAACGTAATACATGTAAGAATAATCTGTAAGTCGTGTATATCTAATACATCTAAAGACATTGTACTTCTCAGAGTTTATTTCAACAAACTGGTCAGATCTAAAAAAAAAAAATAATAATCGTATAACATATTGATTTAAAATGGTAAATAACAAACATCATTTTTTCCTGAATGCATTCTAAGCAAAAATACAAATTAATTGTGAAACAGAATTATATATAGTTATAAAAATATGATGCAAATAATAGAAAGTTCGTGTTAATATTTTACTTAAAAAGCATGGTGCCAGTGCTATTAATTTGATTTTGACAGGTCCAAGATTTCATTTGTGTTCCATGTACGGTAAAAGTCCAGCCTGAGAGGACGCTATAGGTATTTCTGTCGAGGGTAACATTTCCCATTCCGCTGTCATACCATTCAGAATCCCACGTAGAGGGAAAATAACATAGGCCGTCTAAAACAGTTTGAATACTAAGGCAATCCATAGGAATGAAACAAGTATTTGAAGTAATTTATAGATGAAAATCATTTAGTATCTGCAACCATTAATATTTGGAAAACAAATCAGTTAGAAAATTGATTTAATTGAACGTTGTTTTTTTTTTAATTCTTTAGCATGATAAATAAATTATACTCACAGCATGAATCTGGAAAACAAAAAAGTTGACAATCAATATCTTGAACAACACTTTTATACAATATTAATTATATCTATACGAAAACCCCCATTATTTTTTATATATCAATAGCCTTTTACCTTTTAAAGGCTTTGGTTGATAGAATGGAAGAATATGAAACGGCTTTGCAAAACAATCTATCAATAACCTTCATGCTATACACTACTGAATTTACTTACAGGTTTTATTCAGTGTCAATATACCGCTGCCATCCGCTGCTTTCGTGCTTGGAGTCTGGCCAGCTTCACAAATACCAGGACTGTCACTTACATATAAACCGGAACTCGATTCCGAGATAGACTGTAATTTACATTATAAAAAATTAAATTAAAAAAAATTTATGAGGGCAAGTACTTTGTAAAATTTGTCAATTTTTCTTCAAATAAAGCATTGAACGACAAAAACCCATCTGATGTGTCTTTTTCAGTTCCCTTTTTGAACCAATCTCTACCTGAATGAAATATTCTTTAAAATTCTTTATAATCATAACAATTAGACATCACTTACGTAACAAGTAAACCTATGATAAAGGTTATTGTCCACTACTCCGGGGTTATATAGTGTTGTGTAGTAAACATCACCATTCTGGACTGTGTTCACACAATGCACGATTCCCTCTTCTACAAATACAATATTCAGGCTAGGTTCAATATTCTACAATATTTAAGATATGTACAATGCACATCAAACATAAAAAGTACATCAAACGCTGTGTCAAAAGTGGGGTATATACACAGGACTCAATGTTTGGTTATAATTGGATAACAATAGTCTCTAGCTTCAATTTCAGACCAGTGGAAAATAATTAGAGACAAGAAGTCTTTTACTGTACCCAAGATTTATGTAATGTTAAAATTTAGGCACTGTACTGCATTTTAACTTTCAAAAGAAGCAAGAGTGCCAATCCCGTGAATTGGGGCTTTTCAGTTCGATAAATTTTGGCTTTACACAATTGGTAACAAATTCTATGTGGTTAGGTAACACATATTGGTTTCAACCACAATTTAAAAAAAATAAATCTAAGTCAGCTGTAATGGAATTTAATAAAACATTTCATTCTGAAAGAATCATCTCCATTCAATAGGTAATATCAGTTAACTATGCAAAAGACTGATGAACGTAGACCAAACAACATGCTATTGATGCTATAAACGATATCTGTATTCTTGTGTAGTGACAGTTGATACAGATACGGATAAATAGTCAGTGCAGACTTTTTTCTGATTTTTTTTTAATTCGAAAATGAAATGGGTGTTCTGTCAAATTAAGGATCTTGAAATGGATATAAAACCTTTAGAATTTATTCTTTTGAAAAACCTGTTTCTCTACTGCTAAACATTGGTGCTTACGGGAAAATGCTTGGGTTTTTGGACACTTGGTGTAATCAAACTGAATCGTTGTCCAGCTTGGACAAACATTCATCTCGGAGTCGGTAGTACAGGCGTCAGTTGACCCATCGTTATGAACGTAGCGAAATGTTCCGAGGAGTGGTATAGGGCACCATTGCTTCGTCAGAGATTCTGAACCTGAAATCAATACAAACTTGCTGAAATATCTGCTTTAAAATCAATGCCGATATATATCTGGATATCAATTCAACACGCACGTTAGATTTTCATAAAGTCAATCATTGAAAAGATTACCTTTCTTTAGAAGAACGTGATATTCCTCGGGTCCTGGTCCCGATGAAGGGTCACAGTAAGAAGCGGCATTCCAGGAGGTTACTGACGGGTCATAAAACTCTACCTTAACGCGGGCGTTTTGTGCGTTTGGTTCAACATCTTATTTCAAAATAAAGAAGTAAAATTATCACCAATTAGAAAACAAGATTCTTCCAGTTTTACTTTTTTTGACGACTGAAAACTTTCTGTCTTAAGTTTTGTCCCATACAATATACTTACCATGAGTTCAGATTTTTAAAATATATTTTAATACAACCGTAAAAATAAACAACAAGGTGTCGATGATGAGAGAGATGCTTATTTATTTATGCTATTATTAATGAAATAGAATAGGAACATATAAATAGAAATTTTATCTTTAAATTACATGTTATATAAAATCAAATCTTTATAACTTTCTTTTGTCAAAGAGGATTCTTACTCCTTCATATCACCCGATTCCAGTTCTGATGTTCTAGAAGTCCACATTTGCTCTGCTCGTAATTTGTATCGTTTAAATACACTTTTGACTGTTAGTTAGTGCGATATATTTCAATAAAGTAATCAGTATTGTTGTTTTTTTTCAAATTATACTAGAAAAGTGGTTTGAACACAAATATACAAAGAATTACTCCTTAATGGCGCATTTCTCTAATATATCAAAAACCTCCGTTTGGTGAGATATTATTTCCGTTCATCATACTCAAAAAAGTTTTCGCAGCTGCACACAATTTGTTTGAAATAATTTTTGGATTGTATCTAAAGCAGAAAAGGTGTAGTCTTTCTCAGCTATCAAACAGACTGTCTCCTTTGGTCTCATAATCAATGATGATTGAAAAAGAATAATCGGAAGATATGCAAAATACTATGCGGACATTAAAAGGTAATTTGCAATGGGGGTAATGAAATCAACAGTTAATAATAGTAGCTTCAAAATCAAAAATGCAAGTAAAATCAATGGAAAATGTTCTCAAAATACGAATATCTTTTTCATTCGACTTGATTTAAGTTAATTTTGTGAGCATGAGTGAAAAAAAACGTACCTGCACGTGCGTAGTAATAATACGAATTGTCCGTAATCTTTTTCCATTTAATGCACCGGAACATATTTTGCTGAGTACCAAATAAATCGACCCTTTGGTCGCCCCTACAAAAAAGATATTATTTCTTTGACATAATTAACACTCTGGGTTAACTATTTCTTTTACTCTCTTAAAACATGTTTTGAACTGTACTCACAGGAAGAGCAGGTAATTGTTGGATGTGTCCTCTGATACACAGGTCCAGGAGTTTATAGTCGAAGAATATGACGTCATACCCCATCCTGTTAGTGAGGTACTAGAAAACGTCAGCTGTCCATAGAAACCATCGTACCAGTCACCAACCCATTGTGTTGGTAGAGTACAGGACCCATCTATTGGGATAAAATGTCTATGAAATATATCTTGCACATCATAAAATTTATTGTTTTAATCTATTTTATAATTCTAAAACATTAAATATCTAAATTGATGCTTGAGTGGCGATGCTTTTTATTTAATTGTTATTCAAAAAATTGAAAGTGAAAATCATTGTCTAGATGTTTTATCTGCATGTAATGAAAACAATGAGAACATTGATGCATTTTTTTTAACTTATAAAAGATTTATACATGTCATATTCTGAATGCAAAATAAATAAATAAAATTAATATATAAATTGTATATTTTCAATATTATAAAAAAATATTATTTTAATTTTGTATATAACAATATTAAAATATCAATGATTTTCTAAGCTACTGTAGAGGAAGCGTAAGTTATCAATGTTTTACAAAGTTCCAAAACTTCTTATGGATTAAATATAAAGAAAATATCTTCAATGAAATAATCCTAATGATGATAATATGTAAGGCTAAAAAACTTCAAGCTTTTTGTATGAGGTAGGCCAAAGCGCAGACAATATCATTATATTTTGTTAAATGTGCATCGTCATGACTCTGTCAAAGGATCGCGAGTAATCTAAAATAATCTGCGATTACCTCACCCATCATAACAATAAAACCCATGGTATTTAACTTTTGTTGTGTTGTGTCTGAAAGTATTGTGGTCTGGTCAAGTATGCAACACTAGTGGTTTTTGAAAATGAAGACAAAAGAAACAGATCGATATACTAAATACATTTTGTCATTCATGGCCACTTTATGTATTCCAAGAATGAAAGGGCCAGGACATTTAGAGCTATACAGATGTTTAAAAATAATCCAATAAAACTCCATCCATAACGAAATCACGATATCACGAAAGAAAATAAAGAAAAAGATCATTGCAAGTTTAGCAGACTCATGTAGACACTTAACAGATGCGTATATTGGTAGTTGATACAAAATATTATAAAATGGCTTCTAATTTTGTGTAGAAAGATAAATTTAATTATGCTTGTTTTGTTTGAGCAAATTAAGACGCCATCCCTTGCCGGTAAGGAGCTGGAAATTTAGACCTGTACAAAGCACTTAGGTCCTTTGAGCAAAAGGAATCTTTTTTGTGTTAGCACCTACTGCAACAACCTCGGTTTATACGATCGCATACGAAAGACCAGTCTCCACGTCCAACAGTGGATTCGAACCTGCGACGTAAGGATTGACTCCTTACTTCGCTTCCCTAGAACTAACGACGCCATGCGGAAGACTCAATTAGTGATGAAGTGTTGTCGCTAATATACCTTACCTAATTAGACATTATAAATTCACATTCCTTTTCTTATGATAGAGAGCTATATTTTTATTTTTGATTTTATGTAAGACTATCGCTACTAATAAGATAAATCTTCCTCCTGTCAGAAAAAAGAATGAAAGAACTATGAACAAAACAAAGGAAAAAGCTTCCAAAATGTTCACATTTACAACCATGATGTAAGGATTCATCTTTTTTATCTGGTTCATAATAATTGTACCATCCATATCAATTTTATTTAATAAAAAGTTTTAACGAGAATTAAAATTTAAAATCAATAAAAAGAGGGAATCCATAAAAACATATCATAATAATATAAAATCTTCAACAAGATTAAAAAATCGTTAATTAATTTACCTGAATTTGAAATTATACTCCAAAAGGAAACGAGATACACCAAAGTGAACATGTGTAATATGATCTGTCTCTGTGACTTACATCATTGCCTTCACATAACATTTAATGTTTTCTTTCTACAGGCTAGCGCATAGAGTTAATCTAGGTCTTACAAGGATTATGAATTAAATAGCAATATGGATTTAAAAAGTAGTCTCACAATCCTATGTGTTTACTCTGCCTCTTGGCACTCGAGAGCGAAGATACGTAATTCAATTTTATTCAACCAATGTGCGAGCCTTATCATTGATAGTATTGGAATTGATTGGTTATTTCCTGTAGAAATACGACGATCAGATGTATTTAATACAGTGAACTAACCAAACAAAGCTTAGCTGCATGTCCGACAATTTAGCCAGAAATGGTAGCTCTATATATAGGGTGTTAATAGGACTCTATCAGAATTACGATACGTATACAAAAGTCAATTAATTTTAAAGCGATTTAGGTAACTAACAGCATTGCACTTATTAACTATACCTGAGAGAGGAACATCAATAATGATGCTGAGTAAAATCCGACGAATACGAATGTTTTTAATAATAGGATTAAGTATAGAGTAATAAGGACATCTTTTTTGGTTAAGACATCTATTGACATAAGCATTTTTTATGGATTATTTCGCACAAGTAGAATACATTTAAGTTTATGACGGTAAAAGCATAATTAACTGAATTCCGGTCTTCAAAATCACCTTTTCTGCAAGACATCGAGTTGTTGGACATTAAATATTTCATAAAGTATGACATGCATAAATGCTCAAGGATTTAAGAAATAAACAAAAGACAAAATGTAAAGAACAGTGATCATACTGAAAAGTCTATTTTAACAATACAAATTTGAAGCTGGGCCAACACAGACATCTGAAAACAGAGGTAATGCATACAAAATTAAATACCTCTTTTATGCTTTTATAGAAAAAAAGTAAGTTAAGGATTGTTACTTTTTTATTATTAAACGGACTTTTACTAACATTTGCTACCATTGTTGTTCGAGCAAAATGAGGCACGATGAATTCTTTATTTAAACCATTCACTGAAGGACATATTACGGAGTAAATTTTGAATTCGGATGGACAAGGTAATTTCACCTAAAAGGTGCAGTAATTTAGTATAGTATGAAGGAGAGATTTTGAAAATCAATAAGTAAATTTATGTCAGCACTAAAACAGAAGGATTTTTCAGAATGCAAATATTAAAGTAAGAGGAAACTGGAGTAAAATCTACTATATACAATTTTCTGCGACAAGTAGACAATTATGAAAATTTAAAAATACTACCACTCCTGTTAAAAGACTGATAACTAAATTGATGAGTTATAAATCCCTTTGAAATGAATTATTGATGATGGTTTTATTCTTATCTGAAAAAATCTATACGCTAAACTAAAGAACCATGAGCTAGCTCAAAAAGTCCATTTACTTAATGCAAATAGAGAATACAGCCAACACGGTCCTTTCAAAATACCAGAAACGAGATCAGATACCATGGAGAAGTAAGCATTCCCTGTCGACGTAACCTCTACCCTGTACCCCCTGTCACGAGAAAAACTCGAAGATAATACAGTGTGAAAACGATTGCCTAATGGTTTGGAAGTCGCTAGATAACATTCGAATTTTCGAAAGACTGCATCTGTAGAGAGGGAAAATGTATAGATCATGCTAAATCTTGAATTAAAACGAGATCATTGATATCTATATATCATTAACTTACCTTGCGTCAGGTAGGAGACATGTAGAAGATAATTATATATTCCTACATGAATAAGGAAAACTGTTTGGAATCAGATTGATTCTGACATTATGTTTCTCATAAAATTTGGTTGAAGTTGTTTAGAATCAAATTGAATATGACGTTACGTTTATCATAAAATGTAGTCAATGTCTTTTTCTATGAGTAAAATATTCAAATATAAGACTAATTAGTGATTCTCTTTTGATTCGAGTTTTGTCTTCTGTTTGTTAAACAGCTCTTCAATTTAAGAGTCTTTCACAGAGCATTTCGAGACGCCAACACTTGCCAGTGGAGAGCTTCAAATTTAAAACCGTATTCGGCATTTTCAGTCTTTGGTGAGGGATATTTTTATGTCCGTATCTACTGTCGTCCCATTAAAATTATATGTTAATATAACCTTCACGTCGAGCAGTGAGATTTTAACTAGCGACATAGGGATCGACTCTTTATACTATACAAATGTTGCATCCATGGTCCTTTCGCCGCGCACACGATTTGAATTTCGAGTTCATAACATTTTAATCTATTTGAAAAAAAAATCACTTCATAATAATATTTAAAGTGTACTGTTGCCAAATCGACGAGGTCTTTTATACGTTAAAAGGTGTCTTTTTATTGTAATTTTAAAAAAAAACATCAGTAATAGCGACTTTTGATAAACTTAAAAGCTCACCATTTTTAAAAAAAATCTATTAGACTGGAATGCTATCTAGTCCCATATGTATTTACTTGTTAAACAATTGATTACATAATCATGTTTATTATTGTCTGACACATTAAGGAGAGTAAGGAAATGAATAAAATGCACGGAACGATTGGTAAAACTTTATATTAATGCAATGCTCATCGTCGTTGCCTTTGAAATATTGCTTTGATATATCTTAATCAAAGACAGAAAATTGATCAGAAAAAACAAATTACATATCACTGTGCGTTCAATTTAGCTATGACAAGAAGCAAACGGCGATCGGTTGATATGTAATGCTTACTCCTCCATGGCACCTGACCCCCTCCCTCGGATGTTTATGGAGGTCCGTGTTTGCTCTATTTCAGATTTGTATTGTTTTAATGGCCTTTGAGCTCGATTATTGTTCGTTATCTCATATTTCATAACAGTATTTTAAAATTTATCAATATACATTGCCTTATTTATAGGATCATCAAAGAAAAGCATTGATTGACAATATTTGCAATTTCAGCAAACAGCACTTTCCTATTCATCAATATTGTAGAAATAGAGAACCCCTCCACAAAGTAAATATGGATTAAGAACTCTCAATAATTAATATATCTTTCTCAAACCATATTTCTATTAAAATATATCTCTCTATATCAACATGAAAAAAGAGAGTAAATATTGAAAAGTTTACAGAGAGCATGGGACCATATCTTTTCAAATCATTCTTACAACAGCATCCAAAAGTTCGTCAAAAAAGTCTGTGTTTTCTTTTTGAACATCCTATACTTACAACATGTGTCTGGAAGATAAAAGAAATAAATATTGTAAATTTCTTTAAAAAAATGATGTTATTTTTTGGCTTATGTGCTTTCAATATTATTACTTTATTTTCCTTGTTAATCAGTCGATATAAATACTTTCTTTTATTGAAATAAGTATAATATTGTTGAATCCCATAAAAGTTGAAATGTTGCCAACTTCAGAATGAATCAGGTGTAATACCTTTCACTGTGAGCCTGAGGACCCCACTTCCATCTGTTTGTTTGAAGTTACTTGTTTGGTTGGCTTCACAAATTCCTGCACTGTCACTCACTGTTACTACTCCACTCGCCTCAGTTATAGCCTATCAATCAATTAATATGATTGATTACGGATGGTATCTTTTTTTGTTTTATTTTGTTTTTTATTATTTCCGCATTTCAAATTTCAAATAACAGTAGATATATACAACTGTATACCTATAAACATTCACTCACTGATTTCTTCACTTCATTTCAAGGATTGAATCTTGTCCACATTTTTAAAAGTTTCGATACAAAATACATACAAGTAGATAAATTACAATTTGTTATAATGTAATTAGTAAAAATCAGCACATACAAGGCAGGTAAATCGCCGGAAGTTGACCCCGTCTACAAGCCCCGGATTGAATACAGATGTAAAATATGTGTCACCCTGTACTACAGTATGAACACAATTAACAACTCCTTCTTCTGCAATGAAAAAAATTGTTCTGAATAATTTCATAAAATAGCATATTTCAAGTTTAAGAAACATATCTGTTAATATCGTTATGTTTTTTTTCAAATTTCATAAACAAATTTGTATATCTTTCTTAATTTTTCCTATAAAAGTCTGAACTACATACTTGAGAACGCCTGCACTGTGGGACAAAGAGAGTAGTTAAACTGTAAAGTGACCCAGTCTGGACAAGCAGATAGAGAGGAGGATAGTCCACACGTGGTTGAAAGGCCATTGTCATGTGTGTAGTTAAACTCTCCTCTCAATGGAATGGGGCACCATTGCTTTACTTCTGTATCATGCCCTTAAATGTAGATGGTAAAGATTACAAAAAAGTGTTAAATTCATTAATCCGTTAATAAATAAAAATCATGGACAGGGTGAAAACTCATATGAGATGGGACCATGTTCAAAATGGAACAATTGGTATGCGACACACCAGAAAAAAAGCAATAAAGAGAGTATTTGCATATAAATCTTTTTGCAATGGTTGCTAAAACGACCATAGACTTTGCAGACTGTTGAACTAAAATGAGACAGTTGGAATGTCTGTTATTTACACTTGTTTTTCATTAGCTTGCCTCGGTTTGGAAATACTCAGCACACTTGAACATTGAACCAGTTGGAAAACCGTATGCAGTTGATTGTTGATTATTATCTTCATAAAAAGGAAATATTCACAAAGGAAAAGCTGAAGCTATCCAGTTTGACAGAATTTATTTTATTTAAGATGGTCAGTAACTTCTCAATAAAGCCCGTGATTATATATTGCGAGATATGAAATATTGCTGAAAATATATATAGCTTAATTTATTATTGTATGATAGGAAGATTTATTTTAAAAATATTTTGCGTTATCTTTGTTTGCCAGATGAAATGTTTGGTACCTTGTTTGACCAGAATGTAGTATTCTTCGTCCCCTGGTGGAGACACTGGTGAGCATAATGAACTCACATCCCAATTCGTGACGTCAGGTGAATATTCAGTCAGGTATACCCTCTCAAAACCAGCATCCTCCATTTTATCTACATAGAAAGTAAACATCTAAACAATTATACTTAAGAAAGCGATCCAGACAAAAGGCTAATTAATTTGGTACACTGTGTACTTACCATTCATAACATAATACGAATACGAGTAGTTTGTTAATTTCTCTGTCCTTATACAGCGGAAGACATTGTACAACTTGTCTTTGGAATGCAGAAGATCATTTGCTCTGAAACATTGCATTCATAATATTGATAAGTAAAACCAAAATATCATTAATCACTAACATGTTATATACCAAGTGTAATAATTTGTTCAATTTTATTTTTATGTTCAAAGTAGTTTTTTCCCTGATTTTCCATGTCTATCAGTTCTGTAATTCAAATTATATGTTCTCCTTTCTATACTTACCTAAATAGCATTATTCCTTGTGAAGCGTTCTGTGATTGACAAGTCCATGACGTCAGTTCCGTGCCGTTGATATTGATCCTCCACCCCGACACAGCCTTGACAGCATAACTCAAAGTTACATCTCCCATTCCACTGTCGTACCAGGAACCGTCCCACATCACGGGGAATATACAGGATCCGTCTTACAAACAGAGAAAGAAGACCAATCCAGCGAAAAAAGTAGGTTATTATCGTCAACTTTGATTTGTTTAATATATACATGAATAAAATAACTATATTTTTACGAAAAATCTAGACAAAGTTATCAGTTTATTTGACAGACATGGATGATTAAAAAAAAAAGACAAAATAAATTTACACCAAGCAATTAAAATGTTTTTTTCTGAATGTTTTTTTTTTTTAAATTTTGAAGTGAAAATAACAATTAAGAAAAATAATTGACATCTATCTAAGTTGTGATCTATATATAGATAAGTGTTTTATACATTCTTTCCTGTGAATTTGTGAATAATGGATAAATTTTTGCAATAGCTTACCTACAATGTTTGATGCACACCATGCATACCTTCTCCAATTCTTCAATTAAATAACTCACTCTTCTCAGAAAGAAACACGAATGGTAAAGCAAAACGTACTCACACAACAGTATATTCAAAATTTTAAAAGTGACAGTGAAAGGGGTGAATAAAAATAGCTGCAACAAGTGTATAAATTCACAACAAAATCAGGCCAGTGAATAAATAAGCGACGATCTGCAGTGATGAAAGATTCAGTGAACGAAACAAAACAAAAACGTGTGTATTTTTCTTACAACATCGTTCTGCAATCAAAATAGAATGTAATATAATATCACAGAGAGAAACAAATAAAAAATATTTCATATATTCTATGGTATATGATAGTCATTACAGTTTTGTTAATCAAAAATACACCTTAAGAGTAAAAAATGATAAATGATAGGGAAATACCTTATCATTTAACCATTAGCTGACAATGATAAAGAATTTAAAATATGAAAATTTCCTTGTGAAATTCTCATAAAATTGCTCAGTTGAAAGCAGTTGAAGTGGGTAAAATTGGGAACACTAAACAGACCTGTGGATTCCAGCTGTAGAGTTCCACTACCATCTGTTGCCTTTACTGTAGGACTCTGTCCCGCCTCACAGCTCCCCACACTGTCACTCATATACACAGTGTCACCACTCTCCGTCAGCACCTAGACCAAACATTCAAAAGTATAAATGTTTTCTCTACTTGATTTTATGGAAGATTTTAAAAAACTACATTAATACGTAGCATTTTATTTTATTTTTTTGCTTGCATGCTTACTGTGAAAAAGCCGAAGAATACAAGGGGCGATTTATTTCCTCAAAACTATAACCAACTCCGTTAATACTATAGGGCATAAACAATGAACCACGATATTTCAGAGGTGGAATTAAATAGCTTCAACGACAAGAAAATTCTCTTTCGATTAGAATTAAAAAGTTTAAAAAAATTACCATATGAATTCATACTCACATAACAGGTAAATCTGTGGGTTTGTGTATTGTCCACTATACCAGGGTTCAAGACAGACAGGAAAATTGTTGATCCTTTTAAGACATACTTTAAACAGTACAAGATTCCCTCATCTAAGTAAAAAAAAACCTTAAAAGTTATAAATTAATTTTAAATCTTATAATTTTTTTTATAGGTTTTTCAGTTTTTAGTTTCTTGCTAAAACAAGACACAAAGGTAAAACCAAAATAAATAGAAAGCGGACAAGATCTACAGACAAAAGTAATATTAAAAGGACAAAAATCAAGAAAGTGATGACTTTAACTTTTCTATGCAGCAATATACCTTCATCACCTGCATACGGAGTATATCTCAGTTGATTCGATATGCAAGAGCATGCTCTATGTATGAACAATTTCTAAAACGAGGTAACTTATTGACAAGCAAGTTGATGAAACAAGAATGTCACCAGTCTCGTTTCAAGTCATCATTTCGTAAGTTCTATGGTCGATACAATGACCTTGTCAGCAAATACAATTTATCATTAATTGAGTCAAATGCTGACTGACGTTTTTCATACTAATTGTTAGTCCTTTATTTATTCACTGATTTGACGAAAGATTTTCCGTTATTTCCCGATCATGACAAAAAGCACATGACGGGTGTGACCGGTCAGCAGGGATGTTCACTCCTCCATGGCACCTGATTCCACCTCTGATGTTTCGGAGGTCCGTGTTTGCTCTGCTCCTATTTTGTATTGTTTTATGGACTTTGATATTGAATACCGTGCGTTATCTCCATATCCCTCTTCCATTTCAATTTCGATGAGATTAACAAAATATTGAGTCTGCTCAAATTGTTAAATTTTCGGCAAATAAACTATATAACGCCGTACATGGTTTATCAAATTTACAATTAAGTATACTTGAATGATAAGAAAATATTTTTTGAATTTATTGTATTCTTTTTATACTTTTTATTTCTAGAAGCCAATTCTTTTTCAACCTTTTATTATTAATGACAGATATATACCCCGCATATTTCATTCTAATATTTAGGCTTTAAAAATTCGTGTGTAGGGTTTTTTGAACTCAAAAAATGTAAATTATAAAAAATATTAAAAGTATGTTTTATATTGAGTTAGTTTTACCTGAGAATCCTTGAACTGTACTGCACATGGTATAGTTAAACGTCAAAGTAGACCAGGAGGGACATACGCTTAGGTCGGAATTTGAGGGACCACACGTCGTGGTGCTGCCGTCGTTATGTGTGTATGTAAAATTACCCAGTAGAGGGATAGGGCACCACTTCTTGGCATCAACTTCAAAACCTAATAATGTATGTATATAACAATCGAGACTTTAAAATTAGAATTAATATTAATAGTTATTATCATGAAAAACAAGAATAAAATGCAACCCTTCATCATCATGATAGCTACATACAGTAGGAGTACATTGTAGACCGGAAATCTATAAGTTATGTGTATATTTACCATCCGAGACGAAATAAATGTATAAAAATTACAAAATGTCTAAAATTATGTTATGATTTGCAACTTTCAATGTTCTGTTGATGTGGTATAGCTTCAAAATTGTTATTTCATAACTATTATAAATAAAATGCTTCAGCACTCCTAAACGATATATTATACGGGTTATATGAGTTCTGCAATCATAGATTACTGGATTTAAAACATTCAGCGACATAGCAGATACATGTAGTTCTCTGAAGAATATATTGAAGAAAAAGAGACATAAATATCTAATGGCAAATTCATGATAAAGTTTAAAACTAATTTATACATTATTTTTTACTTTTAGTCGGGTCTACTAATGACTAATTGTAGATGGATATGGCTAGGCACAAGAATGAATGCCTAAAATTTTCTAGCATTCAAATACAGTCAATTCTCGAATTATCGCCATTCGATTCATCGCCATTTTCGCAATACCGCCATGATTTCCCAAGAACGTTTTTCCTGCTATATAAAATTCTCTTTATAACGCCAAATTCGCATACCGCCATCCGCCACCCTGTTTTCACAACAAACGTCCATTTTTAAGTGTCAATTATCTCGTTAATACCGCCACAGGTGTATGTGGTCTATGAAGCGCGTCTAATTGGTTGACGCTATCCCTGTTGTAAAGCATGCAAAGCCAATCAAGGTACATGCAATTAAGTAAACAATGATTTTAAGATGAACTGTTAGAATAATTTTGTTTTCTTTTTAATAAAATCACCACGAAATCGCCACGAAATCGGTCGTTGTAAAGTACGCCGATAACGATATTATTTTGATGATTTCTGCTTTTAAAAACAATGCAAGGTTTGTTTAAAAAATAGTTATAAGTCAGAAATTGTTAACGTTTCATTAACAATGATTTCATAAACAATGAATTTATTCAAGAACTTATTTTACGTACTTTAGGCAATATATCATGACGATCGACCCAGTATTTTTTTTTTCAATATCAGACTTGCAGATTTACATACATACACATATACTTGTCTTAATTTCATAACTGAATACTTTGTTTTAGCGAAATTGTACATTAAAAAATTACTTTAAGTACTTTCAAATTTAGAAATATGTTTATATGTACATGTACATGTGATAATAAGAATAGAAACGCTAAATGGTATTTCTAAGAACGATAACTCTACGTCTTTTCTCCTAAAAGATGGAAAATTCAATTCATCGCCAAATTCGTTATACCGCCATGATTTCTAAATTACAAAAGGTGGCGGTTTATCGAGAATTAACTGTATATAAAAAGGATATGATGAATACAACAGGAATTGTTTGTTGGAAATTCACAGTATCAAGTTGCATTTTGTTTAACACCTCAAGCAAATCTTTTTGTAAACCCCTTTGTTTTTCCGACAAACTTTTAACCTTTAAGGGGTGAAAATGGTTTCCAATACTCGTGGCGTGTGTCATAGTCACATATATACCGTTCAGTATTTTCTTAAAAAGAACAGATAAACATCTACCGAATGACACATAATGAATAAGAATGTCGTCTGATTTTAATCCTTAAGTTGTGGTTTTCTTCCTGAATAATCATAGAAAGTTTGAGCATATAACGGTATGTAAGTGATAATCTAAGTTCCATTTCTGAAAGAGTATCATTATTGGTATATTGAGACAACTACGGATTATGTTCTTAGTATTATTCCAGTAATATCAAATTGGATAAAAAATAAATAAATGGCAAGATAGCCAGCAAAATATATTTTAATATAAGAACCATATTATGAAACAAATATTATGAGCTCTTTCTTTTTTTTATTCATATAAAGCAGAATTTGTGCAAAATCTAATTATGCGTGAAAAGAAGAAAACACTTGCTGTGGCCTTCAACTGGACATTCAGATATATCGACGACGTATTTTCAAATAACAATGGTAATTTCCATTCTTATATGATACAATATATTCTAGTGAGCTTTAGATAAAAGATACATGTACCACACATCTGTTTCATATTTGGATATTTTCCTTGAAAAGATGTTAATGGTAATTAACAACCAAGCTCTATGATTGATTGATTGATTGTATACTGTTTAACGTCCCTCTCCAGAATATTTCACTGATATGGAGACGTCATCATTGCCGGTGAAGGGCTGCAAATTTAGGCCTATGCCCAGCACTTACGGCCTTTGAGCAGAGAGGGATCTTTATCGTGCCACACCTGCTGTGACACGGGGCCTCGGTTTATACGGTCTCATCCGAAGGACCGCCCCATTTAGTCGCCTTTTACGACAAGCAAGGGGGTACTGAGGACCTATTCTAACCCGGATCCCCACGGGGCCCAAGCTCTATGAAAAACGTTAACACTTAAACATGACTTATGCAGCAATATATCTTCATCACCTGCGTGCAGAGTTTATACATCTCAGCTGATTCGATACGCAAGAGCATGCTCTATGTATGAACAATTTCTAAAACGAGGTAAATTATTGACAAACAAGTCGAGGAAACAAAAATTTCAGCTGTCTCGTTAAAAGTTATCATTTCGTAAGTTCTATGGTCGATATAATGATCTTGTCAACAAATACAATTTATCATTGAGTCCAATGCTGTAATTTCCGTTATTTCCCAATCATGACTACGAGCATACGGCGGGTGTATCATTACAACACATTTATTCACGAAACGATGAAAATGCAAATTTTTTATTTGAAAATCACCTTTCACTTTTCATTCGAAAGTGCACACTTATCTTACCCTTCCTGACAATCACTTGGAACTCTTCTACTGGAGGAGTGACCGATTCCTGACAATAATCTGTAGTCGTCCATGACGTCACGCTAACATTTTGGGCTTCCGTAATCACCCTGTTGTTGGCAGCATTTGAGTTGGTACCTGCGCATAGAGATATGTATTGTACAAAAAGTTATTCTTCCTGCTTTGATTTGTTAATGAATCTTTTTGATTTGCTCCCATGAAATTGAAGACATATTATTTGTAAATTACTTGTACATATTGTATATGAGTATCAACTAACCTGCCAATACATAATAACTGTAGGAATACGTTGTTAGTTTTTCCCATTTAACACACCTGAACACGTTTTGGCCGATTCCAGACGATAAGGGTATTTGATCTCCTCTTGAGAAACAAAAATAATGATGCTTTTAGAAATACATGCAATTTTAATTATAGTTGTGGAAGGTTCTAACTAACTTGTCAAAAATTTGACATGCATTATTAGAAAAATATTGAATGAAGTAAATTTCATCATGCGATTGACAATAATTTTAGCCATTTCTGCAAAATGTTGGTACAAACAATCAAGAAACATAGACACATCTTACTTGAACAGAAAATAATTTGATGAAGTGTTTTCAGCAAAACAAGTCCAGGAGAGTATGGTTGTTCCAAACACGGGTATTGACCACCCCTCCGACACCGCACTGTAATTTCTGTTTAGACTTATGTTGCCGTGACCGCTGTCATACCAATCCCTGTCCCACACAACCGGAAAAACACATCCTCCGTCTGTGTTTTAAAAAAGTTGTTAGTTTTGGAAATATGAGACTAAACAAAAACCAAAATCATATATGATATGATTTAAAAATTAATACTCACAACATCGACCTGAAAAAATAGAATGAAAAAAAGTTAGACAAACACATTTCCTTTTCATAATTTTTATTCTAAAAGTTTGTTGTTGAAATGTAATTCAAAAAAAAGTCTCACTGTATTCCGTAAGCACCAGTGTACCACTCCCTCTTGTGGCCTTAACCTTTGAACTCTGATCTTTTTCACAGCTTCCTTTGGCATCACTCATATACACAGTCTCGCCTGACTTTGTGATGGCCTAGTGTTTATAATTAGGGAAAATTACGTTGACATCCAATAAAAAAAAGAAATTTATTTGTGTCAATCATAATTTTTAATGGATCTTAAACGGAACATCAACAAAATAAATTAATACAGCAGTATTTTCTCAAAGATTTTATTTGTTCTTACTAGACATGAGAATTTGTCGTAGTTGGTGGTATCAGTCACAGTTTCAGGGTTGAACACAGTGGTGTAAAGTGTATTGTTATACTCTACTGTCGCCACACACTGAACTTTTCCGGACGCTACAATGGGAAGAGTGTCGTCTTAATAAAAAAAAGTTTGTTTGTAGAATAAAAGGAAGCCAATATCTTCATGTATTCCTTTATTTCTTTGAAATCTATAGTACCGAAGTAAATACCCGAAAACACTTGAATCGTTGCACATTGTGAATAATTGAAAGCTAAATTTGTCCAGTCTGGGCATGCGCTAACCGCTGATCCAGCACTACAAGAAACAACACTTCCGGTATCGTGCTTGTAAGAAAACGTTCCAAGAAGAGGAATTGGGCACCACTGCTTCACACTACTCTCGAACCCTGGGATTTTTATTAATCAAAAGAAGAAAATATATTACAGATATTGATCTTAATGTATACAGCATGAATTTAAAACCCTTTTCAACTGACATTACACTACTCTAATAGAAAAAAGTAATAATCAATGCTAATTTCTTTTTACATACCCTTTTTAACTAGGACATGGTATTCTTCATCGGAAGGACCATTTGGTGGCCGGCAGCGATCTGATAAATCTTCTGAGGGAGATGGAGTCGTAGCTAATAATATTGCTTCAAACCTCTTCAAACCACCTTGTGGCTCTTCAACTAGTATATTATGAAAGTGTTAAAAACTCATAAATCATGTACAAACAAATATTGTCCAAATGATAATTATACTATGAAAAAAAGTAGGGGATATTGGTTTTACAAGGACAATGTAATGTAGATCATGAGGCCAGGGAGGAAACAAATGGCTGAAAAACATTTAAGAAAAAAATGTCAATTTATTCAAAACCCTAAGTACAGTCAGAAAAGGACTTATTCTCCAGGACAACACCAACACAACACCAACACAGGACCATACAGCACATTTACAATATATCATCGTCGGTTGGCCAGACAAGCTCGGATTGGGCATGTCATACTCCCAACGAGACGTCCCATGTAATTTTGGGAAAGGTTATTGAGTTCCTGTTGCAAGTTCTTGGACATTGGCATAAGGTTATTGACGTTGGCGTAGCCACTGTCCAAGCATGTCCCAGACATACTCTGTTGGGGAAAGGTTCGGACTGAATGGGGCCATGGTAATGTGGTGATATTCTCCTGTTGGATATTATCTGTTACGATCCTGGCCCTATGGCATCTGGCATTGTCATCTTGAAACCACTGGCAACATTGGAGTCGGGTCCTAATGTGACGATTCCTCAAACAGGAAATGACACAAAGACATCGGACGTGTAAGCTAAATCTTTGCAGTCGGTTCCAGATAGCCAGGCGGTCTAGTTAATACTACCAAACAAGTTTCCCTTTAAAGTTGAGACCTTATCTGATTTGCTGTTACCAGATGTTTTCTCAAGGCAATAATGTGGATGAATCTGTCCAATGCTTAGGTTGTTGTCCTTGGTCGACCCGATCGAGGTCTATTCTGAACAGACCCTGTAGCACAATGCATGGACCATAATCTGCTGATAACAGACTTAGAAACATTCAATTTGTCCTTGCCACAGCAACTTACCTTGTGCCAACCTGTAGCATCGCAAGGGATGAAACCTCACATCTTGTGTAAGACGGCGCATGATCTCTGTTTAATTGACGACTTCAGCAACAGATAATCTGATGCTTTCTGTTCAGAATCTTTATTTAGAGTTACTTTAACCTTCCAATTTAGAGGCACAACACACTTGACCATCAATAGAATCCTGTGCACATTGTGAAAGCGTGATTGATGTATTCGAGTGATGAATTTCTTTGGAAATACTTCCTATTTTGTATTATTTTGTGGACTTTTCGTCTTGAATGTTGTTCGTTATCTCCATTTGTTTCATTCCTCATTAATTAAGGAAATATACAACATTGTTTCGTATCCCTTTTGTATATATGTGAACATTTTGATTACAAATTACAGTATCCGCTACTTTTTTAATACTCTTGAGATATTTGTATTTATATTCACAATGTAGACAGTTATTGAACGTTGATTTTACCTGCGAGAATATAGTAATAGTAAGAGTGATCTGTTATCTTGATGAATCGGATGCATCGGTATCCGACGACATTCGAACCGAACACATTCAGGTTTTGGTCACCCCTGAAATCAAATAATGAATATAAGATGATGATACATGTATATCAATCTTAACTAAACATTCAGGCAATCTATTTGTTCATAATTCATGTGAGTGAATATATATATATATATATATATATATATATATATATATATATATATATATATATATATATATATATATATATAAGCTCATAAGTACACTCAAACAATACAAATCAGTAACATAGGAAACACAAAATTGGATGGAATTAGGTGCCACAGGAGCATAATGGATAAAACAAACCCTTAGCTAGCCAAGTTTTGAGGAGAATAATGGATCAGAAATCCTTGACTTGCTTAGATGTTAACCATAGGAGAATAACGGATCAGAAACCCTTGGCTAGCTAAGATGTTAAACATAGGAGAATAACGGATCAGAAACCCATGGCTAGCTAAGATGTTAGGAGAATAATGGATCAGAAACCCTTGGCTGGCTAAGATGTTAACCATAGGAGAATAATGGATCAGAAACCCTTGACTAGCTAAGATGCTAACCATAGGAGAATAACGGATCAGAAACCCTTGGCTAGCTAAGATGTTAAACATAGGAGAATAATGGGTCAGAAACCCTTGGCTAGCTAAGATGTTAACCATAGGAGAATAACAGATCAGAAACCCTTGGCTAGCTAAGATGTTAACCATAGGAGAATAATGGATCAGAAACCCTTGGCTAGCTAAGATGTTAACCATGGGAGAATAATGGATCAGAAACCCTTGGCTAGCTAAGATATTAACCATGGGAGAATAATGGATCAGAAACCCTTGGCTGGCTAAGATGTTAACCATAGGAGAATAATGGATCAGAAACCCTTGGCTAGCTAAGATGTTAACCATAGGAGAATAACGGATCAGAAACCCTTGGCTAGTTAAGATGTTAAACATAGGAGAATAATGGGTCAGAAACCCTTGGCTAGCTAAGATGTTAACCATAGGAGAATAGCGGATCAGAAACCCTTGGCTAGCTAAGATGTTAACCATGGGAGAATAATGGATCAGAAACCCTTGGCTAGCTAAGATGTTAACCATAGGAGAATAATGGATCAGAAACCCTTGGCTAGCTAAGATATTAACCATAGTAGAATAATGGATCAGAAACCCTTGGCTAGCTTAGATGTTAACCATGGAAGAATAATGGATCAGAAACCCTTGGCTAGCTTAGATGTTAACCATAGTAGAATAATGGATCAGAAACCCTTGGCTAGCTAAGATATTAACCATGGGAGAATAATGGATCAGAAACCCCTGGCTAGCTAAGATGTCAAGAAAATAATGGATCAAAAACCCTTGGCTAGCTAAGATGTTAGGAGTATAATGGATCAGAAACCCTTGGCTAGCTTAGATGTTAACCATAGTAGAATAATGGATCAGAAACCCTTGGCTAGCTAAGATATTAACCATGGGAGAATAATGGATCAGAAACCCTTGGCTGGCTAAGATGTTAACCATAGGAGAATAATGGATCAGAAACCCTTGGCTAGCTTAGATGTTAACCATGGAAGAATAATGGATCAGAAACCCTTGGCTAGCTTAGATGTTAACCATAAGAGAATAATGGATCAAAAATTTTGGCAAGCTTAGATGTTGACCATAGGAAAATAATGGATCAGAAACCCTTGGCTAGATAAGATGTTAACCATAGGAGAATACTGAATCAGAAACCCTTGGCTAGATAAAATGTCAAGAGAATAATGGATCAGAAACCCTTGGCTAGCTAAGATGTTAACCATGGGAGAATAATGGATCAGAAACCCTTGGCTAGCTAAGATGTTAACCATAGGAGAATAATGGATCAGAAACCCTTGGCTAGCTAAGATATTAACCATAGTAGAATAATGGATCAGAAACCCTTGGCTAGCTTAGATGTTAACCATGGAAGAATAATGGATCAGAAACCCTTGGCTAGCTTAGATGTTAACCATAGTAGAATAATGGATCAGAAACCCTTGGCTAGCTAAGATATTAACCATGGGAGAATAATGGATCAGAAACCCTTGGCTGGCTAAGATGTTAACCATAGGAGAATAATGGATCAGAAACCCTTGGCTAGCTTAGATGTTAACCATGGAAGAATAATGGATCAGAAACCCTTGGCTAGCTTAGATGTTAACCATAGTAGAATAATGGATCAGAAACCCTTGGCTAGCTAAGATATTAACCATGGGAGAATAATGGATCAGAAACCCTTGGCTGGCTAAGATGTTAACCATAGGAGAATAATGGATCAGAAACCCTTGGCTAGCTTAGATGTTAACCATGGAAGAATAATGGATCAGAAACCCTTGGCTAGCTTAGATGTTAACCATAGTATGGATCAGAAACCCTTGGCTAGCTAAGTCTGCCACCGGTCACATCCCCTGTTTGCTCTCTTTTTATGATTCATAAAAAACAGAGAAATCCATAGACAACTCAGTATATACATAATGTCCTTACAATAAGTATGCAAAACGTCAGTCAGCATTTGACTTAATGATAGATTGTTTTTGCTGACAAGGTCATTGTATTGACCATAGAACTTGTAAAGTTATTCAAACAAGACTGCTGAATTTTTTTTATTTCATAAACTGGTTTGTTAATAGTTTGCTTCGATTTAGAATTTGTTCATACGTAAAACAAGTTCTTGTCTATCGAATCAATTGAGGAACATAAAACTCATTTGCAGGTAATATTGGTATACCGCTGCTCATTCAGGGAATTTGACGATTAAAAAGTGGATGTCATCATGTTTTCCATAAATCTTTGTCGTCAGTTACCATTAACGTCATGTTCTTGAAAATATCCAAATATGAAACAGATGTGTCAGATTCTGTAGTCTATTTTATTTCAAGTTAATGATGTATCGAGTCGACATATGAATGAAACTTGATTTTGTTAATTGTCTTGTGCAATATTAAATGATTCGTACGACCAGTTTAATGGAACCTTTTTCAATTCATTTTGAAAAGGACTAAATTTTTGCCTGATTTTTTTTTATCAACTGGGTATTAGTTAAATTATTGCTTCGAGAAGTTTCTCGCATATATAGATAATTACGGCGGATTTTCATTCAGCCGAATTAAATACAGAACAATAAGTGAAAGTTTCTTCCAAGACACTGCACCATATTGAGAAATACTTTTACAAAGCAATACATGTGCCAGAAAAGATCTCTCAGAAATGTTCAAAACGAGCACTATCGGATACTTAAGAAATTCAAGCAATTTGTTGATTATTTTCGGCATTCAATAGATCCAGTCATTCATCGTTTAACATACAACAAGAGTACTTTGGTTTCTTTGATAGGATCTGATAGTGCTCGTTTTTAAAACATGGATACTTACATAAATTAGGTTATCTTTTACTTAAAACATTTAAACTGTTCATGCCAAAACAAGCACTTAATTCTACAACGGTTTACAGTTTCTAATACCTAAACTTTTTTTGATATTTATCTGTTTGTTTTTTTATTATAATTGTAAAAAAAAGAATGAACAACAATACTAAAAATGATCAATTGTCAACTTCCCTTACTTATGCAGTAATATGCCTTCATCACCTGCATTCATACGGAGTTTATATATCTCAGTTGATTCGATACGCAAGAGCATGCTCTGCGTATGAACAATTTCTAAAAGAGGTAAATTATTGACAAGCAAGTTGATGAAACAATAATTTCAGCAATTTCGTTTAAACTCATTATTTCGTTAGTTCTATGGTCGATACAATGACCTTGTCAGCAAAAACAATTTATCATTGTTTCAAGTGCTGACTGATGTTTTTCATACTAATTGTTAGTCCATTATTTATACACTAAATTGACGACGGAATTTTCCGCTATATCCTGATCATGACAAGGAGCGTAAGACGTGTGTGACCGGTCGGCAGGGGATGCTCGCTCCTCAATGGCATCTGATCCCACCTCTAATGTTTTGGAGGTCTACCCTGCTCCTATTTTGTATTGTTTAACGGACTTTTGATATTGAATTTTGTTCGTTATCTCCATGTGTTTCATCAGTCACATTTTAAAAAAAATCGAACAGATTTATTTGTAAGCTCCAACTGAATGTACCGTCACAACCTATGAAGAAGCAAAAAATAATAAATAAATAAACAACTTACTTAAACAGAAGAAATGAACTAGAATTTTGATTGACACATGTCCAGGAACTGATGGATGACGTGTAAGCCTGGATCTGCCACCCCGTCAGCAGTTGACTGGAATGAGTAAAGGTAACCTCCCCAGAACTGCTGTCCCACCACTGCCCGTCCCAAAGGCTTGGCAAGGTACACGTACAATCTAAAGATAAAAAAAATCAAAACTTGACATTGAGTTTAACTGGAGAAAAAAATCATCGTATACTGAAAATAAAATAGATAGTGAAAGTCACTAGAAAGACAAGTAAATTTACTGTCCATACAATCAATACCTTAAAAGTAGTTTTAATAGGTATTGAGTAGATCTAATACTGTAAAAGCAGAAATATTCGTGGGGGATTAAATTTTGTTTATTTCGTTAACAATTATCAACGAAATAAAATTCCCACACGAAATTTCTTATGACTATGTATTGAATAGAGCTACTTTCAAAACAACGAAATTAAATGCCCTAAAACCTAATCAGATGACGAATCAAAGAACCAGAAGCTCTGTGAGTGCATTAAATCTGCTTTCCCTATTGTCTCTAAATTCATTATATATCTGCATATGCGTCATCTGCATATAGGGTTAAAGACTTCAATTTGATTAGATATGAAGAGCATACTCTATGTGAGAATACTTTCTAAAACAGGCGAACTATTGACAAACAAGTTAATGAAACAAAATTACCATTAGGTCGAATGCTGACTAATGTTTTTCATGCCAATTGTAATTTTTTACATACTGAATCGTCTAAAGTTTCTTTTTCCTTTTTCCCGAGTAGGACAAGAAGCACACAATGGAAAAAATATGCTTAGGAAATAAAGTCCTGTTCTTGTTTTCGTGAATGTTGCAGGATAACTTTCGGGGACTCAAATGTTGCTTGAAAGATAAAAGCCGATGCGTTAGCCGATCGAGGCTTTTATATTTCAAACAACGTTTCAAGACCGAGGATGTTATCCTGCATCATTCATGCAAACAAAGACTTAATTTCAATTCTACTAAAAAATCTAAAATACATCTAGTGGTTTCCAATATAGAGAAACGAATTAGGTCACCATGTCGCGTTAAGCTGTTCCATTTAACATCAATGGGTAAATCTTTTTGCTTACCTATGTATGGAATGCAGACGATTTTAGCTTTCGATGCATTCAAAATAACATTTTATCATGTTTATAAATTATAAAGAATGACTGCACTTAACCTATGAGAGTTGGAACCTTTTCGGCTACCCATTTTAAGCTTAACATTACAATATATCGCTAAATTAATCTATGATTGATGTGCAAGCATATGCTTTTGATATTTATTTCTAGAATTTTTTGTCATACATATTTCTATAATTACAGAAAATGTCATTGAAAAGAACGTGTAAAAGCCTTAAATTCCGGAAATTTGAACGGGACCACTTTCGAATCTAAGGTATCCGCAAATAGGCGGATTCATTTAAACCGCATGGTTGTGGAATGTAAACATTAGCACATATGATTTTTTCGTACTACGAATTTAAATGGAGAAGAGAGAGGTCTTGTTGATTTTGTGGTGCACAATTATTAAATGATTCTAATGTTAAGGGATGGGGTAGAGTCTCGCTCTACAAACCATAATACAGAGGCGACATAAGCCTATACTACTGACACTGTCAATACCAGAATTCTTTCAAAATACCCCTAATGTAAAGCATAAAGTTGAATAAGAGACATATTATCTTCAAACCCTGTTAATATTTGCGCAAAAATATCCCATAGTTTGAAGTTGGAAGTACGATAGACACTGTCACAACAGAAACTTAAACACAATGAAATGTTCAATGAAAGCGTTAGCGTATCGAATAGCAGAATGTCACGTGATTAAGGTGATTATAATATCAATCGTTGATGCACGGTAACCGGTTAATTTAGTAGCAATGTCGACCCTTTTTTGGGGACATTTTTTTTTAAATTAGATATGAGCCGCAACTTGGCCAACATTGTCCTTTGGATATGTATAAGTTTAAGTTCAATTACACATTCTGTTCAAATAAGAAAAATGGCCAAGTTGCGGCTCGATGTAAACAAAGTCGTTGAAAACTGGTATGCAACAATAGTAATGAGACAAAACTATTAGACCCCCGTCTCAAAAGTTAGTGTCGCTCGGCATTGTTTAATACTTTCATGTTATATAATATACCAAAACCTGCTCTTAAGATGTTGTTTAATACCTATAAAACATAAATTGAATGAATTTTAGAATTTTATTTTGCGCAAAACATCGAGATCCAACTCTCATAGCTTAAGTGCAGTCATTCTTTGTTCGTTTAATATATATTGATTAATTTTCATGAATAAACAGTACCAAAATCAGTTTTCTATTTAACTGCTATATGTTTAAATTGTGTAGTCAGTGGAACAGCCCAGCATAGCTAAAACAAGAGGCCCATGGGCCACATCGCTCACCTGAGCACTGTGGCTAGGAAAAAGTAGAAATTGGTTCATTATTGTAAAGTTTAAATCCCAGTGTAGTCCCATGACCAATCATGGCTTTGCTATTCTTGAGAAGATGATTTTTAAAGAATTTTCATATATATATGTCTATGTTAAATTTTGGTCGGCCATTGTGGCCCCGCCCTACCCCCGGGGTCATGATTTGAACAAACTTGAATCTACACTACCTGAGGATGCTTCCATATAAATATGATCAATCATGGCTTTGCTACTCTTGAGAAGAAGATTTTTAAAGAATTTTCCTATATATTTCTATGTAAAACTTTGAACTGCTGGTCGGCCATTGTGGCCCCGCCCTACCCCCCGGGGGTCATGATATAAACAAACTTGAATCTACACTACCTGAGGATGCTTCCATATAATATAAATAATCATGGCTTTGCATTTACCCCTATATATTTCTATGTAAAATTTTGGTCGGCCATTGTGGCCCCGCCCTACCCCCGGGGTCATGATTTGAACAAATTTGAATCTACACTACCTGAGAATGCTTCCATATAAATATGATCAATTATGGCTTTGCTATTCTTGAAAAGAAGATTTTTAAAGAATTTTCCTATATATTTCTATGTAAAACTTTGGCCCCGCCCTACCCCCGGGGGTCATGATTTGAACAAACTTGAATCTACACTACCTGAGGATGTTTCCCCATAAGTTTCATCATTCCTGGCACAGTGGTTCTTGAGAAGAAGATTTTTAAAACATATCACCAAATTTTCATTAATTCCCAATTATCTCCCCTTGAATGAGGGCGTGCCCTTCATTTGAACAAACTTGAATCCCCTTCACCCAAGGATGCTTTGTGGCAAGTTTGGTTGAAATTGGCCCAGCGGTTCTTGAGAAGAAGTCGAAAATGTGAAAAGTTTACAGACAGACAGACAGACAGACAGACGGACGCTGGACAAAATGTGATCAGAAAAGCTCACTTGAGCCTTCGGCTCAGGTGAGCTAAAAAACGACATTCATCTACTTTATACAAGGATATGAGATAACGAACAGTATTCAATCTCAAAAGTCCATAAAACAATACAAAATAGGAGCAGAGCAAACAAGAACCTCTGAAACATCAAAGATGGGATCAGATACCATGGAGTAGTGAACATCTGCCGACCGGTCACACACGTCGTAAGCTCCGCGTCATGATCGTAAATTATCGGGAAATCCGACGTCAATTCAGTGTGTAAATAATGGAATAACAATTAATATGAAAAAACGTCAGTCAGTATTTGACTCAATGATTAATTGTATTTGCTGACAAGATCATTGTATCAACCAAAGAACTTGTAAACAAAAGGATTACTTTAAACGAGACTAATGATATCCTTGTTTCACCAACTTGTTTGTCAATATTTTATCTAGATTTAGAATTTGTGCATGCGTAGGACATGCTGCAAAAGACAACACATCGGTGTGGTCTAAAAAAAGTATTTCATTCTAGACTCAAATATTCATTTCAAATGCATAGGTTTATTACATGTTTCTGATCTGATAATTGTTTGATGAGGTTCGTGATTTATGGGAGAATATGTCCGCGGTATTTCTTTGATCTCGGCAATAATTGTTGTATTCTTCCACAGCACCTGATCCCATCTCTGATGTTTTGAACGTCCGCATTTGCTCTGCTCCTGATTTGCATTGTTTAAATAGACTTTTGAGCTTGAATAGTGTTGAAGTTCGTTTATAATATGCCCATATTTTATTTTATTTATATCACTTTCATTGCTGATAAATAACCCTATCCCACAATTTCAACTATTGATTAGATCAATTTCAAAACCACCTGATGAAGACATTTTAAGTGACAAAAATCAAGTATTTCAAGACTATTATTAATGTTATTAATAAATGCTATATTCGGTTGAGCTGCATATAGTACGATACTCTTATTAATTTTATTTTTTTTCTTCATTTTTTACTCATTTTATAGATTACTAATACATACAAGTATATAAAATTTAAACAATCAAGAGCATGGCGCGGGTTATGGAACCCGGTAAACAAAACAAAGAAAGCATTTTATTGTTAAATTGACGTGTTTTAGTCATTACTCATGTTTGAAATCAAATGATTTTTTTTTTATTATATATAAACTATAAAAATAAGTCTTATGTCATAAACTTTACTTTAAAATGATTTGGTAATCCGCAAAATGACATGATTCAATCTTCTGAAAGTAAGACAAAGGATTTAGGTTGGATAGCTTGAATCATAGTTAACATGTTTTATTCTTGTAAACATCAAATTTAAAATATGCAACAGTTATACCAGAAAACGTACTGAAGGACAAAAATGTTATTAGATGATTTCTTTATTTAATGACTGTACTCTTTTTATTGATTTTAGATTTTTTTTTTTTGGTTCCTTGTTGTTGTAATTAAAGATTCATCTCTGTAACAAGATAGCGTGATTATTATCATGATAAACAAGACGTGTTTGTAAACTGATGCCCCCGTATGGCAGCTTACGGCAAAGGTTGAATTCTCTCAAATGCATGTCAAACTCCAAAGGTCACGGTTAAAAGGACAAAAGTGTTGGTATCCAACACTAGGTAAGTTTTGTTACAAGGAATTCACCTGTGAAATATGAACGCCCTAGTTCTTACTGTTCAAAATTTAAAACCAAGGTTCAAGTTTTTAACAAATGGGTCAAACTCTTAAGTCAAGGTAAAAAATTATTATACCAGCTGAAATTTCTTGTCACAATAAATACACATGTGAGTATGAAAGCCCTAGCTCAAACTGATCAAAAGTTATGGCCATGCTTAAAGTGTGTTATTTTTTTTTTTTTTGTAAAAGTAGGTCAAACTCCAAAGCCAAGAGGTCAAAGTTGGTGGTACCTAAAGGAAGGTCTTGTCACAAGGAATACAACTGTGAAATATGAAAACCATATCCACACTCACTCAATGGTTATGGGTTAGGTTAAAGTTGACAACAGACAGAAAAACAGACAAACTGACAGAGAGACAGACAGGACAAAAACAATATACCCCCAGGATCTTTCGATCCGAGGGCATAATAAATTCAAAGAACACCCAGACAATTACTGGTACACGAGATACATACATGTACATATACAAACAAAAGTAACAGTCAAGGTTCAAAAAAGATTTTGCAACGATTATTTGTCACCTACCGGTGACTATAAGTTTCAATTGAGTCTGTTCGCCCGTTTGTCTAGTGTCTGTCTGTCCGTCATCTGTCTGTTTGTTGCAAAAACTTTAACCTTTCTCATAACATTTGAGTGGGTGGGAAAATGGCTTTCACATTTCACATGTGCATTTCTTGTGACGAGACCTTTCTTTGGGTACCATGAAATTTGACCTCTTGACCATGGAGTTTGACCCACTTTAATTTAAAAAAAAAACATACACTTTAATCTATAGGGCTTAACTTTTGAACAGTGGGACCTAAGGCTTTCATACTATAAATGTGTACTGAATATTCATTGTGACAAGACCTATCAGTGGATATAAATATTTTTTACTTTGATCTTTGGTTTTTCACCCACTTTGTAAAGACTTTAACCTTGGCCATAACTTTTGAGCAGTTAAAACAAGGGCTTCCATATTTCATAGGTGCATTCCTTACGACAAGACCTTCCTTTAAGTACCAACAATTTTCACTTTTGACCAAGACCTTTGAAGTTTGATATGCATTTGTGAAAATTCAACGCTCACCAAAGCTGTCGTACGGGTTTATTTCACGTTTTAACTACTGAGTAAATGGAATATTTGGGTTTCCAATAGCGAAACAG